GAGAGCCCATTTTTGCGAATAGTGGGGGTGGTTCCTATCCTATATTTCGGCATCTTCGGAAATAACAGCCTAGATATTTGCAGAAACACCAACACCACCGGTGTTCTGAACTCCTGGGTGACTGCTTTTGTCATATCTGGCAAAATCCTGACTTGGGACAGATTCAAAATTCGACTACATAGTTACTGTAGATGTTGTTGTTAGAACCTGTTGGAACACATGTTCTGGTTGGTGGTTTGGAACATGATTTTTATTTGTCCATTCAGTTCGGAATGTCATCATCCCAACTGACGAACTCATATTTTTCAGAGGGGTAGGTCAACCACCAACCAGACATGTTTCTTTTGGGATCTTTTTGATCTTTGAAATCACCAGATTCAACGCTCAACGAATCTTGGAGCAGTCACCTGAGTCACCTCCGCCAGGTTCAATCCATCCCATTCTATGTGGAATCTCTGCAGCGCTGGGCCGGAGATGAATATGGAGATATATATCAGGAAGGCTTCGGTTCGTTTAGGTTCGTTTCGGTTCGTGGAAACCTCAAATAGGGGCGGTTCGGTTCATCAGCAGGCCGGTTCGTTTCGGTTCGCGTGACATGGCGGTTCGGTTCGGTTCGGTTCGGTTCGTGTGACATGGCGGTTCGGTTCGGTTCGGTTCGTGTTGTGTAGTGTTGCAGGACGAGAGGGCTTTGACAGAATGGGTGTGGATGAATAGCAAATAGTAATGTTATGTTGCAGCAGAGGGATTTGGTTTTTGAATGTTTGAAACTGGTGGTGGGGCCGAGTGTTTGCAGCATCTAAGTAAGCAGTGTCCAAAACCACGGTTTTTTGATGACTAAATTGCGTATGCTGTTTCTTGGATTGGGGGTAATGATTACCATCATCAACTATTAGAATTCGTACATCTAACCAGTGTACAGTGAAATTGACAGATCCATTGCCAACGGCATTTTCATTTTGCGAAAATCACTTTCAGCTGTCGAAATCCAGTCGTGGCCGGCAGAGGTTAAATCAGCAGCCAAATGCCATTTTCATATGGCGAAAGTCGTTTTCAGGCATCGAAATTGAGGCAGTGCCTGCAAAACCCAAACATTAGCCAAACATCATTTTCATTGTGCGAAAATCAGTTTCGGAGTTGTTTTGGCAAAAAGTGGAAAACAGTTGTAGTAGCAGTAGTAGTAGTAGTAGTAGTAGGTAGTAGTAGCAGGAGTAGTAGTAGTAGTAGTAGTAGTAGTAGCAGTAGCAGTAGCAGTAGCAGTAGCAGTAGCAGCAATATAAGTAGAATTAGTAATAATAGTAGTAAAGAAGTAATACTAGTTCTAGTAAGACTACGAGTAAGAAAAATAGTAGCCTCTCGTAAGCGGTTCCCCAGCAGGTATGGGTCCCGACCGGGCTTTGCCGAACAGGAACGGGCAGAGAGGCTAGTAATAGAGGTAGCAATATAATATACAACAGTAGGGGTGGTGATAGCAACAGGAAGAGTAATAGTCGCAGCAGTAGTAGTCTAGCCGTACTAGGACGAATACTATTAGATGTTTTCCTTAACTTGATTTTCACTGCGCGAAAACCATTTTCGGAGTTGTTTTGGCAAAAGTTTAAAAAAAAAGTAGTAGTAGTAGTAGTAGTAGCAGGAGTAATAGTAGTAGTAGTAGTAGTAGTAGCAGTAGCAGTTGCAGTACCAGTAGCAGTAGCAGTAGCAGTAGCAGCAATATAAGTAGAATTAGTACTAATAGTAGTAAAGAAGTAATACTAGTTCTAGTAAGACTACGAGTAAGAAAAATAGTAGCCTCTCGTAAGCGGTTCCCCAGCAGGTATGGGTCCCGACCGGGCTTCGCCGGACAGGACCGGGCAGAGAGGCTAGTAATAGAGGTAGCAATATCATATACAACAGTAGGGGTGGTGATAGCAACAGTAATAGTAATAGTAGTAGCAGTAGTAGTCTAGCCGTACTAGGACAAATACTATGAGATGTTTTCCTTAACTTGATTTTCACTGCGCGAAAATCATTTTCGGAGTTGTGTTGGCAAAAAGTGGAAAATAGTTGTAGTAGTAGTAGTAGTAGTAGTAGCAGTAGCAGTAGCAGTAGCAGTAGCAGTAGCAGTAGCAGCAAGATAAGTAGAATTAGTACTAATAGCAGTAAAGAAGTAATACTAGTTCTAGTAAGACTACGAGTAAGAAAAATAGTAGCCTCTCGTAAGCGGTTCCCCAGCAGGTATGGGTCCCGACCGGGCTTCGCCGGACAGGACCGGGCAGAGAGGCTGGTAATAGAGGTAGCAATATAATATACAACAGTAGGGGTGGTGATAGCAACAGTAATAGTAATAGTAGCAGCAGTAGTAATCTAGCCGTACTAGGACGAATACTATGAGATGTTTTCCTTAACTTGATTTTCACTGCGCGAAAATAATTTTCGGAGTTGTTTTTTCAAAAAGTGGAAGAAAAGTAGTAGTAGTAGTAGTAGTCGTCGTCGTCGTAGTAGTAGTAGTAGCAGCAGTAGCAGTAGCAGTAGCAGTAGCAGCAAGATAAGTAGAATTAGTAATAATAGCAGTAAAGAAGTAATACTAGTTCTAGTAAGACTACGAGTAAGAAAAATAGTAGCCTCTCGTAAGCGGTTCCCCAGCAGGTATGGGTCCCGACCGGGCTTTGCCGAACAGGAACGGGCAGAGAGGCTAGTAATAGAGGGAGTAATATAATATACAACAGTAGTGCTGGTGATAGCAACAGTAATAGTAATAGCAACAGTTCTTAGTAGCAGTAGTAGCAGTAGTTTCAGTAGTTTCAGTAGTAGCAGTAGTAGCAGTAGTAGCAGCCAGCACTGATCATTTGCAATTCCTGCAGCACTTTGGCAGATTATGTTGCGCAGGAATCCATTCATTACAGTTGATTCCTCTTTCCAATTTGATTTTCAATTCGCGAAAATCATTTTCGGAACCCCCGGAAGCTGACAAAATAACTTTTTTGAGAATGTGGAACCGGTTCGGTTCCATTCGGTTTGCGTAAGAATAATTGGCGGTTCGGTTCGTGCCCATTCGGTTTGCGTAAGAATAATTGGCGGTTCGGTTCGTGCCCGTTCTTAGCCTGCCGGTTCCTGAACGGTTCGGTTCCCGGTTCACGGTTCGTTTCCTAAGCCATACTGAGAGATGTATTTCGGCCATGAGATGGAGGATAATTGAGGAACAGCAACACTGCTGACTGTTGCTAGCTTTCCGCTTCCGCGCCTACACATCGCCCTATAGGTTTCTACGGGGCCTCCTGCTATGTTGGCAGCAGACGGACGCCTACCCTGCCATTTTGAAAATGTATGTATGTGATTTTAATTCTATCTGGTGAGAGGCATGTACGCTTTTAAATATTCCTTCGCAGTCGCACCTGCACCAAGACGGGGATGAAATAAATTCCGGCCACTGCGCGCCAATTTTCAGTGCAAATTTTCATGTTTGAAAACGTACGAAATCACCTCGCACAGCCCCGATGGCTTGGCTCCACCCACTGCCCCGCTCAAAGGGCTAGCGGCGGCCTTCCTCCGAATGCCCCGTTCAAGCTCCTTACTCGTACAAGATTCAAATCTTCCTCCCAAAGCCCCGAACGAACTATGTCCACCCAAAGCCCCGATGAAACCATTCCACCCAAAGCCCCGATGAAAAATTACACGCCAAAAACGGTAAAAAAAAACAGCAAAAAAAAGTGTTTTTCTCGTTTCTGGAAAGGGCCTAGATGCTTCCCAAGTCTCGGCTGAAGGGCCCGCGGCAAGGACTTGCTTCAACACCCGGCGGCATGAAGCAATCTTGAATACTACTTCTACTATAACGGCACTAATGCAAGCCTTTTAGGCTTGCGGTCACGGGGTATTCCTTCATTCCATCCGGTTCTGCTTCTTGCATCAACGCGTCTGCCAGGCATATATGGAAGCAATGCAGAAACAGACTCTGGTCCCTGTTCTGTTCCCGTTTGAGACATGCAAAGTTCAAGGTCCATCATAGCAATGCTCTTCTTCAACCAGCGTTGTGCAAAGCTTTGGCACCCCAGCCGCTGCTCCTGTTTGCTCTTTGCTGTGGCCTCTGCCTTTCTAGGGCTGGCCTGTTTTAATTTCCCGCTTATAGCAGGCTTAGCAAATAAACATGGAATTGGTAGTGTTCTGCAAGCCGTGCTTGAAACAGCTACAGGACTGAGCATGAGGCTTGAATGAGAGGGCATTGCTGCAGCTTGCTGCTCCCAGTGGCTCGGGCGTGCCTTGACGGCAAGCTTCCCCAAATTGAGAGCTTTCCCCATGAAGGCAAGGATTCGAACGCCCGTGGTGAGTTGCCATCTTGACGAAGCAACTGCCGCTAATGCTCCAGGTGTTGCCTGCGTTAGCCTTCTCCGCGGCGTGCCCAGCGCGGGGTCGACTGTGAAATATGGCAAAGGGCGTTTCGCATGCTACTGGCATGGTTCTCGTCGCAGGAATTCAAGGCAACATTGCGAAAGAAACAGGTGGCCACTGAGATCAGGTTGTACATACGGTTTCATACATGTTGATTTTCACAGGTACATGCTGTTGACGTAGCCCCCCCAGGACAAGAAGTGTCCAAGCGAAGGCCACGGATTTGCTAGTGCTCACTTGCATGGGTCTGTCCTGTATTGGCCATTGCTTGTCATAAAACAAACTTACATTGCAATAGCAGAGGGTGTGGCTGAACTAAACTACATGGCGTCTTGACATGTGTTTCAGTGAACGTTTGCAAGGCTATTTACTCAGAAATATCTGTTCAATGTAGCTGGGTTGGAAACCCCCCCAAGCCCCGCTCCACCCAGTGCCCTGCAAATTCTTTCCTCCAAGAAATCTTGAATATATATGTATATATAATAATAATAATATAATATATAATATACATATATATATATACATATATATATAAATAAATAAATATATATATAAATAGATAGATAAATATCTATCGACTTGAAATGGCTAGAAACAAATGGTTGTCATGTTCGACCAGTAGTTTTTTTCCTGCAATGGCAATGCGACTTGATCACACCACGATTCTGTGGCAAGCGCTGGCAACCGCGACTCGCCAGAAACAGTACTGGGTTCGAGCGACGTCCCGGCGACTGCTGGAAGATCTGGCCACAGCATGCAGGGCAGCTCAGTTCCGTTCGTGCAGCGGGGTCATCAGATGCGCTATGGGTGAACTTTTTTATTTGGGCATACTCTACATAATTCTGTATACGTGTCATGATTCTCTATCCAATCTAATCTTACCTAATCAAATTAAACCTGGTCGAATATAATATGATCTAATACAATCTAATACAATCTAATCTAATCCAATCTAGTCTATTCTAAATCTGAATCTAATCTAATCCGATCTAAATCTATCTAAATCTAATCCAACCTAAATCTAAGCTAATCTAGTCTAGTCTAATCAAATCTAATCTAATTTTAATCTAATCGAATCCAATCTGTCTATCTACCTATCCATCCATAGGCATAATTATATATATATACACATATATATATATATAATGTATGCATAGCTGATACACAGAATTGTCCGCATATATTTTACATATGTAGAACCAATAATTGACGTTATATACATTATATATATAATATATACATTATATATATAATATATACATTATATATATAATATATACATTATAAAAAATTATATATACATTATATATATAATAAATCTCTCTGCGCGTAATACACATGTATATATGTATAACCCAAAGGCCACATCCGAAGTAGTCAGGTGTTCTGAGATATTCTGTCTATATCTCAGATTGCCCAAGTCTTCACGAAGCTCAAACGCATCTTCCGAGGCAACTGCACGGGCAAGAAGGCACGCTGATGCACAAGACTCCACCTGCACTCCACCCGAGTTTGAGGTGTTTTTTGTTGAACCTTGGGAACCTTGGGAACCTTGCCAAACCGAATAGTAGCCATTATAGATTATATACCTAATGGTTGGGTGATGTTCAATGGGGACATTTAATGACCCATGTTGGGAACCTTGCCAAACCGAATAGTCACTCAATTTTGGAGCGTATTTGGTTCAAATTCAAGCACAAATCGAACCCTTTGAAACTGAACTAGTGGAAGACTTGGTGCCACTGGGGAATCTCTGCCACCTGTAGCGTTCTCACCAGCTCTACGGGTTGAATTTGCCAAGGTAATATCAATCAGCTGAGGGATCGACCGTGGCCAATAGTTGGGTTTCACGGGTTCACTTTTGGTCATTTGGTCATTTCATATGATATTTCATTCCACAAATACGTACCAAGTCACCATGTGTCATGAGATTATGGTTTCTTCCACCATTCCCATTAAAACATTCCTCATAATTGTTGCTTCAACTTCAATTCTTCCATTTTTCATGGGTGAATCATATAATGTATTATTGTTAGTATCATTTGTGGATATTTTTGTAGTATTATGACTATTACTACTATTAATATTATGAACAATATTATTAGAACAACATCAGTAGTATATTGTTTACTAAGCCTACAAGATACTATACCTATTTTCACTATAACTGTTAATACAATATATATATATGTATATATATATACATCTATATGTACAACTGTTACTATAACTATATATTGATATGATTAATAAAGCTATAACTATCACTGTTAATATGAACTGTTGAATCGGCGACTGCGCCATTTTTTCAACCGCCAGGTCCTGGCAGCACGTCGCATCGAGGTCAGCAGCACCTGGAATCGCTACGTTCGTTTCAAATTAAGGCGATGGGCAGATGGGCTGCAGGGCCTAAGGGCTAGGGCCGGCTAGGGCTGGTAGTTCTTTTTTAATTCATAAATGCTATATGTAGAAGTGTTCGTTGATCACATTTACAGGCGTTTTCTTTTAAGCTCACACAACTTTGATATTTGGGTTTAGGGTGGGAAGTTTTGGGTAAATAACCAACGGATTTGCGGTATGTATGTATATATATACATATTTGTAACTCAAAGGGGCCATAACAAGTCATATTATTTGAGTTGGCAATATTCGGGGCTTGAAGCAAAAAGAGGAGTGCTTAAGCCTTATAAAGAATACTAAGGTGAGATAGGTGATAGTTGGAAGGGGTCCCTAAATCGGATGAACACTGTGCATACGATTCATGGGACGGTAACATATATGTCATAATTATATGTCAAATGCACCCCTTGTATCATGGATTTCGGACGCAGGTTGAAGGAAGAGCTGTCGCAACTGGGTCTGCCTGCCTTTGCATCTGCCCAATTACTGGAGGGCAAGATGGAACGCGGAGCTGCTTGGCCTCGAGCTGATGGACTGCTTCGACTTTGTCTGAGAATCGGGTACCCCTAAAATCACAGGTCAATCATAGTTTTGCCATCAAAACACATTTTTTTTTGGGAGGTAAACCCATATGCCATATTTTCAGACAAATCCAATTCATCTTGGCTATCATCTATCCATCTATCCATCTATCTATCTACCTATCTATTTATCTATCCATCCATCCATCCATCTGTCTGTCTATCTGTCTATCTATCTATCTATCTATTTATCTATCTATCTACCTATCTATCTATCTGTCTATCTATCTATCTGTCTATCTATCTATCTGTCTGTCTGTCTATCTATCTATCTATCTAGATCTAAATCTACCAGCTTCCTCCATAGATGGTTATTTCTCTTACTACATGGTATCATGAACCAAGTATTGTTGCTGAGATGTATCCCATCATCAGATGCCGTTTTTGTTGCTTTCCACCAATCTCCCGAGGAGATCTTGACATATACCTATCTCAAGAACCTCTACGGCCAAGGCCGTGACCGATATCCGGAATGGACCATGGTTTTCACATGGAGGGTAAACACCAAGCAACACGGGGATGTAGTGGGGATATATAGAAATGGAATGGGCTAACCATGGCTATCCTGACATCCTGCTTTCAGACAAACCCATATTGCACCACTTGAAAGACTTCAAGACACCATTTTGTTCTGAAACTCAAGACGGAATTACAAAGAATTAGAGACTGACAATGAATTACACTTCTATTTTTGAAGCTTGAGAAGCACCAAATCCATCAAAATCCCTAAATCCAATGGGATTTTCTGCACCTCATTTTTTCCACCATTTTTTTCGAGCGCATTTTTCCCAGCCGTCTCGGTTCACGGCCTTTTTGAACGCCAGGTGTGCAGACGACCATCTCTGTGGATGGCCTGGAGGATGCGATTCAGGAGCCCTTAGGGTTTTCCAGCGAGCTGATGACACCGGAGGGCAGTACCTGGGGGGGTGGGTAATCATGGATTTACCCTCTGGTAATGACTAACATAACTATGGAAAATCACCATTTTTAATGGGAAAATCCACTATAAATAATTATTCTTGATTGAGAAATGATGGTTGATAGCTTGTGAAATGGTGGTTATTATATAATCTACCTGGCTTATTGGGGAGTATACCACTATACTCCATGGTTGATAGAGATGCTTATCAACCAACCGGTATTGTACAATGAGATGGGAGGAGCATCTTCTATGGCATGGAACTTCCAAAGAAGCAGCAGAGGCCATTGTGTCTTGCCTCAAGATCCGGATTGGACAAGTCGTTGGTGCAGCTTCCTTGAAAGCACCACTGAGCAGTGGTAAAAACACCCAGTTGTTTGATGATTATGGGGGATTATACTACCCATTGTAATGGGAAAACAATCCATGAATGGGGGATTCCTATGAGTTTCTTGAGAAAATGCTCGAAAATGACAGCTTGATCATTGGTTCAAGCAGATTCAACCTGGGGGATTCCTAACACGGACTGAAATGACCTGACTTTCTGTGTTATGCATTTATCCCCAAGGTAAGGTCCGACTTTAGAATTCCGGAGGACACGGGTAGGCTGCAACTCACGACACTCAAATTGATGGCAAACAGCAGCTTTTGAAGCCCTGGCACAGAAGCTCTTGTTGCTTGAAACAATCACATTTCACAGAACCCAAAGGCTTGAAGCGACCGGCTGACTGGTTGCGAAGCGTGCAGGACGCCAAGCACGGCTTCCGCTTTGGAAGTGGCCTTTACTTTGCAGAGGATCTCAGCAAAAGCTTAAGCTATGCAGCTTGGCTAAAACGTGATCAAGATGTGGCTGAATGCTTGTGTTCTGCTCGGCCACCAAGGCACCATTAGAGAGGGGCTCTGATGGTGGCAAGTCCTCTCAGTTTGTGCTTCTTGGTCTTAGAGAAGTAGGATCTATACTACTCATGGCATGTGGATACATAGGGCTATACCGGCTATACCCTATGGCAATGGGAGATCGCTTATAAATGGAGGTTATAGTTGGGAAATCATATCTATAGGGGATTTTCCAGCAAGCCATGTTTGATTACCGGAGGGTAATGGGATAGAAGGAGCAATAATTGGTTCATGGGGTTAGGCGATGGGCCCCAGAACAGGATTTGCCACTGGGACGTGGGGAATCTGATAGAATCTCCCTAGCTATGGCTAGGGCCTTTCCCGTTCATCTCGCTTGGGCCTAGGTCGTTTTGAGCATGGCTAGGTCCTAATCGTCATACTCCCATCATCACTGGATTGCAGGGAACACACCGGAACACCATGGGATTTTCCGATCTTCCCCATGGAAATCGCTAGCGGTTTCTCAATTTTTCCCGAAAAAACCAATCCATTGACATGACCATTCTGGGTAAATTATAACGACCTCACTGCGACCTCACTGGAAATCATTGTTAATAAGGGGAATCATCCCCAAATAGCCTTAATTCATGTTAGTGAATTATTATAATTTGCCCAGAACCATCTCCAGTTGATCCCAGTTGATCCCAGTTGATCTGAGTTGATCCCAGATATCCATAGATATCCCAGGCTCCTCTGTCGAGTGCTTTGCGGTCAGATGCACTACACGGATCACATGTCCGACGGCATGGCGACGGCGCACGCCAAACAGGTGGCGTTGAAAATTCATGGGTGGCAAAGTCCTGGAAAACGCCAAGAAAAATAGATAAAAAATAGAACATCCTGGGAAAATCCTGACAGTGGCTGCTTGTGCTGCTTGGTGGTTTCGTAGTCGTATTTTTGGTAAAAAACTCCGTTTGTGAAGAGCACATCTCATGCTGATCCATGGTGACCTTTCTCAGGTGTGGAAGCATGCAGTCCTGGCAAACCCGTCGTCCAAAGGACCACGGGAGTTCATTGTCCTTTCCGAGATGCAGGCTGGGGCAGAATATGGTGATTTTTCGACTGCTGATGGTGAGAAAATCACGAGTATGATATCCTTTTTTTTCTTGGGAGATCCAGTGTTTGGATATGTTGCAGCAACACAATGAACTACCGCAGTCATGCCATCGACAAAGAGCAACCAACCTGATCACCTCGACTGGGGCCCAGGGGCCACCATTCGACCTTGTGAATTCCACAGTACGCCAGGGGTTTCCTCCGATCGTTGGTTGTGTCCCTTTTAGGCTGCATGGATTGTGGTGGTTTTCCTTCAGTGATCATTGTGTCCCAATTGTTGTTGATTCGCATTTCTCCGTGTAATTGCTGGACACACATTCTTGGTAATGCTGTCCGAAGTATTCCGAAGTTGCATTTTTATAGTTTCTGCCTCTTTGAAAACATCCCTAATGATGACTTCTGACGTTGTCTCAGGTCTATCCCGAATATTTGGTGGAGCTAGCCCCAAAGGGGTCTATGGAACCATGATGCTGATCCTTTGGATCCTGCAACCGATGTCAGTGATTTTTGTTGTCAGATATCCATGGAATTCCATGGACATCATATTTTTGACATTTTTTGACTGTTTATCATTGTTTATGTACTTAAAATATCTTAAAATTCTCAATTTATGATCTTGTCAATGTTCGGAACAGATGCCAGATGAGACCCCAGCTGTTGACTTTGCTTGCTAAGTCAAGCGCAGCTGGATTTCAGCTAGATTTCTTTGACCACGTGGTATAGTAGCATTTTTTTTGGACAGAACAGATGCTGAAGGGGTATTGGGCTAATCACTCTGACAATGGATGTGATTTGTTCTTGCGGACATATGGACATTTTTCGACAGGCATAATGACTCTGTAACTCTGGATTATTCTGTCTTCTTGATTCTGTTCTGGACTTGCTATATCAAGTTCAACATGATGCAAATTCAAATGTTTCTCTCTGAATAGAGAGCAAAGACGCATTGGTGCAGCCTCTCTCAAACAGCCAGTGTTGCCACGTGGGACGTGGGTCATGTCATTTTATAAAGTCAGGTCATGCACTGGTTGTAAGACATGCCATGTGATGCTCTTATATAGTCCTTATCTGGTTGGTGGTTTGGAACATTTTTTTTTCCAAATATTGGGAATAGTAACCCCAACTGACTAATATTTTTCAGAGGGGTTGAAACCACCAACCAGACATAGTCCTTATAACTTATATCATGACCGCTAGCAGATAGCATCGCTAGTCCATCCCAACATAGCCACACCCCTTTGAAAGCTGCAGAGGACCTGAAGTTGACAGCTCACTTTCGGATGTTTCGATGTTTGTGAAACGTCCCACTTTTCAGCTACCCTCTGGTAAACTAGCATAGCTATGGAAACTGACCATTTTTAAGGCTGCAAATCATCTATATATTTATAATATATATATATCTTGGTATGGTGTTGCTGATTTGAGTAAGATCCTTAATTCAGCAGTACTTGCTCATTGCGAGCAGACGCACTGGTCGGAAATTCTGGGCTGCAGACATTCGCAGATGTTTCAAGATCACTGGATGGACGTCTTGCAAGGCTCCCAAGCATACCAAATACCCAAATTCACAGTTGGCTTTCCAATTGTACTGCCATGAATGTATTCTGATGCATTCCCGCAGCTGTTTGGCCACTGAGCTTCCACAGGTTCTGATCGAAACAAGTTGAACGAAGGAACGAAGGAGGTCAGACAAGACATACCAAGAGACTCCAATGTAAAGCAGTGAATTTACCGGGTCATGTGATGTAGTACAGAAACTCACCATTTTTTGGCAAATCATCATAACTCATCTATAAAATGGGCCATTTTATAACAGCCAAGCACCAACATTGAACCGTTTGTGCAATGTCTTAACGCCACATGCGTTCAAGTGCTCGTTTGGGCAGGGTGCAGGTAATCTGCTTCTGTGCTGTGTGTGTTTTGGAGGCCCGGCAGAAGTTCCTGAGCACCTTGCTGACTGCCGATATTTGACGACAGATCCACTTGTGTATGAAATGATATGTATATATATATATATACATATATATATGTATATATATACATATATATATATATGTATTTATAAATGACATATATATATATACATATATATATATACATATACTACACATAATACATACACGTATATTCTATGCACATAGTGTTAATCCTATATCTTATATTTCTTATATTATATTCTTATCATATCTTCCCTCCGGAGCTTGATATCATCCTCTATTGGTTTTCCTAGTTGCAGGTTCTGCGGACGCCTCCCGAGTCTGCCTTCATGAAGACCATCGGGGTGATCACAGGAGCCGCTCGCTGTTCACCAGCGGCGCCGTGCCGCGGGGAGAGGGCTGGCGGAACCAAGAGCTGGGCACATGGATTTTTGAATAGTCAAAGATGGCGATTTTACCCAACAGAAATGGGGGTTTCACCAAGCATTTTTTTTTTTGAGCAAGAAGGATGGACTTCGCACCAAAGGAAGGGTGATTTGAAAACAAACTGAGATCAGCTACGTCTCGGGTATTGACTACTACAAAGGTGCGGAAACCGCGGGCTCGCGCCCAGTTGGAGGCAGATTTTCTGTACCCCAAAGCCCGAAGTTATGGCAATTTTACAACGTTTGGGGCTAGCGAATGGCAGTTGAAGAGTTGAGACCAAGAGGGACACAGGGAGTAGTTGCTTCTTCTGCATGCCATGGATTTTTTGCCCCAGGCTTTGAATACAAAATGAGTCGTGACGGATGGCTATGGACCACGCAGACCCCTTTCGAGATTTCACGACCAGAAGTGTTTTTTTTGGGTAATCCTGGCTTAGCCACAATCTCCATAGATGAAGTTTTTTCCATTCAAGCCCCATGAAATCCCATCAACATTACATCATATTACACCCATCCGGCAGATTTCAGTGGCCAGGTATCAATGAGCGAATTGCCAAGTTGCTCCCAGATGGTGCTGTGATGCCCCACAACTCCGAGATGGTGATGGTCTCTGTGGACTGCGACCCGCCACAAAACATGGCGTACACCAAGGGAAATGGCAACTTTGCTGGGGAAAATGATGACAAAACATGATAAAACATGATAAAACCACTGGATTTTCGGATACGTACCATATTTTCGGGCAAACCCACTTGTAGTTCCGAAAATCCAGTTGTACCATATTATCATGTGAACATATTATGATGTACCATATTATCATGTGAAACTGCCCAGTAGTTCCGAACAGGACGACGAACAGGACCACTGATGTGAAGACTTCATCACAGCGCTGAGCTGCTGAGGTGATGTGTACGTGAGGTACTTGAAGGACAATGATACATCCGGTGTCCAGGACATTGTGAGAGGATTGTTGAATCAACAGCTTGAAAGCAGAGCTTCATGCAATCAAGAGGAACTCCTTTGTGTGTTCACTTCGGAGTTGACCAAACATCAAAGTATAGCAAAACAACTCGTAGCCTCATAGCTGCGCAAAAAAATGGTAGCTTCGCACCTGGCTGTCGACTGCATGAGGAGTACTTGGCACAGGCCGCTCACAAGCTTGACCTGGTGGGCGTGGATTTTATTGTGATTGCCTCCAACACTGCTCATATTTGCTACAGCCCCATGGCTAGGTATAGATGACATTCAGCTTGCTGTCGCTACCCTTGATATACTGATGGTTGGATGTCCCTGGGAGTTGGTGAAACCTAGCCATCCGACCATGAACCAAGGCTATTTGCGCGAGCGTTTCCCAAAGAGGCCAATTTTGCACATCGTTGACTGTGTAGCCAAAGCCTCTTGGCCTTGCTGCCTTGCTCAGCAATTCTTTTGTGTTGCAGCACTCACACCCAAAACATGGATCTACAGTATATACAATGATTGACAGAGGTGGAAAACAAACATAGAATCTACAGAACGGCTTTGCCTTGTCACGTTCTGTTGACGTCTCAGTTTTCTCAGACACTTTCTTTCCCATTTTTCAGACATTGGTTTATCTTTTATTTTTGGGACCTCCAAGCTGGTGATGTTGAATGGAAACATCACAATAAACCATTGCATATTGAGGTACCCCATTTTACTTGGTGGCTCATCCCACTTAGTAGGTTACTGTATATCATGTTATATCCCTGGTTTTGTCAATGGGATAAGTAGGCTTCATCGGTTAATCCACTATATCCACTTATATAACTGGGGCCCTCTAAGTAGGGTTAATCCTCTTATCACTTAGTTATCATGTTATACCCATGTTTTTTTTTTTCTGGGGTTTCCTAAGTGACCCAGGGTGAATCATACTCCGTGGCGGGATGATCTGGCGATTTTTCGAGGTGCTACCGAAAGGGAAGGTTGGACTTCTGGGCACCGAACCCACCATGCGCGAAGGCTCCTGGATCAGGGTTCCCTGGATTTACTGGATCTGCGTCATGGTTGGGTCAGTAGAAATTGGAGAACGAAACATGCTTTTTACATATCTGAACTAGATCTGAACGACATGAAACTATATAAATATCATGAAATCAGCAAAATCCGTCCCCGGACGTGAATTTTTGATCAACTGGGAACCCATTTTCAGGATGTTTGAACTTGGAGTCAAAAGAGGCTGCAAGATTGTGACCTGCTACTGCCAATGAATCAGGATGCAAAACACCGCAATAGAACACGGAAACATGCTGTGGCTTTGCCACGAATGTGCTAGCAGCTCCAAACAGTGTTTTTTTGTGTTTGTTTGCTACCGTAGAATAACTAAGGAACTCCTGTGGTTCATATCCGCTTCTCTACTGCAACCGTTGATGATCGTTGGGAATCAGAATATCTAGCTGCTTCCCAAGCAGCTGCTGGGATGATCCCATTTGGGGATAAAATCCGTGATAAATATTTGAGATGTATCATAGATATTTCTGTGATCCCATCCGGAAGTGATACAATGTCTTCCCATATATATATATATATACATACATATTGTGGGATGGGTTAATAAAAACCACTGGCATTTTGAACGCCCAGAGTTTCCCCAAGGAACGTTTGGCGCTCCATGGTTTTGAAGTGGTGGTCCCTGCCAAGGAGGAAGATCGGCGACTGGGCGGCACCACGGATGCGAAAATTATCATAGTATAATGGTACCACGGAATATTGCTGTAAAATATAGTAGTATATTTTGTAGAAACCGGGGTTTATGGTGACTTTTCTATATATCGTGTAAATCATAATGCAATATCCAATGAGCAACTGATTATATACTTATATCTTATGATTTTGTAATCATCATATTTTGGGGATGATTTCAGGATTGATCAGCCTTTTCTCTGGGTATTTCATCCTAGAGCTAGATGTGATGGGTATGAAATGAATCAGGGGGAATGTCAGGGTCAACTTGTTGTTATAGTGTTACAATGATGACCCTGACATTCCCCCTGATAACAACACTATAACAACATAACACCACTATAACAACATTGTAACAACATAACACTAATAACATGATCTTCAGGGGAGAATGGTTGATCGTTTCCGCTTCATTCCTCCAGCGGTGCGGACCCAATGGACCCATGGATCGCGGACCCATTGTGCTGATGGTAGCGGATTGCCAGGTTAGATTCCGCTGGTGATTTGAACATCATTTTCCCATATATTCCCCATAACAATTGGCATACATTGGGGTCTATTGAAATTTATCCTCCATTTTTCAGGCACACACCCCAATCGCATGGGCTGCATCCACCAAAAAGAACAGCTGCCCCGGGGTGAGGCAACGTTGCTACGACATCATTTGTCGCGAGTTGAGTTTTGAAATCTTCAGTGATGCTTCTCGGAACTTCTTCGCAGAAATGGCAGGTGCCTCGGAAACCATGCTGAAGCAGGGACCAGAAGCACCCAGTGTTGGTGTCGTTATTTGTTAGCATGGTGGGTTTTAGCCACAAAATATGGGGTTTACGGTTTGCGCGACAACAAAGGGGTTTAACATGGTTTCATCTTTAATCATCTTGAAGCGGGGATACTTGGCTAATATATTATATCATTGAATACATTTCATGTAACCCCCAAATCATGAATAGATCCAATACTAAACCAGGTTTTCGTTTGGGGTATGTATTGGACACTAGGGAGGGTATATACGGTATAGTTGTGGTGCTTTCTTGTTGATGGGCCCCACTCCTTCCGGATTTTACCAACTCATCAATGACAATCCCATCCCCCAATTTTTATTATGCCCCAGAAACTACAAGGAGGGACCCCCCCAGTAATGTTTGTTGGTTTGCACACCCCATCAACTAGTTCGATATATCATGATATATCTACCATAAACCCAAGTGAATTTGGAGTTCTAAACCCACCAACCTAGCTATCGTAAACGGGGGCCCCACCCTTGTGTGGTTTACGCGTGACCCGTGTGACTGGCATGTGACCTTCACTGAGTCGAACTCTACCAGTGCGGTGCTGACGCTGGAGTGATTTTGGGATGTACCGAGATCGAACTGCTGCTGCGACAAAGTGATGCGACCTGTCGGCAGAAAAGCTTCGTCCTCGAAATTCCATGGGATTTCTTGGATGATTTGAAATCTTGCGGGGCATTTGGAGCTTCCCAAATCTCAAGCTGTCCTTATTTCCTCGCCGAGTCTTCCGTGTCACTGGTGTGCGGCGAGGTTCCAGATGTGCCGCTGCATCGTTCCGCAGAGCTTCATATCGAGGCAACGTTGTGGATGTTGCGAGGGGATAGGTCGGGGCGACTCCAGGTGTGTTTCCCAGGCAGCACCTCACTAGCAGCCCTTGAGAGTTTGAGTAGTTTCGGGATGTTTCGGGTGACCCAAGTCAGCTCACTTGAGCAGCTTAGGCCGCAAACAAAATCGATCCGGCAATTTTTTTCATATGGATTTCGATGAATTTTGGTCTGAAGTTTGAATCCCCGTGATCCCAAAACAAACCAAGTTTTGCTGGGAAAAAACATGTCAAAGTGGATCCATGCTGCGATCGAGGCAGCCGCGCGCATTCAAGCGGGAGCTGACCAATTGGAGGACTACGACCCTCAGGCGCAGGCTGGGGAATCGAGCTGAAGCACCACTTCTCAATGTTTTCGAAATAAAACATACCAGAAGACACATGAAGAAACCACAATTTCTGGTGGAAACAGGAACCATCACAACTTTTCGGAAGTTGTACTATGCAGCTTTCAGCTTTTAACAGATCCTTCTATGAGTAAGAGTCTTGCTGCAACAGTGGCCCATTCCCAGCTTTTCCCCAGCTTTTCCGACAGGTCATTGAGGCGAAAACCTGAGACTCGGAGTAGTTGACGGCTGGGCTTGCAATTCTGTGTGAATTACGGCTGCGCTGCAACGAACATGCGGAGAGAAAAGCAGCCATTAAGCAGCCTGAGATTCGCCTGAGATCGCCCAAGTCCAACACTATGAGGTCCCGAAGTTTCCTCATCCATCGCGTCCATCCTCCATCACTAATCATCCATTCCGAAGTCCATTCCTCATCCGTCATGTCCATCATCCATCCTGGGCAATATTGCTACAATTTGGCGCATGGCTCAGCTGCTCAGCTCCTGGAATTGATGTGAGAAGATTTGAAGACCTGAGAAATGGATATTGAATGATATTGATATTAAGTTCAGTATGAACGGCAGAAACAAAAACATGTGGGTTCTTTCGTGCCAACTTTTTGAGTCAGAATTTTATAAATTATTAAAGATAGAATTACATAATATATATATATATATAATTATATATATATACACACATACAGAGTACATTACCATCAACATGGTGTTCTTGGTGGCAATGGAGTAGCTGGTGTCTGGAGCCCTGGGTGCGTGAACCCCGAAAAAATTCATGCAATTTTGATGGGGAAGAACGGCGATAAACCGATAAACCATGAGAAACCAGTGGATCTGGGGATACTGCAGATACCCTATTTTCAAACAAACCCACATGCTGAATGCTCAGTCATTTGAGAGTTGATGTTGGAGCAGTTATAGACAATGATAGGATATGGTAGCCATTTCGCCTCAAGGCCGGAAAAAAACACCCCAGCACTAAGAGAGTGCACGAGTCGCGGCCATTGCGACTGCCAGGCCGGTAGTCTCCATCTACAACTTCGAGAACCCCTCCGAGAAGACTGGTACCGTGCCGATGCCCTATGTGTTGCAGTCACCACTGCGACCAGACCTTGTCCGTGAGGTCCACACCAACATGGCCAAGAACAAGAGGCAGGCCTACGCAGTGAGCCCAAAAGCGGGCTATGACACTGCGGCCGAATCTTGGTGCACTGGTCGAGCTGTGGCACGTATTCCCCGTGCTCCTGGTGGTGGCACTCACCGTGCAGGACAGGCAGCTTTTGGAAACCAGGCCAGGGGTGGAGGAATGTTCAACCCGACCAAGATCTGGCGCCGCTGGCACCGCCGTGTGAATGTGACCAAGAAGCGCCATGCCGTTGCAGTGGCTCTGGCTGCCAGCAGCTTGCCGCCACTGGTGATGGCACGTGGCCACAGAATCAACCAGGTGGCCGAACTCCCCTTGGTGGTGACTGACGGCATTGAATCCCTGACCAAAACCAAGCAGGCAGTGGAGGCACTGAAGAAGCTTGGATGTGGTGAGGAGCTGCAGAAGGTCATTGATTCCAAGGCCCTCAGGGCAGGCAAGGGCAAAGCCCGAAGCCGCCGCTATGTCCAGCGTTTGGGCCCTTTGGTGATCTACAACGAGGACAACGGCATCACCCGGGCCATGCGCAACATCCCAGGAGTAGAGACAGCACACATTGATCGATTGAATCTGCTCCGTCTGGCCCCTGGTGGTGCTTTCGGACGCTTTGTGATCTTCACTGAGAGTGCCTTCAAGAAGTTGTCAGAGATCTACGGAACCCTCAAGAGCGGTGCTCCCTTGAAGAAGGGCTACCACCTTCCCCGTGCTGCCATGGACAATGCGGACCTTGCACGCATCATCAACAGCACGGAGGTTCAGTCTGTGCTCCGCCCAAAGATGGAGCGCTCTACTCATGCCATGAAGCGCAACGCACTTAAGAACAAGGAATTCATGGAGGAGTTGAACCCAGGCTCCACTGAGCGCAAAGCCAGCTTGCAAAAGGCATCTGAGAAGGGCACAGCTGAGTTTGAGGAGGTGCAGAAGAAAAAGAAGGCACGCATTGAGGAATCCAAGAAGTACAACAAGGAGAACAAGAAAGGTGACGACACCTTCTACAAGACTCTGATGAAGGCATTCGAAGCAAAAGCAGCTGCAGATGCTGCCAAGAAGGCTGCTGAGAAGGCAGAGGAAGAGGGTGAGGACGAGGAGTGAGCAGATTGCCTATGGGGCGACATGACTTGAGGCGGATTGAAGCGAAAAAATAAGACGTGGGTGGTGCCAGTCACAGAAACACTCATCATTTGGCAGAGAGGAGCTGGTTGAGCATTCCCACATAATTCATTTTAAGGATTGCCGATGCAAAGGTAGAGCAATGCCGAATATTGATTGAATCACATCATGGTACATGATGGAAGGATTCCCCAAGACTCAAGTTGAAAAGCGCAGCGCGATGAATCAGCGCTCGCTCAGGTTATCCATAAAGTTGGTCTGCGATTTGCGGCTTGACGTGGAAGGACTGCTTGGACATTCCATTCATTCATCAACACCGGCGGTGCAGTTCCAGTTGTCAGTGGATGTATAATCACACTCATGGGGGCTATCCTAACTTACGGGGCTTATAACATGTGATAAACATAGTTCTGCCGCAGCAAGCCCAAGTGCAGCCCCAAGTAGTGACTTCTTTTGATTTTTTTGACCGTCTTTTTTATGTCTCTGGACTCGCCTCTATCTTTTGACACAGGGCTCCATCCTGGATGCGCTTCGGAGTTTCCGAGAGGCAGATTCTTCACGGTGGCGCCAGCGGATTTTGTTGCCTTGGACACGACAGCCTGCAACATCCCGACTGAAAAATACCCGACTGGTCTGGTTGAGAGTGGGTGATACCAGCTGGTTCATTGGTGGTTACGCAATAACCCAAAAAATATTTAAGGAGTGCCTGCAGACCGACCTTTTTTTTTCATGGGATGGGATAGGTGTAGTCGGTGTAGTTTCGATGGCTTATCTGAAGCAGGTATGAAGACATATAATTTACATATGACGTGCAGAGCAGAGAGCCACGCCAATTCAAATGCGGCAAAGCAAGGAATTGATATGCCACAAGCGTACTGCTAAATCTTTGCCCCAAATGCAGTTTGAGGATGGCAGTCTCCTAGTTCTGTGTCACTATGACTCAATGTCCCAGATTTTAAGGGTAGTAATTTCACACATATATCATATATCATATACTTCAATTATCTTCGACATTGGCTGATTTTCTTGCTCGACAAGTCCTGGAAGGGTGACCTGTAGCAGAATCAGAATTGGGGTCGTTGGCTTCTCCATTGGGCAGCGACAGGTAGCAACTGCCGGGAATCCCAGGTCGCTAGATGGCAACAAGACATGCTGCAGTGGTGTCAGATACACATATGGATGAAACACCACTATGCAACATTTTAATAGGGAAGATGATGAGAAACCATGATAAACCGGAGGATTTGGGGATAGCCTCTTTTCAAACTATGCTGGATGAATTTGCTAGTGGTGTTGCATGATGTTCTCGACGGTTGGGGAGTAAATACTTTTTTTGAACATCGTAGCCGAATCGTAGCCATTTCGCCTCAAGGCCGGAAAAAACACCCCAGCACTAAGAGAGTGCGCAAGTCGCGGCCATGGCGACTGCCAGGCCGGTAGTCTCCATCTACAACTTCGAGAACCCCTCTGAGAAGACTGGTGCCGTGCCGATGCCCTATGTGTTGCAGTCACCACTGCGACCAGACCTTGTCCGTGAGGTCCACACCAACATGGCCAAGAACAAGAGGCAGGCCTATGCAGTGAGCCCAAAAGCGGGCTATGACACTGCGGCCGAATCTTGGTGCACTGGTCGAGCTGTGGCACGTATTCCCCGTGCTCCTGGTGGTGGCACTCACCGTGCAGGACAGGCAGCTTTTGGAAACCAGGCCAGGGGTGGAGGAATGTTCAACCCGACCAAGATCTGGCGCCGCTGGCACCGCCGTGTGAATGTGACCAAGAAGCGCCATGCCGTTGCAGTGGCTCTGGCTGCCAGCAGCTTGCCGCCACTGGTGATGGCACGTGGCCACAGAATCAACCAGGTGGCCGAACTCCCCTTGGTGGTGACTGACGGCATTGAATCCCTGACCAAAACCAAGCAGGCAGTGGAGGCACTGAAGAAGCTTGGATGTGGTGAGGAGCTGCAGAAGGTCATTGATTCCAAGGCCCTCAGGGCAGGCAAGGGCAAAGCCCGAAGCCGCCGCTATGTCCAGCGTTTGGGCCCTTTGGTGATCTACAACGAGGACAACGGCATCACCCGGGCCATGCGCAACATCCCAGGAGTAGAGACAGCACACATTGATCGATTGAATCTGCTCCGTCTGGCCCCTGGTGGTGCTTTCGGACGCTTTGTGATCTTCACTGAGAGTGCCTTCAAGAAGTTGTCAGAGATCTACGGAACCCTCAAGAGCGGTGCTCCCTTGAAGAAGGGCTACCACCTTCCCCGTGCTGCCATGGACAATGCGGACCTTGCACGCATCATCAACAGCACGGAGGTTCAGTCTGTGCTCCGCCCAAAGATGGAGCGCTCTACTCATGCCATGAAGCGCAACGCCCTGAAGAACAAGGAATTCATGGAGGAGTTGAACCCAGGCTCCACTGAGCGCAAAGCCAGCTTGCAAAAGGCATCTGAGAAGGGCACAGCTGAGTTTGAGGAGGTGCAGAAGAAAAAGAAGGCACGCATTGAGGAATCCAAGAAGTACAACAAGGAGAACAAGAAAGGTGACGACACCTTCTACAAGACTCTGATGAAGGCATTCGAAGCAAAAGCAGCTGCAGATGCTGCCAAGAAGGCTGCTGAGAAGGCAGAGGAAGAGGGTGAGGACGAGGAGTGAGCGGATTGCCTATGGGGCGACATGACTTGAGGCGGATTGAAGCGAAAAAATGGGACGTGGGTGGTGCCAGTCACAGAAACACTCATCATTTGGCAGAGAGGAGCTGGTTGAGCATTCCCACATAATTAATTTTAAGGATTGCTGATGCAAAGGTAGAGCAATGCCGAATATTGATTGAATCACATCATGGTACATGATGGAAGGATTCCCCAAGACTCAAGTTGAAAAGCGCAGCGCGATGAATTAGCGCTCGCTGAGGTTATCCACAAACGATGTGGAAGGACTGGTCATTCCATTCGTTCCTCATCAACACCCGGGGGTGAAGTTGCAGTTGTCAGAGGATATAGGATAAATATATACAAACACACACACACACACACATATATATATATATAATATAGATAAATAAATAAATAAATAAATATACATATACACATACATATATATATACATAAATAAATATATATATATATATCAATATATTTTTTTTTTTTTAAAATCATTATACTCATTATTATTATTACTATTATTTATATATTATTATTATTATTATTTTTATTATCATTATTACTATTATTATTCATTATTCATTATTATCTATTAGTATTTACTAGTATTTACTACTAGTATCATTACTTATTACTAATTATCATTATTTATTATTATTAAGTATACGTTACCTTCTATTCATCATCATTATTTATGTATTATTATTATTGCTATTTATTGTTTATTCTTATTATATATTATAATATACGTTATCTTTTATCAACATTATTCTGGGGTTCTTGTTTTTGCTGACGTCGTCCAATACGGCCCCGGGGAATTTGCTAGTTTTTAACAAACATGGGTTGGGGTGGGGTGGGATGTTAACGTTCATGGTACGCTGATGATGTTACGCTGCCCGTTGGGGTTGGGGTGGGGTGGGGTGGGATGTTAACGTTCATGGTACGCTGATGATGTTACGCTGCCCGTTGGGGTTGGGGTGGGGTGGGGTGGGATGTTAACGTTCATGGTACGCTGATGATGTTACGCTGCCCGTTGGGGTTGGGGTGGGGTGGGGTGGATGTTATGTTAACGTTAATGGTACGCTGATGATGTTACGCTGCCGTTGGGGTTGGGGTGGGGGTGGGGTGTGGGATGTTAACGTTCATGGTACGCTGATGATGTACGCTGCCCGTGGGGTTTGGGGTGGGTGGGGTGGGATGTTAACGTCATGGTCGCTCGCATGAGTACGCTGCCCGTTGGGGTTGGGGTGGGGTGGGGTGGGATGTTAACGTTCATGGTACGCTGATGATGTTACGCTGCCCGTTGGGGTTGGGGTGGGGTGGGGGGGGATGTTAACGTTCATGGTACGCTGATGATGTTACGCTGCCCGTTGGGGTTGGGGTGGGGTGGGGTTGGGATGAATATGTACATATATATATATATGTGTGTGTGTGCGTGTGTGTGTGCATGCCTGTTTGTGTCAGGTTACACATATATATATATATATGGATATATAAATATATGTATATATACTTGCATATATGTATATAAGAATCAGTGTACATGTCCAAGTATGCAAGGTATGTGTCTATGTCTGGTCTATCATGTATGCAACACGATTCTAACATATTGCTGGCTTCCAAGCGTTTTTTTTTTCGCTGATTTGCACATGGACTTGTAAAACCCATTGGAAATAGCACAAAATGGACACAAAGTGCTGTAAAACGCAAGGGATTTGAACATGGCGCAAAATCCATGGTGACAGAAAGTGCCATAAGGGTTATCGAAATAGCAAGATGCTTGTTTTCAAAACAAACAAAAACAGCGGGACCGCAATGGACGACGTTACCTTGTTTTTGGTTGTGCACTCCCGCCCCGCCCGCCCCGCCATCCACACACACAACTTGTCAACACACAACTTGTCAACACACAACTTACTCACACACAACTTGCTCACACACACACACAACTTGCTCACACACAACTTGTCCACACACAACTTACTCACACACACAACTTGTCAACACACAACTTACTCACACACCACTTGTCCACACACAACTTACTCACACACACACAATTACTCACACACCACTTGTCAACACACAACTTGCTAACACACAACTTGCTCACACACAACTTGCTCACACACACACAACTTGCTCACACACAACTTGCTCACACACAACTTGCTCACACACAACTTGTCCACACACACAACTTACTCACACACACACAACTTGTCCACTTACAACTTACTCACACACAACTTGTCCACACACACAACTTACTCACCCACACACAACTTGAGCACAACTTGCTCACACACACACAACTTGTCCACACACAACTTACTCACACACACACAACTTGTCCACACACAACTTACGCACACACACACACTTACTCACACACACACAACTTGTCCACACACCACTTACTCACACACACACACAACTTGTCCACACACCACTTACTCCCGCACCACTTGTCCACACACCACTTAGGAGAATCGGAGAAGCACACGGTGCTGGCGGGCGAGAAAGTGCACACGGCCACCCCGGGGCAGTGCGCTGAGCAAAGGATTGGGGATGGTGATGGAGAAATGAGTTTCGGAGAAGAGAGCCATAGCACAAAAGATGTCACTTGAAGCAAGGGCATGCAAGGGCTAAACTCTCGGAGAGGTCCATGAAGAGAGAGAGAGAGATTATGTGTGTGTTTTTTTCTCAATGGTTTTCAAAGATGCTTTTTAGATTTCTTTTTTAGTTTGAAAGACGAGTTCCAAAAAGATGCTGAAAACGGTTGGAAAACACACAGAAAATCGATAAATACCAACAGAAGAAAACGCTGTAACAATTCAAACACGTGGCTGAGCAAACAATACACACCTTCGCGCGCAGATGTGTACAGAATAGATGCTGATTTGGTTGTAGTCTTGGTATCACTAGGACCTGCATTTTGAACATGGAAAGGTGTCGGGAATTAAACCGTTGTTGTGTCACCCACTACTTCCACCATGGGTTGGTTAATTGCCGGCCAGGTACCAGATGCACGGCGGCCCCAAGAATGGCAAATTGAAGTCGGACTTCCCAGGGGTGTGGAGACGAAGGGAGCCAGATGTATCACCATGAGCTCGTGCCCCATTATCTGATCTGCACCAATTACAATGACTATGTGGTGGCCACAAGGAATGCTGGAAGACATAGTCGTGTCAGTCGGTACCCGGCGCACAGACGGCCGTGGACCGAAATGCATATTTTACACACGTGGATGCTACGCTGCTGCTACGTCACTGGGCATGGGTGGGGTGGGGGGGGGATGTTAACGTTCATGTACCTTGCGTACACACGTGGATGCTACGCTGCTGCTACGTCACATGGGCATGGGGTGGGGGTGGGGGGGGGGATGTTAACGTTCAGTACCTTGCGTACACACGTGGATGCTACGCTGCTGCTACGTCACTGGGCATGGGTGGGGTGGGGGGGGGGATGTTAACGTTCATGTACCTTGCGTACACACGTGGATGCTACGCTGCTGCTACGTCACTGGGCATGGGTGGGGTGGGGGGGGGATGTTAACGTTCATGTACCTTGCGTACACACGTGGATGCTACGCTGCTGCTACGTCACTGGGCATGGGTGGGGTGGGGGGGGGGATGTTAACGTTCATGTACCTTGCGTACACACGTGGATGCTACGCTGCTGCTACGTCACTGGGCATGGGTGGGGTGGGGGGGGGGATGTTAACGTTCATGTACCTTGCGTAACACGTGGATGCTACGCTGCTGCTACGTCACTGGGCATGGGTGGGGTGGGGGGGATATTAACGTTCATGTACCTTGCGTACACACGTGGATGCTACGCTGCTGCTACGTCACTGGGCATGGGTGGGGTGGGGGGGGATATTAACGTTCATGTACCTTGCCTACATACGTGGATGCTACGCTGCTGCTACGTCACTGGGCATGGGTGGGGTGGGGGGGGATATTAACGTTCATGTACCTTGCCTACATACGTGGATGCTACGCTGCTGCTACGTCACTGGGCATGGGTGGGGTGGGGGGGATATTAACGTTCATGTACCTTGCCTACATACGTGGATGCTACGCTGCTGCTACGTCACTAGGCATGGGTGGGGTGGGGGGGATATTAACGTTCATGTACCTTGCCTACATACGTGGATGCTACGCTGCTGCTACGTCACTGGGCATGGGTGGGGGGGGATGTTAACGTTCATGTACCTTGCGTACACACGTGGATGCTACGCTGCTGCTACGTCACTGGGCATGGGTGGGGTGGGGGGGGGATGTTAACGTTCATGTACCTTGCGTACACACGTGGATGCTACGCTGCTGCTACGTCACTGGGCATGGGTGGGGTGGGGGGGGGGATGTTAACGTTCATGTACCTTGCGTACACACGTGGATGCTACGCTGCTGCTACGTCACTGGGCATGGGTGGGGTGGGGGGGGGGATGTTACGTTCATGTACCTTGCGTACACACGTGGTTTTCTATGTGATTGCAGGAGCGGTATTATCCCATCTCCACGAACCATCCAGAAATAGCATCTTTGGTGCGAGCTCACGACCAATGGGTGCATGAGTTGGTTTCCAGGTCGGTGCTTGCTACACCTGTGACTTCTGGCTCGGACATGGCCTGTGGTTCGGCCGAAGCCAGTGTGACTTTGACGCGTCAGTCAAGTGGCTATGGCACTGGGGTCGCGACCTGGTCGCAACCTCCCTCCTCTCCATGCAGCGCAATGTCCGATGATCCCATCTCAGATGCTGAACCTCAGACCGCACCTGTCCGCACCGCTGCAGATGACGCAATCCGAGGACCCTTGAGAGCATTGGCCAAGCGCCCGGAGAACTACAAATATGGTTTCTGTGCTGATCATCAACGGGCCTTCAAATTGCATTTGGTCAAGACAGGACCCAACGCTGGTCGCTTTTGGTGTCGCTGCGAATTGTTTTGGCATCGTGGCAGCGATGGGCGTCCGCAGTGCTGGCGAGGGCAAGCATATCGTGGTCCGGTGGAGGCATTGCCGAAGTCGGCTGTCAGAGCACAGGAAAGGATGCGGCGAGATCTCAGGTTTCAACTTCAGCATGGTCCTCAGACCCGAGCCATGTAGCGAAACATTTCACATGATGTGCCACTTCGCTGGAAAAATAAGTCCGTGGCCGCACCGGTGGTCTTGAATGTTTCTGATGTAAACTCTGTGGAACCAGGGAACAAGTTCCATGCTTCGCACTGATTTCTGTTTCACATGGTCGTCATCTCGGTATTGCGGTGAATTTGTTTTATTGTTTTTGCTAGACGGTAGGCTCAAGTCTGCCCCCCTCTAATGTAGTATGGTTGGACTATAGTTCAACCCCTTTCTCCTTTGCCATGAAAAAACCTGCCTCTAGAAATGTGCGTGGGAGAAGTCCTGCTTGCTCGGTTTGTAAGAGTCTGGGGCACCGCATCGAAAAATGTCCTCACCCTGCTGCAAAAGAGATCCTCAAGCTGCGCAAAGAAAATTCTGTCTTGAAGAAACAATCGAAGAGAAAGGTTTTGAGACAAGAAAAAAAATGGCGAAAGGCTCCCAAGTTGGACAAGGAATACCGAAAGAAAGCTTCTGCCTTATACAAAGGCAAGCCTGCTGCAAGATTGCCTTCACCAGCGGAGATTCGTCGAAAACAGAAGCATGCCTTGGATGTGTCTTTGAACCTTCCCACCACAGAGAACACAGCAGCTTCGTGGCTCTTGGACCGCCAGTGGATCCGTTCCCCGACCGTTTGCTCTGAATGTGATCGACATGTATTTTCCGACTTGGTGTGGTCGCAAGACAGACCTCCACACTGGAGATGCAAGCACTGCGGAGTTCGGGTCAAGATCTATGACTTAAGCATTTTTACAGGTCTTCGTGTCTCTCCCTGCGAATTGGTCAAGCTCATTGGTCTCTACGTTAGCTCCAATCTGGCTCACTATCCTTCTGTTCCAGACTTTGTGCAGGTGCAGCGGGAAATCGAAAATATTGTTTTTCATTGCGAAGTTTTTTTCTTTACAATCACGTCTCTGATCATTGCTAGGCCAGCACCCATGGTCGAAGTTGTGTGGAACACTTCTTGGCAGCTCTTAGAATGTTGGAAAGCACGGCAGGGAAAAACTTCAGCCAGACTTGTCCTTTGCGTGGCTCCGTGGAGGTGGATGGCTCCTTCATCGCCAAATTTCACATGTCTGCTAACAATTTGTGGCATGCAGACCAAATTCAGAAGATTAACCAGTCTTGTCAACGTAAAGGTCAACGACTTCCGAAATCGTTTGTTGGCCATATTATGGTTCTGGGAGCACAGGTGCGAGGAAACTCGTCAGCTGCGATATATGTGCCTCGACCCCATGTGTCTCGGATGCAAAGGGTTCTTCTTCTGCAGACATGTTTAATATCTTTTAAACGTTGCACCCATTGTATGATCCAATGCGATGGAACCACAAAACCTTGACCATATCTTTCTTTATCCAGTTTCCTCAGGTCACAGCTGTGGAACAGCGTCCGGTCACTGAGACGTTGGCGCAAGTGGAAGCTTCCGGTTTTTTGGATCGCATCACTCGACGCAGTGTTGTCAATGCTGATGGCAACAAAGCCTGGAAGTCAGCAGCAGCAAGCCGTGGAATCCCTTTCCAGAATGTGATCCACCAAGTCAAGAATTTCACATCGGATTGCCCCAAAGTTTGGCCAGAAGTTTCCACTGTAGCAGGGACGCAGACGCTCGATCGATCATGGCGGAGTCTAAAGACGTTTCTGCCAAAAGGGATGACTGTGAAACAGAAAATCCAAGGACATAGTTGCATGCACCCAAGTGTTCCGCAATACATGTACATGTGGGCTTGGAGACCTCGGGAATGTGAGTCCGAACGAATTCTTGGAACACTTGGAAGACCTGCTGCCGCAGGATTGATGCTATAAGATAAAGAAAAAAGAAGCAAATCCTTGCAAGGACCAATTAGTTACGTCATTTCCAAAAACCCTTAAAATCATCGTTTCGCTGAGGCGAAAACACCATTTTGCTAACTTTCCAATGGAATTCAGCCACAAAAAGGGCATACACCCGAGATTTGATAAATCCTCACAAAACGCAGTAAAAATCAATGTTCGATCATACTCAATCCTCATTTTGACCCACGGCCGTCTATGCGCCGGGTTCCTGTCAGTCTCAGCAATAGGTTGGAAGGATTCAGTTTTCCGGGACGGCCACACATTAAGGATCCTCGACATATATTTGGACATATTCTCACACAATTTCACCATGAGATTTATTATGAATTTGAGCTGCCTTCATGTTTTGAACCTTCCAAATATATTGAACATCAACATTTGACAGTGACTTTTCAATTAAATCACTGGAAATGCACAGAATTTCCAATGAAATCCTCCACAGTTCAGGCAGCCCCAGTTTCACAGCCAGCCTCCGTGGACAGAGAGGTCTAGGCTTCCCGGGCCATGGCGGAGCCGGTTGAGTCGGCTGAGCTCTCCGCGAGCAAACCGGATCAGATCCTTCGTTTTGTTTAGGCCTGAGACCCAAAGAACCCAGAGATTGGAGGAGGTAATCCAATATTGAACCGTGAGATGATATAAAGATGCAAGTTTGGATGGTTTGGAGGGGTTTTGGCCCACGAACATGGAGAGAATTGCGTTTGAGGGCAAAAGGTTTCAATCACACAATGTTCCGGGCTCAAGCATACTCCCCGAAAACGAAATGCTGCCAGCAAGTAGTTCCACGGAATTCCTTAAAGTGGAAATCTATCGGCATTGAATATAATTAAGTTTTAGACTATGCATCAAGAGCCTGTACGGCGCATGTCTTTTCAAGAACCCGACAGGTATAACCAGGATTGGCTGCACTCTTGCATCCTCTCCTTCCTTCCTGGATCAACTTAGGATTGTTCAGAAGTTCAAGACCATCAGAGAATATGCCGTTTATGAACATCCAGATTCAGATGCTGCAGGTTTGCAAGAGGCTCTCGATGCAGAAACTGCACGTGCGATGCAGGGTGATGCCTCCAGCATTCTTCAGCTTGCCAGAGAGATCCAGACATATGCCCCAAGATGCATGGAGGTTGCCGAAGCGCCTCGGACGTCGTGTTTTCCTGAATGCGTAGCAAGGGATAGCAAGGGTTCCCGTTTCACTCCGGGGGTCTGGGGACTGAGGGTGTGTTCGCTCGACGTTGCATTTACGTTCGCAACCGTTCGCAACCGTCCGCGGTATTGCTATATGGCCGTGCCTATGGTAAGTTCTGCAGAAGGGGTCGTTTTTGGATGTTTTTGGAGGTTTCAAACGTCGCGTTTCTTCGTTTCGCGTGGCAGGCGTGGCACTTCGTGACATTCAGACGTGTATTGTAACGTGTCGAAAGCCGTTTTGTGTGGCAGGCGCAATCTTTTACGACGTTTTCAGAAGATGCGTTGCAGTTTTCGTGGCAGGCGCAGCGCTTTGGACGCGTCCAGCGTCATTTTGCGTGGGAGGGTCATACCCTGGAGATGGGTCACAAAGTCACAAATATATTTATTTTGTCATTTTGTGTTGTTGTCGTTTCTTTCTTTTTGTTTTTTTGTCATTTCAGTTTTGCCAGTCGTTTTGCCTTTTCCCTTTTTTTTGTCGTTTCCGCTCTGTTTGTCATGCTTTTGTCATTTTTTCAGTTTTAGCCAAATTTTTGCCTATCATTTGTTTGGGGTAATTTTTTCGTCGTGTTTTTGTCGCGGCAGTTTTTGTTTGTCATTCTTTTTGGTCATTGATCGGAAAAATTATATTTTCCGTATTTTTGCGAGAATCGCGCCACAAAATTGCAAGTAATGACTAACATTCCACCAAATTACAAAAATCATAGCCCAAAAAATGACAACCCAAAAAATTGCAAGTTTGCAGGTTGCAAAAAATTACATTTTTCTTGAGGCATTGTCGTCGTTTTTTCAAGTTTCCGTCATTTCGGCACAACGCGCTCAAAAAAAAAGCAGAAATATCAAAATTTGTTCGAAAAACGACAGACAATGACAAAGAAATGACAATGCTTCAAGACATATATGACATTTTTTGCTACCTGCAAAATTGTCATGTGTTGTCACTTTTTGTTTCTTTTTGTCATATGGTGAAAATGTTGTTATCTTTTTGTATTTTTTGGGTGCGGTTTTCGTACTAATATTGAAAAATATCAAAAATTAATCGCAAATGGCAGAGAAATTGCCCAAAAAAACACGTCAAAAAATGCAATATTTTGCAACCTGCAAAATTGTCATTTTTTTGATCTTTTGGTGCCGTTTTTGTCAAGAGTATGGAAGAAGGAGAAAAAACTTATTCGAACAATGACAAAAACTGCTAACGCTTCGAGAAAAAAACATCTTTGCAATGTGCAAAATGACCCAAATTATAGCCGAAACGACAGACCAAAACTCAAGTGACCAAAAATGATCCAAAAAGATGACGATCGAAATGGCAGACAAAATTGACATGACAAAAAATGTCAGACAAAACTGAAGTGACAAAAATAAATGACAAACAAATGACACACAGAATGACAGACAGAGTTGAAATGACAAACAAATAACAACAGGAATGGCCAAAATATGACAAATTAGATATTTTGAATTTTTCAACCTTTGCCTGCATAAGTTTCTTCTAACACTACGGATGAGCAACCTGTGCGAGGTGGATGTTGGCCCCTTCACAAAAACCCGACTTAAGTATGGGTGGGGATGCACGCCGTGGCTTGCAGGATGCGTTCCTGCTGTGGCTCACTGCCAACATGTGGCAGCCGAGCAGGAGGGCAAGAATCTTTGGGCAAGTGCTGGTGATTAAAATTCATAGACATCAGGTAAGTGAACACACGATGTTTTGAAAGGTGTCTGTGGATAAAATTCCCCGTGGTGAGGCTGGAGCACCATTGGTATAACTGATAGGGCCTAGTGGCCCTGGATATTTTTTGGACCAGACTCCCCGAATCTTATCCAGGGACCCCAAGCGGGGATCTGAAATGCTCTAAAGGTCCAGGGTTCCCGCAACAACTGAGCGTCCGCAGGCCTTACGGGCAGACCTTCCACGGTTGGCAGGCACCCCCTGCCACAGTCCAGCGCACCTCCACCAACACCAGCTGATGGTTTCAACTCCGCAGCTGAAGGCAGCCACCTGCATCCGGCAGGAGAAGGCGGCTGCAGTTTTGTGGCAGAGTGACGACTCTGCGTGGGGGGACGTTGTCTTCGTCCCAAGAGAATGGGGGGGGGGCAAGACCCCGTTTAACAAAAATAAACCATCAAGCAAATCCGAAAATAAAATGGGGTCAGTCCCCAGCATTTTATTTTGTTGGTGCATTAAAAATTTTTGAAGGGCCCAACGCATCAAGAGACCGACAGAGGTAGCAGGATAGCAGAGATGCACAGCTGCGAACGATTTGATCATGCTGTGAAACCTTCCAGGTGATTTAGCATATGAAACTGAAACAGCAGTTTTTGTCGATCCATTTTGATTCTAGCAGGAGGCGTGCGGTGAACAAATAAATGTGAAACACAATGAGAAATAAAGACGAAATGATCGCGAGTAAGAAGGATAAAAATCACCCGAAAAAATTAGTGTAAAACAAAACGCTAGAGATGAATTAAGGTCTGATAGAGTCATGCTCATGCATATCATACTGTACAAATGTCGGTCAACGATCAAAGGAAGTATAAAAGGCAATATAACGAAAGAAGTTGCCGGGGCCTGACGCCCAACAGTCGCCAGGTGGAGGGGGCCTGACGTCATATTCTTTTCTTGAGTTACTGTATCTTATCTTACCTTATGCCCTCTCATTTTATTGATTTTATTGGCATTTTGTCCTTGGGCCCTGCATTTTATTCTCTCCCGAATGCGTAGCAAGGGTTCCCGTTTCACTCCGGGGGTCTGGGGACTGAGGGTGTGGTCGCTCGACGTTGCATTTACGTTCGCAACCGTCAACAATCGTTCGCAACCGTCCGCGTGAGGGCCATGTGGCTGTGCCTATGGTAAGTTCTGCAGAAGGGATCGCTTTTGGAGGTTTCAAACGTCTCGTTGCTTCGTTTTGCGCGGCAGGTGTGGCACTTCGTGACGTTCAGACGTTTTTTGTAACACGTCCAAAGTCGTTTTGCGTGGCAAGCGCAATACTTTTGCGACGTTTTCAGAAGATGCGTTGCAGTTTTCGTGGCAGGCGCAGCACTTTGGACGTGTACATCGTCATTTTGCATGGCAGGCGCAGCACTTTAGACGTGTTGTGTCGCGTGTTTTTGCGAACAGCATTGTCAGGGCTGCGTCAAGCGGCGACAAAGTGCAGATTCCGTGGTAGGCGTGGCGTTTTGTGAGATGTGATGAAAATTGACGGAAGCCTCGCGCAATTTTGAGGTTGCAAATTTTCAGAGGAAAACATCGGTTTTGAGGCAACGAAGTGTCAAAATTGGATGAAGTCTCGCACGAAATGCTCGTTTTGATGCTCCCACGTGTCTCGTCTCGAGTCTCTGGTTTTCCTCTGGCCTCGCCGTCTCTATCGGGGAAGCTGCAAAACCTTTCCTTTTCGAAGGTTTCCAAGCAGGTCGTCATGTCGTTTTGCGTGGCAGGCGCAGCGCTTTGTGACATTCCAACCTGTTTGATAACGTGTCGAACATCGTTTTGTGTGGCAGGCGCAATACTTTTGCGTCGTCTTCACAAGATGAGTTGCAGTTTTCTTGGCAGGAGCAACATTTTGGAGATCTCTCAGTCGTCATTTTGCGTGGCAAGCGCAGCACTTCAGACGTGTCGCATTGCCTGCTCTACACTCCACACTCTACACTCCACACTCGACACTCCACACTCCACCCTTTGCACTCCACACTCCACACTCCACACTCCACACTTGACACACTCCACACTCCACACTTTACACTGTACACTCCACACTCCACACTGTACACTCCTCACTCCACACTCCACAGTCTACACTCCACACTCCACGCTCTACACGTTACACACTCCACACTCCACACTCCACACTCCAGACTTTACACTCCTCACTCCTCACTCCACACTTTACACTCCACACTCCACACTTACACTCCACACTCTACACTTTACACTCTACACTTTACACTCTACACTCTAAACTTCACACTGCACACTCTACACTTTAGACTCTACACTTTAGACTCTACACTCCACACTTTACACTTTACACTCCTCACTCCACACTCCTCACTCCACACTTTACACTTTACACTCCACACTCCACACTTTACACTCTACACTTTACCCTCTACACTCCACACTGTACACTTTACACTGTGCACTCCTCACTCCACACTTTACACTCCACAATCTACACTCTACACTTTACACTCTACACTCCACACTTTACCCTGTACACTCCTCACTCCACTCACTCCACAATCCACACTTTACACTCCATACTCCTTACTTTACACTCCACACTCGAAACTCCAAACTCCACACTCCACACTCTACACATTACACTCCACAGTCCACACTCTACACATTACACTCCACAATCCACAATCCACACTCTACACTTTACACTCTACACTTTACACTTTACACTCTACACTCCACACTCTACACTCTACACTTTATACTCTACACTCCACACTCCACACTTCACACTCTACACTTTACACTCTGCACTTTACACTCTACACTCCATACTTTACACTCCACACTCCACTCCACCCTCCACACTTTACACTCTATACTCCACACTTTCCACTCCTCACTCCTCACTCCACACTTTACACTCCACACGCCACACTTCACACCCCACACTCTACACTTTGCACTTTACCCTCTACAATTTACACTCTACACTCTGCACTCCACACTTTACACTTTACACTTTGCACTGTACACTCCTCACTCCACACTTCACACTTTACACTCCACACTCTGCCCTCTACACTTTACACTCTATACTCCACACTTTACACTTTACACTGTGCACTCCTCACTCCACACTTCACACTTTACACTCCACACTCCTTACTTTACACCCCGCACTCCACACTCGACACCTCACCACGCTCTACAGTTTACACACTCCACACTCCTCACTCCACGCTTTACACTCCACACTCCTTACTTTCCACTCCGCACTCCGCACTCCACACTCCACACTCTACACTTTCCACTCCACACTCCACACGCTACACTTTACACTCCACACTGCGCACTCTACACTTTACACTCTACACTTTACACTCTACTCTTTACTCTTTACACTTTACACTTTGCACTTTGCACTCCACACTTTACACTTTACACTTTACACTTTACACTGTACAAACCTCACCCCACACTTCACACTCCACACTTTACACTCCACACTCTACACTCCACACTCTACACTTTACACACTCCACACTTTACACTCCACACTCCTTACTTTACACTCCACATTCCACACTCTACACTTTCCACTCCACACTCCGCACTCCACACTCCACACTTTACGCTTCACACTCCACACTCTACACTGTACCCTCTGCACTTTACACTCTACGCTTTCCACTCTACACTCCACACTTTACACTTTACACTTTACACTCCCCACCCCACACTCCTCACTCCACACTTTACACTCTACACTCTGCACTCCACACTTTACACTGTACACTCCTCGCTTCACACTTTACACTCCACACTTCACACTCTACACTTTACACCCTACACTTTGCACTCTACACTCTACACTACGCACTTTACACTGTACACATTCTCACTCCACTCTTTACACTCCACACTTTGCACTCCACACTCTACACTCTACATTTTACACTCCACTCTCTTCTGCATTCCACAGTCTACAGTGCAGTGGTACGGTAACAGGGGAAACATGTAGACTATTTAAACAACTTATTTCAAGATAGTTTTCTACATGACTGCATTCGGGTTCGTGGGCTGCATCTTGTTTTATGTGTGTTCTCTACTCCCTCTCTGTGTAGATTTATATTGTAAACACTGCATGTGTGAATATATTGTTGTTTGAACATGGGAAGCATGGGAAAACTATATAAAACACTTTTCAATCTGGGTTTCGGCCTCGGGCCAACCTCACATGGACAGTTTCATGTTTCTGAGTTTTGTTGATTTGCAATTTATTGTAGTGACGGTTATCTGCATTTTCTCTTTGGTGATCTTGCTGTTGTGCATTTGCGTGCGACGAGGACCTGTACGACCAGAACCTGTCGCATGGCAGCATCTTCAATGTGTTCCAAACTGTTCACTCTTGTGCTCGGGAGATGGCAAAGCTGGAATCGCAGCGGCACTGGGCGTCAGCTTCGGAACAAATCATTCTTGCCATGCGCAGAGTTGAGGAGCTGTTGAAACCATTTTTGCTGCCGGACGATGTGGCTTCAAGCTCATTACCCACAACCCAGCCTCGTCATCAAGGCCCTCACGTGCAAAGTGTCACAGATGAATCATGGACACAAGGGCACCCAGAGGTTTCAGACCTTGCGGAGGTGATTGTGGCAGGGGACTTGACAGCCAAATTGACAGCCGAATTGCAGCGACTGGAACAACAACTGCTGGAGCAGCGGCACGAACACGGAAACACACATCACAATGACATTGCCGCAACACTGCATGCAATGGGCGAAGTGAGTCACGCTGCTGGAGATATTCCAGAAGCAAAGCAGCATTTGGAGGAGTCCTTGCGAATGAAGCGCTCCCTGCACGGTGATCGGGATCACCCTGGCATTGCCGCAACACTGCATGCGCTGGGCAGTGTGAGTCAAGCTGCTGGAGATCTTCCGGAAGCAAGGCAGCATTTGGAGGAGTCCTTGCGAGTGAAGCGCTCCCTGCTCGGTGATCGGGATCACCCTGATATTGCCGCAACACTGCATGAGCTGGGCAGAGTAAGTCAAGCTGCTGGAGATCTTCCGGAAGCAAAGCAGCATTTGGAGGAGTCCTTGCGAGTGCAGCGCTCCCTGCACGGTGATCTGGATCACCCTGATATTGCCGCAACCCTCCAGGAGCTGGGAGGAGTGAGTCAAGCTGCTGGAGATCTCCCAAAAGCAAAGCAGCATTTGGGGGAGTCCTTGCGAATGCAGCGCTCCCTGCACGGTGATCGGGATCACCCTGGCATTGCCGCAACACTCAACGATCTGGGCCGTGTGAGTCACGCTGCTGGAGATCTTCCGGAAGCAAGGCAGCATTTGGAGGAGTCCTTGCGAATGAAGCGCTCCCTGCTCGATGATCGGGATCACCCTGGCATTGCCGTAACACTGCATGCGCTGGGCGAAGTGAGTCAAGCTGCTGGAGATCTTTCAGAAGCAAAGCAGCATTTGGAGGAGTCCTTGCGAATGAAGCGCTCCCTGCTCGATGATCGGGATCACCCTGGCATTGCCAGAACACTGCATGCGCTGGGCGGAGTGAGTCAGGCTGCTGGAGATCTTCCGGAAGCAAGGCAGCATTTGGAGGAGTCCTTGCGAATGCAGCGCTCCCTGTACGGTGATCGGGATCGCCCTGGCATTGCCATAACACTCCATGAGCTGGGCAGAGTGAGTCAAGCTGCTGGAGATCTTCCGGAAGCAAGGCAGCATTTGGAGGAGTCCTTGCGAATGCAGCGCTCCCTGTATGGTGATCGGGATCACCCTGGCATTGCCGTAACACTCTATGAGCTGGGCGGAGTGAGTGAAGCTGCTGGAGATCTTCCAGAAGCAGAGCAGCATTTGAAAGAAGCTTTGCAAATGAACCGCTCACTGCACGGTGATCGGGATCACCCTGGCATTGCCGCAGCACTGCATGCGCTCAGTAGAGTGAGTGAAGCTGCTGGAGATCTTCTGGAAGCAAAGCAGCATTTGGAGGAGTCCTTGCGAATGCAGCGCTCCCTGTACGGTAATCAGGATCACCCTGGTATTGCCGCAACACTCTATGAGCTGGGCGGAGTGAGTGAAGCTGCTGGAGATCTTCCAGAAGCAGAGCAGCATTTGAAAGAAGCTTTGCAAATGAACCGCTCACTGCACGGTGATCGGGATCACCCTGGCATTGCCGCAGCACTGCATGCGCTCAGTAGAGTGAGTGAAGCTGCTGGAGATCTTCTGGAAGCAAAGCAGCATTTGGAGGAGTCCTTGCGAATGCAGCGCTCCCTGTACGGTAATCAGGATCACCCTGGTATTGCCGCAACACTGCATCAGCTGGGCAGAGTGAGTCAAGCTGCTGATCTTTGCTGTTACTGTAGCCTCCTTTGCGGAGCCAAAGGAGGAGAAGTGCTCGGTAGGCATTGCATGGCCGAGCTGGCTTCGAGCCACCTGTCTGTCCTTCTGACCTCGCCAAAAGTGCCAGGGGAGTGGTCTGGAGGCTGCACAGCTACAGGCTGCTGGGAGGGGACGATCCTTCCAATACTTTACAAGCAGCTCACTCCCAGCAAGCGAGAGTATTTGTTGATCGAAAATTTGCCCCAAGCAGTGTGCTCAGTTCTTTTTTTGCTGGCTGAAGGCGGTTCATTCTTCGTTGGTGTTTTGAATCTCCTGGTGCCTGGGGTGCAGATTCTCTTGACTTGTTTTTGTTTTGAGCCGGTGCTGTCTGCTGCTGCGCCAGCACTGGGCAAAAAGCTGAACCGAGCGATGCGCAACGGTGATATGGTCGCTGCTGCCTTTTTGGAGGAGTCCTTGCGAATGAAGCGCTCGGTGCACCGTGATCGGGATCACCCTAGTATTGCCGCAACACTGCATGAGCTGGGCAGAGTGAGTCAAGCTGCTGGAGATCTTCCCGAAGCAAAGCAGCATCTGGAGAAGTCTTTGCGAATGCAGCACTCCCTGCACGGTGATCGGGATCACCCTGATATTGCCGCAACACTGCATGCGCTGGGCGGAGTGAGTGAAGCTGCTGGAGATCTTCCAAAAGCAAAGCAGCATTTGGAGGAGTCCTTGCGAATGCAGCGCTCCCTGTACGGTGATCGGGATCACCCTGGCATTGCCATAACACTCCATCAGCTGGGCAGAGTGAGTCAAGCTGCTGGAGATCTTCCGGAAGCAAGGCAGCATTTGGAGGAGTCCTTGCGAATGCAGCGCTCCCTGTACGGTGATCGGGATCACCCTGATATTGCCGCAACACTCCATGAGCTGGGCAGAGTGAGTTTGGGAATGATGTTCCGCCTGGATCTGGCCTCCCGCCTTGATCAAGATGTTCCTTGCCAGACGCAATGACTTTTTGTACTGACAGTTTTTGTTTGAACTATCACAGGCAAATCATCATATCAGGAATATGTAAAATTAGGAAGGTTAATTTTCTGATTGTTTTACCTGCGGCCACCTTGCCATTTGAGCTGGGCTTGGCCACAATTGTTCTAGCATATGCTGTAGCAATGCAACATGCCCTTCATATTTTGGTCCTTGATAACCCCGTCAGCCACAGCTGAAGACACAAAAGGCATTCGTCAACCAAAAGGAAAACTTGTAAACTAGGTTGGTGAATGGGTGAGGGGGCATCAAGTCACAGACCGGGGGCAGTTTTCACAGGGGTCCTCGACGAATTTGACCTTGCCTGGATTTTTTCAGGCCAAAAGATGTGACTGGACCAATCCAGGATTTTTTTCTTATCTTTCTTTCATGAGCTTTGGTGTCCATATTGGGCAGCGCTCGGCGTGAACCAATCCGGGAAAATCGGTGGAAAAGCTTCAGAGTGCAGCCGTGCCGCAAAGACCATTGAGACCTGTGAAGATTCTCAGGGACGTCTTGGAGGAAGCCATGTCCTTATGATTGGTCCTCGAGACCGGTGTCATTATCAGCAAATCTTTGCTTAAGGATGCAGATGCATCACGTTTAGCCAAAACACGCCCCACTGCAGCATATTTTGGCCAGGTTCGAGCTGGGAGCCAAGTAAGTAATCCAGAGGAGGTTCAGCCACATCCAGGGTCAATGAAAGTCACGTATAATTGCATGATAATATGTTATAAGAATTTTGGTTGCTCCTTCGTCCTTTATTTGGTGACATGGTTGTAGTTCAAACGCGCGGGTCGCAGTTGATCTTTAATTCCTTCTTCCTTCATGTCGCAGTCCAAAAGGCTGCATCAGAATTGTAATCTGGTAGCTCTTGGCCTTCAAAATTGGGTCACCATTTTTCTTCGTCCAAGTGATGCCTTGTTTCTGAGGCCTGGCAATACTGGGAGTAATGGCTTGAATCAGATATGGTTTCAGAAAATAGTTGCTCCAATTGTTTTGTAAGATAGCTTCGCAACCCGCGAGCCAGCTCTGATGCAGGGATGCCTCCAGAAAACGATCAAGGGTTTCTTTGAATCAGTGACGTTTCATTTCAGGTGGTGCATACCCCAACTTCGCTGCCAACCTTGATCCTGATGTGCATTCCATTTGGGGCCACTCTAGGAAATTTTGTGATTGCAAAAATCAATTTTTTGGTAGGAGTCGTGTTTCAATGGTTGGTGGCTTATCTCCAATACAGTTGGCGGATTAGGCCAATGATACAGTTCAACTTCCTTCCTGGATGGTCTACAGCTCCAAAAGTTTAACATGCAGCCCAACCATTGTCTCGAATTCAATGCATATGCATATATATATATATATAATAGATTAATAGTATCTAGTATCATATATCATGATGTATCATGTTGCAGTTCCCTTTGGCGTCCCCTACTGTATCAAGAGGGCTACCGGGCTACCATCTATCATTTAACCTGGTAATTCAAAAGCAACATTTAAGACTAAGATTGCCATTTATATCCGGTTTTTCTTATGCCCCCACTAAAAGACATCAACACCACCATACACCACTCATCCTACCCATGTTTGTTTGTCCTGGTGCAATCACCTCCCTTCCATTGGCTCAGGCAGGCGACGCGGTGGTGCCCAAGCACGTGGTGACGGGGAGTGCTTGGGCGCATTTAAACCTATATGTAGTCCCTTCCCCTGTAACCATCCTGGGTCGATGTTTAGGGATGACTCCAACCAAGAACAACCACATAGATGACGGCTTATAACGTTTATGATATGATCATCTATGATTAGGGAGGTTGACCTACAAAGATAACAAACAATGCAACTCAACCACTTTCTTGTTCTGAATCCTGAGACATGATCAGGCGCAGAACCAGCCAGAGAAATTGAACAGAAACAAAGCCAATTTGGAATGACACAAGCACCCACTAGTAAAGAGTAGAAAGTATCACCTCAGCCAAGAGTAGCATCACCTAAGAAATTGACTTGACACTTGTTCTTAAACACCGCAGGTTGCAGGTTCATTTTACCTAGACTTGGATTGGTGTTTGCACATTTCACTTGGATGACTTCTATGGTTGATGGCCATGCCTGGTAACACCGACATCAAGGGCCAAGGGGCTATCTTTAAGATACAGGGACCAGCTACTGTATAACCACCATGACAATGAAACCATTCACTTCTGCTTCAAACGATCGCGCCAGGTGATCCCTTGACAATCAACATGAAACCCTGAAAGCCAGTGCGTGGCAGGCGTGGCACTTACGGCACTGGGCTGGCTCTGGTGGCGCACTTGGTTCCCAGTGGACGCCGTTGTCGCCGCGGCTCTTTGCGTGGCAAGCGTGGCACTTGGCGACATCGACGTGCATTCTGCGTGGCAGGCAGGCGTGGCACTTACGGCACTGGGCTGGCTCTGGTGGCACGCTTGGTTCCCAGTGGACGCCGTTGTTGCCGCGGCTGTTTGCGTGGCAGGCGTGGCCCTTGGCGACATCAACGTGCATTCTGCCTGGCACGCGTGGCACTTGGCGACATAGACGTGCATTCTGCGTGGCAGGCCTGGCACTTGGCGGCATCGACGTGCATTCTGCGTGGCAGGCATGGCACTTACGGGACTGGGCTGGCTCTGGTGGCGCGCTTGGTTCCCAGTGGACGCCGTTGTCGCCGCGACTGTTTGCGTGGCAGGCGTGGCACTTGGCGACATCGACCTCCACTTTGCGTGGCAAGCGTGGCACTTGGCGACATCGATGTGCATTCTGCGTGGCAGGCGTGGCACTTGTCGATATCGACCTCCACTTTGCGTGGCAGGCGTGGCACTTGGCGACATCGGCGTGCATTCTGCGTGCAGCCGTGGTGCTTGGTGACATCGACCTTCACTTTGCGTGGCAGGTGTGGCACTTATTGCACTAGTCTGGCTCTGGTGGCTTTTGTCACACACACACACCACTTTGTCACACACAACTCTCACACAACTTTGTTGCACATTGCACGTTTCTTTACTTTCACACGAATTTTTGTCACACACACAACTTTGTCACACAAAACTCTTCCACACAACTTTGTCACAGATTCCTTTCACACACAACTTTGTCACACAAGCCTTCACACACAACTTTGTCACACACACACAACTCTCACACACACACAACTTTGTCACACACAACTCTCACACACACACACAACTTTGTCACACACAACTCTTTCACACACAACTCTTTCACACATAACTTTGTCACATACATCTCTTTCACACACACACAATCTTTTACACAACTTTGTCACATACAACTCCTTCACACACACAGCACTTTTACATATACAAACTTACACACACACACACAGCACTGTCACACACAGCTCTTTCACCCAACCTGTCTTGCACCATCTCCTTTCCTTTCTGCCTTTCCCATCTCATTTTCACCTCTGCTTGGTGCTCATTGGAAGCAGTTGATTTGTGGGGTTATCCGGTCCTTTCATTATTATCATCATCATTACTATCATCATTTTCATCATCATTATTATTAAAATTTATTTCAATATCATTATTATGATCATTACTATTGTTATTACTATTTTTTGGTTATTATTACTATTAATCTTTTATTAGTTATGATTCTTCTTCTTATAATTACTATCAATGTTAGTATAATTATGGGGTGATATCCCAACTTAAGGGGTTTATAACCATAGCTTTGTAATCTATAAGCACAGGGTCTAACACATGATGGAAGGTACTGGGAACCATTGGGAACCTATCCGAGGCATTTCAGGCTCCGCAGCGAAACTCAAAGGTATGCATGATATGCATGGAAGATACAGGGACCTTAATTTCATTCAGTTTGTTCATCCTAGGTTTAATTCACTTGAGATTCCTGGTTGGTTTTGCATTCAGGGCAATTTCAACGTCGCAATGGCAAACATTTTACAATGCTTCGGATGAACATCCAGGTGTGAAGGAAATACTTTGAAGATCTTTGAAGGGCTAGGATCACAGGATGTCAAAGGTATCCCGATGTTCCCCGATGCACGACTGAGGTGATACAACAGTGGGACACCTGGCCGGAATCTCACATAAATTGGTCAGTTGACATGCCACCGGTACTTTTTTTATTTAAAGAATGCATTTCTATGTTTTTCTTTGTTCCGTCCAGTCCTTTCATATCCTTTTTACATCATTCTCTTTGCCAGCTTTGCTTGTAAACTTCGCAATACTTTGCTGTAAGGTGTGTTGACATGACCGTCGCTGTGACATGACACCTGCCTTCTCTCGAAGGCCATTTCTCAGTGGTCACGTTTCGTGAGAGGAACTGCGACCAGCAGGCTGACCTGTGGCGACCAATCCACCAGAAACCTTTCGGGGGTTGCCTCACCCGAGGGTTGTGCGAATGCCTCGCATGGTGACTTGTGGCGATTGTCTCACTTCGCTCTCCGCATGCAGACGAATGAGACAAGTATTAGATGTTATAGTTTGGTAAGGTTGATGTAATATGTCACTTTGGTATTTTAACAATGTCAAAACCATCAGCTATTCATTGACAAAATTCGTCTGTGAAATCCATCAAATGTTCGTCGCCAGGCGATGCCGAAGCTTGCCGGAACTGCGTGGTGTGCTGCCCAGGCATGTGGTTTGTTGACGAGCATAGAAACTCATCAAAGGTATGCATGATATGCATGGAAGATACAGGGACCTTAATTTCATTCAGTTTATTCATCCTATAGGTTTAATTCACTTGAGATTCCTTGCGGGTTTTGCATTCAATTTCAAACACGAGTTGTCATGGCAGACATTACAATGCTTCGGATAAATATCACGGATTATCAAGGTGTGAAGGAAATATTTTGAAGGTAATTCAAGGGCTATGATCACAGGGTACTAAAGGTATCCCAAGGTTCTCGGATGCACGACTCTGCTAAGTTTTCCTCGTCACTCTCTTTATCTCCCTGTATCAGCAGTGTTTCTAAGCTTGGCTATATTATTACTGATATATTGACAAAAGTATTGGCAGTTTTGGTGTGAAATCAAACCTGCCTGGCTCAAACTCGTGCGTCAGCTTCTCCCGCCCTGGGGAGCTGAGGCCCAATGCGGCGTTCAATTTGTGGTTCCCCGCCATGCATGCATATGTACGTGTCCCTCTTTCTAGTCCTGTACATGCCTGCAGACTCGACATGCCTGCAAGACGGGATTCCCGAAGAACGTCGCAAGAACTTGGCTGCTCGGGCTGTTGACGTCTATTGTGGCACCCGGAAGAATGTTTTTTTTTTTAAGGCCGTGTTTGGGAAGCTCTTGAACCCGCAGCCCTTTGATTTCCACACTAGAAGCCGCATCAAAGCTCAACTAGACACGCCCTAGCCTCAATCCGTTGGTGTCAGCTGTCCTCAGTTGTGCATGAGGTAAACCAATTCACCGGAGAAAGCTATCCGCTTGGCATGCATCGACATAACTGGCCAGCAGCGTTTGCTACATCCGCCCTTGCTCGCATTCTTATTGAAGAGAAGTTCGGTGACTCCCCCATTTTCAATGACTTTCAAATCTTCCACCTTGCAGATATCATTCGTGTTGGTAGGTCACAATTCACATTATTGTTCGTTGCATCCACATTTTTTTGCTTAAATCTCCGGGCTCGTGTGGATTTGGTGGGTCTTCTTGCCAGGTTACCATGTCAATGTCATCGCAACCGGATTGTCTACAGTGGATGGCATTTATGCCTTGACAGGCTGCAGCACACCATTGAATATCAAAGACCGTGGATGCGCTGATAGCATCAACGTGACTTACACTCATGTCCCTTTGGCCCAAACAGAAAAGGCTTGCCCAAAAGCAAAAAAACAAATACTCAAAGTTTTTCTGCTTGTGTTTCTGTCGCAGAAGCAACTTGAAACGGGAACGCAAGGTGGCAATGGAATCCTGGCTGTCGTCGTGGCAGAATGCTTGGGATGTCATTCAGGAGGAATATCCTGCCACAGCTCCTCGCAGTCTTGGCAGCATGGGTTATGATGGACGAGTTTCTTTGTTCATCAGCCAGACAGTCCGAGAGACAGCCTGGGAGGGTGAAGGTCTCAGTTTAGAGTTCTACCGTAGCTACAACGTGACCTGGCACAACGCTGCAAGATACTTTGACGGACCACAGTCTCTGAATACCTCTTTGCTCAAGCGTTGTAATGAGACACGTCTCATGCTTTCCATAGACATGAAATTATACTTAGAAATCACTGGCGACTGGGATGGAGTCGATGTGGTGAACGAGACTGTCTTGGGGAAGTGCTTTGATGAATACTTTTGGTTTCTTGGATCAATTCAGCAAAAGTGTGTCTTGATGTGTCTTGTGCGCAGAAAGTATATCTGAGTGCCATGCTGACAACTGGAGGTACCCTCCCTCATGCCGCCACGATCCTACCAAGTGCTTCATTTACATCACCGGTGGGAATGGCTGGGAGATCGACACTGCCATGCAAAAGGCCACTCTGTGGAACATGCCAATGGCAAGTGCTGTTGCTGTCGATTGGCGCTCCTTTACTCAATTGCCGCTTCACCATCATGCCTTGCTGCTTGGCCTGGACCATACCACAGGTTGGGTTCAACCTGGTTCGCAAGGTTAGCATTACGAAGCCTTGCCAAGCACATAGGGCCCATAGGGGGGTTTCTGAAAAGGGGGATCCCCAACAAAACCATGGTTGTTTCAATGCTAAGTCATGGATCTTTATTTTAGGGGGTACCCCCATGACAAAACGGAAAGCTCCTGTCATGTTTGTTGGTTCAAAAAACAATACGCACGTATATAAATAATTCTATATATATTATATTGTCTACCATAAGGCAGTTTTATCAGTCCCAAGCCTGGCCAAGCGCTGTCTCAGCTGAGGTTCTATTGGTGGCTGCCAGATCCCACCTTCTTATCATTGTCCCCAATTGAGGTGGCCTTCCCTGCCTTTGATCGACAGGCTTTTGAGCGGGGTGATAAGCGCAACGCCGTCACCAGCGAATCCGTGGAGATCCTGGTGAGTCAGGAGTGGTCGATGGGTCGAATGTGCTGCGGGGAAGAAAGGCATGTCATAAATCGACTCAGAATCGGCTTCTAATCATATTTTTGTTTGATCTTTTTTGTGCCTTCTTAGGGGTTGCTGAGGTTGTCAGCATATCAGCCCCAGCTCCTTCTGTTTCCTTCAGGACCTGCAATTGTTGGCGCCTTATGTTTACAGCTTCTTGGAACCTTGGACGAGGCTCTGATGTGAGCATTGAGAATCTGTGCTTTGGAAAAAAACCATCCGTTTGCACATCCTTTGGTCGCAGCAGTTTGCATCAGCTGATCCAAGGATTCCTGGGACATGTCAGTCAAAGATGTGAACAAGATCCTGGAGGATCAGATGCAAAGCAACGCTGATTGGCGTGAAGTGGCCTGTCGATGGCTCTTAGGCCACGAAAATATCTGGAAGAAGTGGTTGCCCTACAGCACCCAGTGCCTTCAGCAGTTTGGGCTGTACAACATTGTCTTGGACAAATTTGTAGACAATCGCGACGACCCAAGTGATTTGACCTGTCGCGCATGCCCTTCAGGCACGAAGCTTTTTGGAGATCCCTGAAATTCACTGACATCACCTTGATGAATCATCGAAATATAATTAACGACAATTAGCACAGCACTTCATTTTTAAGTAGTGTATTGTGACATGATTGTGGTGAGATTATATGATATGTTTGATGTTTATGATCTCCTCCTACATATGTTCGTATATATAATTTTCCCATATATATACACATATGTACATATATGTGTTTATATATACACTGTACCTTGTTGTCATATTCACACCATCTTGTTGTCATATTCACACACACACACGTTGTATTGTATCACATTGTACAAGTACAGCCTGGACAGACCAGGGGCGGACGTTTCCACAGTATAATCAGAAAATTAAATACTTTCTTCGAGTGATCCCCACCAAGTGCCATTCTACCTGATAAATATTGTGACACATATATTTTGACAAGCTATCTGGCATTCTATCTGACATTTTATCTAACGTATATTCTGGCATTCTATCTCGCATTCTTTCCTGACATTCTATCTGGCACTATATCTGGCGCTCGCGGTTGAGGTCCGGCAGTTCCCACTGAGACCTGGCGCTCGCGGTTGCGGAGATGGAGGAAGCGGAGGAGGTGGAGCAGGCGGAGGTGGAGGATGGGCGGCATGCAGCTTTGCTAAAACCTAGAGACCCTCACCTGGCAGGTGGGGAAAAAGGGGAGGTTGCTTGGTTAACTGGTTTGCTGCTTGATGGATGATGATGGTGATGATGATGGCGGTGATGATGATGGTGATGATGATGATGGTGATGATGGTGATGATGGTGATGATGATGTTGATGATGGATGATGGATGATAGATGACTAATGAAGGAAGGAGGGAAGGATGGATTGATGGATTGATGGATTGATGGATGTGTTATGTTGATGGGGCCATTGGTTGATGGATTGATGGGTTGAGAAGGACAGAATCACGCCGCAGTTTTTGAAACAAAACTCAGGAACAATGCCTTCAAAATCCGGAGCAGTTTAGGCCTAACAAACCCAGACGCATTTCTCAATTTTTTTTTGTCGGTTTTCCTTCAATATTCATTTGATTGTAAGCCATCGTTTCACCCCTACATTGCAACATATCATGTTGTTTATTTAGCGTATTCAGTGTATTCAGTCATTTACAGTTATAAACTGGTGTGCAGTGATTTTCTATTGCATCAATTTGCATCATGCATCCATCATACATATAGTCTATATTTTTTAGTTTCTTCCGGTTTCTTCTGCTCGTTCTTTTGTGGCATGTCATACCGATCTGATCTCAGCTGATCCCCACGTGTCCTATCGGTTTGGTGCCATCGCTTCGCTCTTCGCTTGCTCGCTGCCTGATCGTTGGGCGACTCTTATGGTTTCTGCCTATCGTCCTTGTCGTCCTTTTCGGGGATAAATTGATAAATCCCCATTTTTTTTGGGATCTTATTTTTCAGTTTGTCAAGCAGACTGCTGTTCTTGAAAATTACCATTTCTGCGTCAAACAAAGTTGCGGATGAGCAGCTGCTTGCAAGATGTCTTGCAAATGCTTCTAAATCACAGACGGGCAGGCACATATTCAAAAGAATTTGTGGACGATGTTGGAACAACTTGGATCTGTGTTCAATGTCCACTTGGAAGTGCGCAACCTTATGGAGCATCTCTGGCATGTGAACCCTGCAGCTTCGGAACCTACCAGGATGAGCTAGGACACTTGTCAAACAACTGCTGGTATCTGTCCAGTCGACAACTATGTGATTTTAATATATTTTAATTTTGGCACATCTACAGTATCATTCATTATCACTTATCCATAATAAAAGAACCAGCACCGCAGTCATGGTGTCTGTGAGGATTTTTCAACTGGACGGAAGGGTTTCCCCTCTCTCACTCTCTGTCCGCAAGGAGTGAGTCTAAGAAACCGTTCTCTTCCAAAGCTGCTTGCTGTCAAGGGTTCGCAACGTGTGTCCACATTGATGTGGGATAGCGTGCCCACCACCTGTCTCTCATTTCGTGAATAGCGGCACAGAATCACATGGTAGGTGCAATAAGAAGAGCCAACACAAGAAACCTTGATTCTCAGTTTATAGACCAGTTTTGGATTAATTTTTGCCAGAATTTGGTTTGCCCATAGCTTCAAGAGATAATGATTGGAAAGCATACTGCATAATTTCAATCAGGGAGAGGAAAAGTGACTCTATTATCCGGAAACTTGTCCCAAAACTGTGTTAAGCTTGGTGCGCGCAAATGCAGACCCCATTCTCAGGTTCCACTCTGGCAACGTCTCAGGAAAAACACACTTGTCCCATCTTGTCCCAAAGATTAGACAGACTTGGACCCAAAGTTTTCGCCAAACCATATCGAAACATACCGGAAAAACACATTGCCACAGTTATATACGAAATTACAGGTTGAAGTGATTTTAGAAAGTGTTCCCCAAACAGTGTCCACACTGAGGGGTTCTCACGTTAGGTGTAAAGGCCGATGCTTCATCAGGGTGCTCACTCTGGGCGCGGCATTTTTCTTGTAAATTTCCGTAAAACGTGGCTCTTGTGAAATGTTGCAGTGCATTTCGACTGCGAGGCTCGCACAAAAAGTGTGTCCGGGTTCTGGGCTCAATCTGGGCCGCGGCATTTTTCCTGTAAATTTCCGTATAACGTGGCTCTTGTGAAATGTTGACTTGCATTTCGAGCACGCAGGCTCGCACAAAGTGTGCGCCTAGGTTCTGGGCCGCGGCATTTTCCCTTTAAATTTCTGTATAAAGTGGCTCTTGTGAAATGTTGACTTGCATGTCGATTGCGCAGGCTCGCACAAAGTGTGCGCCTAGGCTTGGGCTCGGCCACTTCTCCTGTAAATTTCTGTGCAAAATGGCTCTTGTGAAATGTTGTCGTGCAGGCTCGCACGAAGTTTGCGCCAAGGCTCTGGGCTCGGGCACTTTTCCTGTCAATTTCCCAGATAATGCGGCTCTTGTGACATCTTGACGTGCATTTCCACTGCGCAGGCTGTGGTCCTAGGTCTTGGGATCGGTCCTCCCCCTCAACATCATCATCCCCCCCGATCATCATCTTCCTCCTCCTCAACATCATCATTCTCAACATCATCATCTTCCTCCCCCTTCACATCATCATCCTCAACTTCATCATCCTCAACTTCATCATCCTCCACCTCCTCTTCTGCAACATCCTCCTCCTCCTCCTCCACCTCATCCTTCGCACATCCTCCTCAACATCATGCATCTTCCTCCTTCTCAGCATCATCATCCTGCACCTTGTCCTCCTCCACTTCATCTTCCGCATTATCATCCTCATCCTCATCCTCCTCAACATCATCATCCTCATCCTCATCCTCCTCAACATCATAATCCTCCACATCATCCTCCTGCACCTCATCATCCTCGTCATCATCATCCTCATCATCATCTTCCTCCTCCTCCTCATCATCATCATCATCACCATCATCATCATCATCACCATCATCATCATCATCATCACCATCATCATCATCACCATCATCATCATCAACAACATTATCATACATTATCCTCCCACACCCCACACTGTGTGGGGTCTCTTGCCGGGAGAATTTTTTGATGTGTTTGACCGTGCGAACAAACTGTCTGAGTCCACGGCAAACTCCAAAGATGCGGTTCTCACTCATGAAATCATGGGGCCTGAGCAGTGGAAAGGTGCTGTCTCTTCCGGTCTTCCAGTCCTGTGTTGTCCTTCTTTACCCTTTACCCGAAGGCTTGCAGGGCGTCTATTTGATATTTCCCGGATGGACCCAAGTTTGGTGTGGGTGCTTACATGTGCTTGCCTGGGCGCTATTGTGTTTTTACATTGCAAAGGCGTTGTCTGGGAGTTTGCCTCCCAGCCCCATGTCAAGTCTACGCGAACTATGCCTGACCGTCCAAAAAATGAAAGAGACATTGTGAAACCAACCGTGAACATTTGTGCTGCTGTGATTTTTTTTGTTTGGGCGTGTCCACAACGGGTGCCGCCATTTTCATGCCTGGAATGTGGAGCAAGGATCGGTGGCCTGCAAGCGTTGCGCCATTGGGGACTACCAAGACGAAAGGGGCCAAGGTGCTTGCAAGTCATGCCCGCCGGGCACGACCACATTAGGCTTTGGACCCTTGGTCTATTTGCATATCGAACACAAGGATTGCACACTGAAGGTTCCTAGAAAATCCTCACAGCGAGCATCTCACAAGTGTGTATTAAGTTAACATGACGTCCGCCGCACATAAGTAATGTTTTCACTCAATTGCCGCACCAGGTGGCGGTGTTCTTTTTGTGAAGAGACCAGAGTTTCCATCTACCTTCTTGGTCTGAGCACCGCTTGGTGTGAGAACCAGAGAATTTTGCGTATATTGCGAATTGCATGATGCGTATCATTGTAGAGAATTGTAGTAATGTGGGCAACGCAATAATAAACCTACGGTTTGGAAAAGGTTTATACAAACCGTTGGTGATTTTCCGGATGGTCTATTGTTGGACTGACCACATTACACACATATATATACACATATGTATGTCATGTTATGTTTTGTGATGTTATGTTATGTTGTGGTATGGTATGGTATGGTATGTGTATGTGTATGTGTATGTGTATGTGTATGTGTATGTATGTGTGTATGTGTGTATGTGTGTATGTGTGTATGTGTGTATGTGTGTATGTGTGTATGTATGTATGTATGTATGTATGTATGTATGTATGTATGTATGTATGTATGTAATGTATGTATGTATGATTATGTATGTATGTATGTATGTGTGTATGTGTGTATGTGTGTATGTGTGTATGTGTGTATGTGTGTATGTGTGTATGTGTGTATGTATGTATGTATGTATGTATGTATGTATGTATGTATGTATGTATGTATGTATGTATGTATGTATGTATGTTGTATGTAGTGTAGTGTTGTAGTATGTAAATGTATGTATGTAAGTATGTATGTATGTATGTATGTACGTATGTATGTATGTATGTGTATGTATGTGTATGTATGTATGTATGTAATGTATGTAATGTATGTATGATGTATGTATGTATGTATGTAAGTATGTATGTATGTATGTATGTATGTATGTATGTATGTATGTATGTATGTATGTATGTATGTATGTAATGTATTGTAATGTATGTATGTAATGTATGTAATGTATGTAATGTATGTAATGTATGTAATGTATGTAATGTATGTAATGTATGTAATGTATGTAATGTATGTAATGTATGTAATGTATGTAATGTATGTAATGTATGTAATGTATGTCATGTATGTATGTATGTCATGTATGTAATGTAATGTAATGCAATGTAATGTAATGTAATGTAATGTATGAATGTAATGTAATGTATGTAATGTATGTAATGTATGTAATGTATGTAATGTATGTAATGTATGTAATGTATGTCATGTATGTCATGTATGTCATGTATGTCATGTATGTATGTATGTATGGTAATGTAATGTAATGTGATGTGATGCAATGAAATGTAATGTAGTGTAACGTAATGTAATGTATGTAATGCATGTAATGTATGTAGTGTATGTAATGTAATGTGTTGTAGTGCAATGTAACGTAATGTAATGTAATGTAATGTATGTAAAGTATTAGTGCATGTACTAATGCATGTATGTATGGATGTATGCATGTATGTATGTATGTATGTTTTAATGTAATGCAATGTAATGTAATGTAATGTAAGGTAAGGTAATGTAATGTACTGCAATGTAATGTATGTATGTATGTATGTAAATATGTATGTATGTATGTATGTATGTATGTAATTTATGTAGTGTATGTAATGTATGTAATGTAATGTAATGTAATGTAATGTAATGGAATGTATGTAATGTATGTATGTATGTAATGTATGTATGTACGTAATGTAATGTAATGTAAGGTAATGTAATGTAATGTAGTGTGATGTAAGGTAATGTCATATAATGTAGCGTAATGCAATGTAATGTAATGTAATGTAATGTAAGTATGTTTGTTTTCATGTATGTATGTAATATATATATATGTCTGTCTGTCTGTCTGTCTGCCCGTATGTATGTAATGTAATGTAATGTAATGTAATGTAATGTAATGTAATGTAATGTAATGTAATGTATGTATGTCGATGCCTAACGCCGCTTTCTGGCCTATGGTGAAGAAGACGACACTTTTCCTCGAGCGCGCTCCCCCTTGCCGTTGGCTGGGGTCGGCAGAGTAAATAACCCCCAGAACAGTAACAGAATCCCAAACCAACTCAACATTTAAAATCAAAACTTAATAATAGTACCCCAAATAAACTTGATAACATTTAAACATTTAGTGGTTCTAATCTAGCATTTTGACAAGAATCCAGCTATAATATGTATCATACAAACCTAGATTGTATTGATTTGTTCGAAGGTTCTCATGTGTTTTCTTTACTGAATTTGGAACTTGTGCTCCGTGTAGAAGTGTATTAAGTTCTAGTCAAGGCAATATGTTTGTTCCATGGCAAGAAAGATACCAACTAGTTGAACTGAATACTGCTTAGCTGCCCTCATTGTCATTGGTTTGAAGACAAAAACAGCATTGTGATTTGTACTAATGTGTCATTTTTTTTGCCAACTGGAGCAATTGTCACAAAACTAATTTTTGGGAACGAACATCCTACTTGAGATGTTTGTGAGTTATATTTGTTTAGTTGTTTTCAGCCAGTTTCCATTTCCACATTGTTTCTTTACTTGGTAGTTGTTCATAAGATGTTGGCTCCCATCATGTTGATGCAGCAAGCAACTTCATAACACTTGATAGCGTACTTATTGTTCTTCAAGTAAACGTTTTTTTCGAGGAAGGGGGGCTCCAGTCTTCTGTGATTTTTGTCGCTGAGGATCGGTGATCCGAAGTGATCGCGGCTGCAAGCAGGGCCACATCAACATCGACCCTTCAGGCCGAAAGAGTTGTTGCTCAATGTATTGAGCCGATTTTTGCTGTGATTCCTGTGTGGGGCCAAAAAAAATTGTGTTGAGTAGTATTGCATTCGACACGTGCCCAGTTTGACCCACTTTTGCAAGGGAAGTGTGCAAATAAAAAAGGCGGTGCCCAATCATTGCTGACAACCTCACCGGGCGTCCCTGGAACTCTATCCATTCAACCGCGCTTGTTTCAAACGCATTGGGTGCCTATTTGATGCTTTCTACTCCCGGCGCAGAAGTGTTTGTAGGTCCCGATTGTCGGTTGAGACTGGTGAAGGTAAACCCACACGCTCGAATTGAAGGGCTGGAAGCGCATTATATCATTACACCAAACGCAATGCAACCCAATCTCCCACACAGGAGGCTTGCATTGCATGGAGTGCGGCGAAGGTTTGCTGTGCCCCATCATGTCTCATTTGGTCGCTTGCCTGCAGAATTCTGTAGCAGATTGCGCTGACTCGCAATGCCTAGGATTTTTGCCAGAATTTGACAACAATGAGATTATCAAAACCTGGCGAGTAGACTCTGAGCAAATTGCACTATTTTGTGCAGCGTTTGCGTTGCGAGGATGCCTTGAAGTCTGGCGAAAGCCTTCTTGGATCAGAATTTACGCCAGAAATCCAGGAAGGATATTTCAGCACAGAATCGTCTCCAATGGAGGCAGGGTCCGGGTGCCATGGGGCCAGCCAATTGGTCGGACGCTGGTTGCACAATGTTACATGTGTCTGGGGGTGACGATCAGATAAGCCCTATCACTTGGATACGTCTACTTACTCATACGACCGCGCAAACAAAAATTGCCATAGTTTGAGAATCTGCATGCCAGAAGCAGCTGCAGAGAACAAAAAGCTTCGTGGAAAATAGAAAACCATCAGAATCTGCAATGTACGAGCGCGTGAACCCCCATGATGGGCATCGTGGGGCCGTGGCTTTTAGGCCGAGAAACGATCGCAGTCTGCCTAGAACAGATACCTACTATGTGAACATTATGTTGAACACATTTCCCCAGAAATAAGCCCGAATTTCGCTCAGTGGCTATTAGAAGCTCTTCGCCGTTGAGTGGTCCATGACATGTTCCGATCAAACCAAACACTTGTTCACGTGGAAATGAAGTGCCATTGAAATTCAGCAATGGGAGAAGAGCCCTGCAAGAACCTAAAAGCGAGGACAAGGTCTCTTATTACTTGTCGAAGGAAGTTTAGAAGTCAAACTTCCGACAACATGGACAGATGGAAAAGCAGGTCAGAGAAGAGAAGAGAAGAGAAGAGAAGAAAAGGAAGAGAAAGTCTCAGAAGAAAGAAGATCCAGGTGCGCGAAAAGGTAGGAAAGTCGCGAAACACTCTGTTTTTCCAATGGTTTGTGGCTCCGGAGGGTCGAAAAGTAGGCTCGCTAAAGCGGCGGGTGCGGAGCCAGCTGGCCAGATGAGAGATGAACAATTGCACGCTGTTGAAGCGCGAAGCACATGTCGAAGTCAAAATGTACAAAACACCTCAGATTAGAAGCGCTTTCAGGAATGGAGATGTCGAAAAAGTGCACGCCGTTGTGGCGCGAAGCACATTTCGAAGTCAAAAGTGTAAAAAACTGATGGGTTCAGACCACTTTGGAAGTTGAGATGTCGAAAATGTGCACGCCGTTGCGGCACGAAGCACATTTCGAAGTCAAATGTTAAGAAGAAACACCACATGTTCGGACCGCTTTTGGAAGTTGAGATGTCGAAAAAGTGCACACCGTTGTGGCGCGAAGCACATTTCGAAGTCAAAATGTTGAAAAAAATGAAGCACCACATGTTCGGACCACTTTTTGGCGTTCAGATGTCGTTTCGCGTGGCAGGCGCGAGGGATTGTGCACCTTGTCAAAAGTGAGCAAAACGTGAGGGTTTTGTAGCATGTTCAAAAACGATGGCAGGCGTGGGACAATTGAAGAGGATCTGCAAAGATGCATTTTCCGTGGCAGGCGCAGGGCAGGAGACATGTTCATAAGAGATGTTAGGAGGTCCGGGCGCTGATTTCCTGAGAGGGGTTGCGTTTTGGAATTTGGGAAGATGATTTTGCGTGACAAGTGCCGCGCTTCCTATGACCTGGCATCACTTTTCCTGGCAGGCGCAGTACTTTAGACAGGTGGAGTGGAAATATCGCAAAACGCATTGGTACGAGGTCGTCAGCTCTGCACTCACCTTTCCATTTTTGAAGGAAGTCTCGCAGAATTCTTTCGTTTTTGATGTTGTCAACTTCGAAAAATGAGGAAGTCTCGCAGAATTGCTTTGTTTTTGCACTTGTCAACTTTGAAAATTGGGGAAGTCTCGCAGAATTGTTTCGTTTTTGCACTTGTCAAGTTCAAAAACTAAGGAAGGCTCGCAGAATAGCTTGGTTTTCAAGTTTTCAAGCTTGCAGATTGCAGACTGCAGCTATAGACAGACAGACAGACAGACAGACAGACAGACAGACAGATAGATAGATAGATAGATAGATAGGTAGATAGATAGGTAGACGACAACAACAACAACAACTACAACTACAACTACAACTGCACTACACTACAACTACACATGCAAATAAACTATGCTACATTGCGCTACACTAATTACACTACACTACGCTACGTTTATGATGCACCGTCCAAGCTAATTCTGTAAAGCGCATTTTTTTAAACAAAAAAAAGCAAAAAAAGCGATTTAGCCATTTTGAAAAAAGCAAAAAAAAGCGATTAAAAAAAAGCAAAAAAAGCAAACAAAAAAGCAAAAAAAAAGCAAACAAAAAAGCACTAAAAAAGCAAAAAAAAAGTGCAAAACAGAAGCAAAAACAAGCAAAAAAAAAGCAATTGGAAAAAAAACAACAAAAAACACTTGGAGTGGCTTTCGCTGAGAATGTCATCCCACTTTTGGAGCTTGCAGATGAAAGAGTATGCCGCGGATCGTGACAAGGCGCCTGGGCACATGAACTTTGGCTAGGTTTGGGGGAAACTTTGCAGATTTGGCTGCTCCATCCGGGAAGGTGGTGAAGGTGGCTGGAAACTTGGGGGGACCCCCTCGTCTGGAAGGGGGGGTCCTCCCAAATCGCTTTTTTTTCGCTTTTTTTTTTGCTTTTTTTTTTTGGCTTTTTTTTCGCTTTTTTCCTAGGAAAAAGCAAAAAAAAAGCAAAAAAAAAGCGATTTTTGACCCAGGATCCCCCCAGCCAGGTCCCGGGGTAGGGTCAGCCAGGGGGTTGGACCCCCCAGCCCAGGTCCCGGGGTAGGGTCAGCGAGGAGGTTGGACCCCCTTCTGGGAATGTCGGGTCCAGCTGAGTGTGCAGGCCTCTTTCCATTGTCACCTGCGCTTTTTCCATTGGTTCTTGCGTTTCTTGTTGCCATTGCCTGCTGGTTTCATTGCTTTCCTGGGTTTTTACTTGTTTTTTTTGTTTTTTTTTTGCTTTTTTTCTTGCTTTTTCAAATCGCCTTTTTTGGCATTTTTTTCTCCAATCGTTTTTTTTTGTTTTTTTTTGGTTTTTTTTTGCTTTTTTTTTTTTTCAGGCGCTTTTTTTTTGCTTTTTTTTTTTGCTTTTTCAAATCGCTTTTTTTTGCTTTAAAAAAAATCAGGTTTACAGGAGTTAGCTTGTATAGCAGACAACATAACGCTACGTAATTACATCTAATTACACTACATTACATTACACTACACTACTTACACTACAACTACAACAACTGCTACTGCCACAGCTACAACTATAATTACAACTACACCACATTACACTACACTGCAGTAATTACACTGCAGCACACTACAACTACAAATGCGACTACAGGTACATTACATTACACAACACTACACAAATTAGATTACACTACAACAGTAACTACACTTGCAACTACCACTAAAATGCACTACACGACACTACACTAATTTCACTACACTACAACTACAACTACAACTACACTACCTTACACTACACTACACTAGACTATACTACACTTTACCAAACTACTGTACACAACACTACAGTACACTACAATACACTACACTAATTACACCACACCACAACTACAACTGCAACTGCAACTACACTACACTAATGACACAACATTACAACTACAACTCCGCTACACTACGCTACAACTACGACTACAGCTACAACTGCACTACACCACACTACATCCAGCAGTTGTGGTGAGGTGACCACTGCAGACATTGCAACCACTCCAGAAAACACAACTCCAACCACCTTTCGGGCCATCAGTGGATTCGCCCTGCCAGCCGTGATTCACAACAACCAACCTCTCTTATAGGTTTCCTATTTTTGAAACTTCCGCCACCGCCTTGTGCGGTACTACTGGTATGGAACATGACGTTTTAAAATCATTCCCGCATGGATGCAAACTCACCGGCTCTCTCTCTCTCTCTCTTTCTGTTTCTCTCTCGTCTTTCCAATCTGGTGGATGTTCTCAGCTGAAGCTTTCTCACATTATACGGGATTGATCACGTCCATTCGTATCCCAGTTCTATATATATATATGTATATATATATATTGGTGCTTTACTGCCATTGCAAATGCGCAAAGCTGACATAGTGCCCGACCCTGACAGCATCGAGGTTTGGAAAATTGTAAGCGGCTACAGGATATAAACTGCCTTAGGACATTTGCCGACTAACGTTCGTGTCTGAATGAATGATTGAACGGCTGAATTGTGCACTGAAAGAGTGCGATTGAATCACAAAGGACCGAAGAAATCGCTGAGTTGCTGAGTGAGACTATTCCTCAGTTGCGCCCCTTTGAGCTATCTCTTCTCTGAGCCAGCTACAAGTACTTCTTCTCTGAGCCAGCTCTTCCCCGAACTATTTCTTCGACCAACACTGGTATCTCTGAAAATTACATCTTCTGTAGGTTAGCTGCGCTTAGCATCTCTTGCGTCAAGGCACAGGCACCAGTGCCCTAGAGCAACCCACGGCCGTTCCACCACCAAATTTTTGTGAGCGACTGCACCCATGGACCAGATGGGGCGACTTTTGTCGAAGGAAGATTAGAAGTCAAACTTCTGACAATATGGACAGATGGAAAAGCAGAGGTGGGAAGAGTCAGAGAAGGGAAGAATCAGAGAAGAGAAAGAGTCAAGAGAAAGAGTCAGAAGAAAGAAGATGCAGGTGCACGAAAAGGCAGAAAAGTCGCTGTTCACTGTGTTTTTCCAATGGTGTGTGGCTCCAGAGGGTCGAAAAGTAGGCTCGCTAAAGCGGCGGGTGGGAGCCATCTGGCCAGATGAGAGAAGAAAAAGCGCACACCGTTGCGGCGCGAAGCACATGTCGAAGTCAAAATGTACAAAACACGTCAGATTAGAAGCGCTTTCAGGAATGGAGATGTCGAAAAAGTGCACGCCGTTGTGGCGCGAAGAACATTTCCAAGTCAAAAGTGTTAAAAACTGATGGGTTCAGACCACTTTTGGAAGTTGAGATGTTGAAAAAGTGCATGCCGTTGTGGCGCGAAGCACATTTCCAAGTCAAAATGTTAAAAGCACAACATGTCTGGGCCACTTTTGGACATTCAGATGTCGTTTCGCGTGGCAGACGCAAGGGATTGTGCACCTTGTCAAAAGTGAGTAAAAACGTGAGGGTTTTGTAGCAGGTTCAAAAGCGTTTGCAGGCGTGGGACATTTCAACAGGATCTGCAAAGATGCATTTTCCGTGGCAGGCACAGTACAACAGACATGTTCATCAGAGATGTTAGGAGGTCCGGGCGCTGATTTCCTGAGAAGCATTACACTTTGGAGCATCCGATCTTCAGTTTTGGGAAGATGATTTTGTGTGACAGGTGCAGCACTTGGTATATGGCCTGGCCTCACTTTTTCCTGGCAGGCGCAATACTTTAGAGACATGGGCTGGAGAAATCGCAAAATGCATTGGCACGAGGCCGTCAGCTCTGCACCCAGCTTTCCATTATTGAAGGAAGTCTCGCAGAATTCTTTCGTTTTTGATGTTGCCAACTTCAAAGATTGAGGAAGTCTCGCAGAATTGCCTCGCTTTGCACTTGTCAACTTCGAAAATTGAGGAAGTCTCGCAGAATTCTTTCGTTTTTGATGTTGCCAACTTCAAAAATTGAGGAAGTCTCGCAGAATTGCCTCGCTTTTGCACTTGTCAACTTCGAAAATTGAGGAAGTCTCGCAGAATTGTTTCGTTTTTGCACTTGTCAAGTTCAAAAACTGAGGAAGTCTCGCAGAATAGCTTGGTTTTCAAGCTTGCAGATTGCAGCTAGACAGATAGATAGATAGATAGATGGATAGATAGATAGATAGACAGACAGACAGATAGATAGATAGATAGATAGGAAGACAACTACAACTACAACTGCAACTACAGCTGCAACTACAACGACAACTACGCTACCCCTACAGCTACAACACAACTTTTTGACACACATGCAAATACAAATATATTGCGCTACAGTACGCTAATTACACTACACTACACCAATTACACTACACCACACTAGTTACACTATACTAAGCCAATTACACTACACTACATTAATTACACTACAACTAAAACAACAACTACAACTACAATTACTATTGCTACTACAGCTACAGCTACAACTACACTACACTACACTAATTACAATGCACTACACGATACTACACTACACTACACTGCACTGCACTGCACTGCACTGCGCTACAGTAGACTGCAACTACAAGTGCAACTACAACTACAACTACAACTGCAACTGCGCTACATTACACTACACTACACTACACTACACTACACTACACTACGGTACGCTAAATTATCTACAACTACGGCTACAACTACACTACACTACACTTCACTACACTAGACTTCACTACAGCACGCAGCACTTCAGCACAGTACACTACATTTCTTCATATGGCTACACTCATTACACCACACCACAACTACAACTGCGACTGCAACTACAACTACACTACACTAATTGCACTACACTGCAACTACAACTCGACTACGCTACAACTACAAGTACAGCTGCACTACAACGCACTACATCCAGCAGTTGTGGGCGAGGACTCCGAAAAACACAACTCCAACCACTTTTCCGTCCATCAGTGGATTCGCTCTGCCATCCATGCATCACAACAACTCACCTCTCCTATAGTGTCTTATCCTATCTTTGAAGATTCCGCCACCGCCGACCGTGCGGTACTGGTGTGAAGATATCCATGGGCCACAGCAGGCACGGGGCTACAAGATCGCAGTGTGGGCGTTTTTGTGTTCGTGCACTTCCTTTATTTCACCCGTGATCGTGCACGAGACACCTTAAAATCAGTTACCAGAGACAAAATCAACCTGCCAAACGAATGCTTCACGCACTCACCGTCAGCTGGATCTGATGGATCAACTAGCTGTTGTGTTAATCGTGAGTTGCCCTGGTGGAGTGTTATTTCATTGGCATTTCGCTGTAGTCACTGTAGTTCGCAAATGTTCCATTTTTCCTAATCTTTCCCTGTAGAATACCTGAGTTAAAGTTCAAATGTTTCCTGAACAAAATCTGTAGAGTCCTGAAACCTTTCTGCAGGTGTACAGATGCTTTGGCAATCATTGTCCTGGCGGGTTCCCGGGAACTTGCAGCGGGGGAGCTGAAGGCCCCACTTGTGACCACTGCCCACCAAAGATGTACATGGCTTCCGGCAAGTGTACGACGTGCGGAGCATACCAGGCAGCAGAATGGATTGTGGGCCCCATGGTCTTCTTGCCAGGCTTGATGACCAGCTACTACATGACGGAGAAACGCTACTTTGTTCAAGCATCGCTCTTTGAGTCTGGAAAACTCGTCATGGAGTTGATGCTGAACTCTTTGCAAAACTTGGGGATTTTGAGTTTCGTCACCGTGCCGTGGCCGGTTGTCTTGCAAAATGTGTTTGAATTTTCGAGCATCTTCGTGCTCAACATGAAGTCTTTAGGAATTAACTGTGCGGTAAACACTGATCTTAACAAATACATCCTTGCTGCCGGATTTTTTGCCAGCATTGTGATCCTGATGCCATGCTTGGGCTGCATCACGCACTTCCTACCCAGCTTGACAGAGCGTGGCTGGAACTGGACCTACTACGGGACAATCTGTGCGATCGGAAAAATCTTTTCATCACTGTTTGTGACCATGTGCAATATCGGCCTTATCCCCTTCATATGCTTGTCCCACCCGAATGACCGCTATAGCATCTTGAACTACCCGAATACATTGTGTGGCACAGTGGAGCACTCAACCATGCAGTGGGTGGGCATGCTGGTGTTGGCTTTGAGCCTGACGCACGTGATTTTGTGCGCTTGGGCACTGCATCATGCTCCTGCTTGGTCATTGAAGTCGCCACGGCGACTTATGAGTATCGGCTTCTTGCTGGTCAATTACCGACCATCTTGCTGGTGGTTTGGTATGGTCATTCTTATCAGGGGGCCTTTGCTGTCCATGGGTCAGGTCGTGGCCCCCAGTGTAGGTGCAGTGCAACTCCTGTCGATGAGTTGTGTCACTCTGTCTTCCCTCTGTTTGCAAACGTGGTTCCTTCCTTGGAAGGTTCCCTTAGTGAACCTTGTGGATACAGTTTCAACCAGCTTGTTTCTGATGTTGCTTGGAGTGGCATTGCACCTGACGCCTCCAACTTCTTCCCGTTCCTACCTGGACGCGATTGGAACTGTCCTCTACTACCTGAGTGTTGGGATCATCCTCGTTGTCGCCCTCCTCTGCTTCATGCTGGTGATCTGGGACTATTGTTTCTTGGCGGGTCGGTTCTACCTTTGTTTCTCAACTTGCCCTGTTTGATGCTAGAGATGCCGCAAGTTTGATTGGAAAATCATCTACGCAGGGAATATTTTCCATTGGGATGGAATGGGTTGCAAATATGTGGCTCGGAAATGTTCGTGCTCAGCTTGCCGCTTCCAAACCTAGGCCTGAAGAGAACTTCACATTTACGGTTCATGAACTTGCGACGGCTGCCCAACTCTGAGAGGCTGCTCTGTGGATTAGAAGGAGTCGCTAGCAATCTAGCAGGTTGGACGGCTCGAGAAAAGGGTTTGCTGATCAGGACTGAGCGCTTCAGTATTTTTCTGGAGCACACTTGAGATGACTTGATCAACATTTGGACACAACTAGAAAAAGACAAAAACACATGACATGATTTGATGTTGGCCAGGACGATGTCGTCGACATTGTCGGTCTATGACCTTTTGGTTGTGGAACAGGCATTGGAACTGCTGTCCATCGACTGTGGCTTATGCCCCGATTTCCATTCTTTAGAGAACCGAATTGCTTCGAAGAGAGACGCAAGGCGGTTGTCACGGCTGTCGTCACGGCTGTCACCGGAACTAGCTGTTGTCACGGAGCCGCTCGAATCAAGCGATCTTGGTGACCAATGTGTCTGTGAACCCAAGGAAGATTGGGAGAGTGCCGCAGAAAGCAGCTCTGAGCATGTGAGAAAAGATGCTTCAGATCTTTTTTACTCTGAGCATGTGATTGTAAGTGAAGCTTATTGAAGCCCCATGAAGCCCAAAGCCATGCAATGCCATTTGGCCATTTCCCTGTTTGCGAGTTCGAAGATGGTGGGGAAATGTGGGGAACAAACTCGCCATGGCTTGAAAAAATCCTACCAGCCCACAATGGGCCCACAAGGTTGGAAGTTGTTTACTGTTTACTTTTGGAATGCAGAAATGCACTCCAACTCTGTTCCGGTGTCGCGTTTATTAAGAGCTCGAAGCAGCTTGCGTAGATGTTTTTGGATGTTTTTGGTGGATATTGCGTCCACAGATTCCGCTTGTAATGCCTTGTATTCATCACCGTGTTGCATTCCAGTTTCTGTGTGATCCGTTGACTTTTCAGATGACCTTCATTCATCTCTTTACACACAGGCTGTGCCCCTTTGCAATGCAAGTTGGCATGCCCAAATCCACCAGAAACTTCCGGATATTGGCAATCAGCATTGTTGGCCAAGCCACTGCGCCATTGTCCATTGACAATTTCAACGTTAACATACGTCACTCAGTTAATGTGAAAACGATCGTCTCAGTTTGCTCCCCGGAGCTGCAAGAATGCAGACGACGGAGACAAGTCTGGCAAGTCATGTCATGACAAGCTGAGTTTCAGTGTCGGAACAGCTTGCAAGATCTTGCAAGAGAACAGACCTATCGAAAAGGAAGAGGGCAAAGAGGATTCCTAAGTAAGTTCTTTCAGCAGGCCGTGGTAAGGTTCTGGAATGCCATAAGCAAACATGTGCTTTCCTTCCTACTTTTGGGCAAGAATCTCCAAACCTTTGCTGCCTTCAAGTCTCAGAGATCGTCTGTGTCGATTGCATCTACTGTCGAAAGCCTTGGAGATACCCTCTGGTAACTAAACAGTTGGACCCTGAAAATCACCAATTCTTAATGGTTTCACTAGTCTTCCAACCCCGGCAACTGCCAGGGTCGAACTGTTAATTTACCAGGCCGGGTATCTCTTCACAACAGAACGGTTCCGATGACTTGTCAGAGGAGTTTTGGACCAATGCACCAGAAACCTTTCGGAGGTTGCCGAAAACCCTAGGGTTAGGAATGCCGAAAGGGTGTCCATTCGCAAAACTTGACTGTCACTTAGCTCTCCGCATGCTATTTTTTCAGGAGACGAATATTAGATATTCATAGTTTGATAAGGTTGATATATGTTGATATAATATGTCACTTTGAAGTTGATATTTCACAATATAAAAACCATCAGCTATTCATCGACAAAGTTCGTTGCCAGGCAATGCCGAAGCTCGCCGGAACTGCCTGGTGTGCTGCCCAGGCATGTGGTTTGTTGACGAGCATAGAAACTCATCAAGGGAATGCATGCACGATATGCACGGAAGATACAGGGACCTTAATTTGATTCAGTTTATTCATCCTAGGTTTAATTCACTTGAGATTCCTGGCGGGTTTTGCACTCAGGGCAATTTCAAACACGAGTTGTCATGGCAGACATTACATTGCTTCGGATAAATATCACGGATTATCAAGGTGTGAAGGAAATATGTTGAAGGTAATTCAAGGGCTATGATCACAGGATACTATATAAAGGTATCCCAAGGTTCCCCGATGCACGACTCTGCTAAGCTTTCCACGTCACTCTCTTTATCTCCCTTTATCTGCAGTGTTTCTAAGCTTGGCTATATTTACTGAGATACGTTGACAAAAGCATTGGCAGTTTTGGTGTGAAATGAGATCTGCCTTCACTAACCATTTCCCACTTATTTTCTGACAGGATTTCAAAGCACTTGACCAGCTTTCTATAGCATTCAGACCTGTCACAATGGCCAGATATAGGTCTTGACTGTCTTGACTCAGTGTCTGAGCAAAAAATCCTTCAACATGGAGGTAAACCAAGCATCCTTGCCACTTGATGGAGATTCAGAGTCCTCCAAGCCTCCAAACAGTCGATTTTTTGTGAACAATATCCTTTGTTTCTGTAACAATTGAACACTACCAAACCGTGATATTTAGTTTCGGATAATTTCTGATAATTCATGATCATTTTTGATAGTTTCTGCAGGTGGATGCCAAAACATGTTTTCCACCGGTTGCAATTCGGGACAGTGACATCTACAATGATTGGACATGATTGGACACAGAATGACCTAATTCGGGAGAGAGCACAAACAAAAGACAAGAACGACACATAAGTATGACACCCAGTTGCTTTCTACAAAACACGCCCTCATTGACAGACGCGCCTTTGGTTGTTTTGCAACCATGACCATAGCCGGAATCAACGGGCAGGATTTGACATGTTCTTAACATGGCTGCGGTTCGTCAATGTCCGGAAAAGTTTTGTTGAGGCCATCGTCAACTGTAGGGACCCTAGATGAATCAGGGTACCATCGGAGTCGCTGAGAAATTCTGTCCAATTCGGGATCCACTATTCGAATGGATGCCGGATGCCTGATCTACTCTGCAGTTGCATTGAGCATCATTGAGCAATATTTTGGGATTATTGGATTTTAGTCTTCAGTGGTTTTGCATGATGTTCTTTCAGGTCAGATGAAGAGTAGGTTGTCGGAACATTTGAGCCATTTCGCCTCAAGGCCACAAAAGAAATCCCAGCACTAAGAGAGTGCACAAGTCGCGGCCATGGCGACTGCCAGACCGGTAGTCTCCATCTACAACTTCGAGAATCCCTCTGAGAAGACTGGTACCGTGCCGATGCCCTATGTGTTGCAGTCACCACTGCGACCAGACCTTGTCCGTGAGGTCCACACCAACATGGCGAAGAACAAGAGGCAGGCCTATGCAGTGAGCCCAAAAGCGGGCTATGACACTGCGGCCGAATCTTGGTGCACTGGTCGAGCTGTGGCACGTATTCCCCGTGCTCCTGGTGGTGGCACTCACCGTGCAGGACAGGCAGCTTTTGGAAACCAGGCCAGGGGCGGAGGAATGTTCAACCCGACCAAGATCTGGCGCCGCTGGCACCGCCGTGTGAACGTGACCAAGAAGCGCCATGCCGTTGCAGTGGCTCTGGCTGCCAGCAGCTTGCCGCCACTGGTGATGGCACGTGGCCACAGAATCAACCAGGTGGCCGAACTTCCCTTGGTGGTGACTGACGGCATTGAATCCCTGACCAAGACCAAGCAGGCAGTGGAGGCACTGAAGAAGCTTGGATGTGGTGAAGAGCTGCAGAAGGTCATTGATTCCAAGGCCCTCAGGGCAGGCAAGGGCAAAGCCCGAAGCCGCCGCTATGTCCAGCGCTTGGGCCCTTTGGTGATCTACAACGAAGACAACGGCATCACCCGCGCCATGCGCAACATCCCAGGAGTAGAGACAGCACACATTGATCGATTGAATCTGCTCCGTCTGGCCCCTGGTGGTGCTTTCGGACGCTTTGTGATCTTCACTGAGAGTGCCTTCAAGAAGTTGTCAGAGATCTACGGAACCCTCAAGAGCGGTGCTCCCTTGAAGAAGGGCTACCACCTTCCCCGTGCTGCCATGGACAATGCGGACCTTGCACGCATCATCAACAGCACGGAGGTTCAGTCTGTGCTCCGCCCCAAGATGGAGCGCTCTACTCATGCCATGAAGCGCAACGCCCTGAAGAACAAGGAATTCATGGAGGAGTTGAACCCAGGCTCCACTGAGCGCAAAGCCAGCTTGCAGAAGGCATCTGAGAAGGGCACAGCTGAATTTGAGGAGGTGCAGAAGAACAAGAAGGCACGCATTGAGGAATCCAAGAAGTACAACAAGGAGAACAAGAAAGGTGATGACACCTTCTACAAGACCCTGATGAAGGCGTTCGAAGCAAAAGCAGCTGCAGATGCTGCCAAGAAGGCCGCTGAGAAAGCTGAGGAAGAGGGTGAGGACGAGGAGTGAGCGGATTGCCTACGGGGCGACATGACTTGAGGCGGATTGTAGCGAAAAAGGCTCTTTGTGCATAGGGGGGTGCCTGATTTCACACCAAAGAGATCCAAAGAGGACATGCATGTTGGCACGGATAGAAACACAGTCATGATTCATGATCCTTTTGGTTGTGGCCTTAGCTGAAGCATCTGAAGCAAAGGCACCAAAATGGATTTTCGTTGAAGCACTTGACGTTGACTTTGGAACTTGACTTGACATGAAATTGCTTCGAGTTTCTCGGACCTTGAGGCCAGTCATCCACGGAGATGCTAGTGATGCAGATGCGTCGTAGAACATGACTGGATCGTGGTTTCATCACCACTTTTTCGTAACATCTTGGAATGACAACCCTAGGTGCCGATATTTCGATATCATTGAGATGGTTGAAGCGGATTGAAACAGGTTGAAACCAGCAGGCGAGATCACTTGAACTGGCCATCTCGATGCGAAGGGCGTCGCCGCTGCACGGATGAACTTGGAGCTAATATTGGACAGTTTTCTCCGGCATGAAAGATGTTAAACACATTTAAACACTGCCCTTTAGCTGGCATGAACATGATTCCCAGATGCTTTTTTTGAGTCCATATATGTCCATGTTAGACAGCAAGAAAAGGGAGAACTCCTTTGGATTCTGCACATGCCATGTGGGCTCTAGGTGAACCCCACACCTCAAGCAAGTCAATGAAAACTTCTTCGCCACACTCCACGCGTGGTTGTTTTCCCGGGCGGTTGGATTCCCTTGGATTGGCGCCATCTTTCCAAATGGTCTGATTTGTTAAAAATCCTTAAGCTTGAACAAGATCTTGAATCTAAGACGTTCCAATGATTTTCCCTTAAGATTTTCCCAAAAAAGATGTTTTTTCGGATTTTTTCGGAATTTCCCAAGGGATTTTCCAAAAAACTTCAGCCCGGGTCCCGGCCAACGCGCAACCCGGCCATGGCCACGGAGCTAGAGGCGGTGTGCCGCAGCGAGGCGAGCCTTGATTTTTTTTGGGGCATCAACGATGGGATTTTCATTGGGATTTATAGGGATTATCCATCAACTATCATATAAAAAAATGGAATTTTATAGGGATTTATAGGGATTTTCCAGGGATTTCTAGGGATTTATTATGGCCCAGATTTTGAAAAATGGATGGACTGATCCATTTTTTTTTGGGATTTATAGGGATTTATGGCATCAACTATGATATGTTTAAAGGGATTTTCCATCAACTATCATATAATCTTAATGGGATTTTCGATCTGATTTTGGTGGATCCCATCTCCCGCCATTCAAGAAGGGACCACAACATTTGCATCATCTTTTTGGTCACAAAGATGTGTAAATCCCGAAGAAAACATGGTGGGGGGTGTTTAATATTAGGGGGAGGGATTCTGATTGAACTAAGGTTAGCATATGGTCAACTTGGGTTCGTGGTGGATATAAAAATCTAGAGTCTAGAGTTGGGCTTGTAAAGCAAGTTGTAACTTGAGGGGCCCTTGTCCGGATACTGCAATTGCCTTAGAGTACTAAAGGGACAGATACAGTCATATACAAGTATTCTATGCATACACACTGACATTCTGCAGATTGCATCATATTACACTTAGCTTATTATATAAATAGAAATCATATGAAATAATTGACACGACGTATCAATGACAATCAATGAGTCTGAAAAACCAACGGCATGGCGAAGTTGGTCGGTCCGTTGCGACTCCATGGTCAGTTAAGGTTGGCAATTCTCCAAATGTCTGGGTAAAATCCGGGTAAATATCACAAGATATCACAAGTGTGGTTGACTTCTGCTGTTTGAAACTGCGTTTGATAAAAAAGTCAATCTTTGCATATGGCCAATTTTTTGGGTGAAGTGTCAAGTGTTGCTTCCCCCTATGTTTTTTTTTACCTCTGATTCAATCCATATGGGTGTCAAAATTGGACCTAAAATTGGATAGTGAATACTACAAAAAACATCAAACATCTACAAAACACATGTTGAACAACTCGATGGCCAGTCCAATTTTGCAGATCAGTGTTTTTCTTTCTGTAAAATCAGCAAATTTACTCCAAAACATCTCCAAAAAATGAAAAATGACCAGTCCAACGGTATCCACGAAATGGGGACTTCCAATCAGCAGGGTTTGGTTGGGATTTTTTTCACCACATTTCACCGGCTCGTTCACCGCTTTTGGTGATCCTCCAAGATTCTCCAAAAAGGTACCATCTTTGACCCATGAAAATCACGGCTGAGGGTCCCAGGGTCCCAGGGTCCCAGGCCGGGCCAGGCTTCGCGTGTGGTCTTCGCCCTCCGCGGCAACCGACGCTTTGGCACTCGAAGTTGGCGGGACTTGGAGGACCTGCGAAGAGCCATGAGAGCGAAGTCGCAACGTTTTTCCATGGGAAATGTATGGACATGTATTGAAATATACGGAAATATATGGAAATATGATGATTTTGAAGTGGAAAAAGATGATGGTTCCATGAAAGATGATGAATTTGTGAAAGATGATGATTTTGATGGGAAAAAACCTGAGAATCCATTGGAATTGGGAGTAGAACTGTAGGACCCGTGTCAGACAAACTCCGATGGGATTTTTAGCATTGGAAAATGAGGATTTCACCAACAAATTCCTGGGAATAACTTGGCTGTTTGATTGTGGGCCAAGGTTAAAGGCTCATTGAGACCGACAGATGTGGAAATTATCACATATATTAATAGCGACCTATGGGCCATATTTCGGTGACATATTAATACATATGATGCAAATTTGCGATATTCAGCATTTAAAATCGCTGGCTTTCGCGTTGACAAGTGTGCGTTAAAAATGCCTTTGGGAGCACATGGGGTGAAGCTGGCTGCATGCTGTTCGATACAAGGGGTGGTTTCCATAGTCATGCAGGTACCCCAATAGCTGGATGGTTTATTTCATGAAACATCCGAAAATAAAATGGATGATTTGGGGGTACCCCTATTTTAGGGACCCCCCAAGTATACAAGTGATTGTTTGACATGGCACAGCTTAAAACTTAGATCATATAACAACCTGGAAACCAGTTTTTGGTACCTGCAGTGTCGCTGGGAAGAACCTAGAGGATCCGGTTGGACATTTTTCCAAGTCTCAACCAAAAAGCTTTTCTCTCAGATACCCGGCCTGGTAAACTAACATAAAAACTATGGAACATCACAATTTTTATATAATGGGTAAATCCATGTAAATCCACTGGGCCATTTTCAATAGCGTAAACGTTTACCAGAGGGTACTGGGAGTCTACAGTTTGTCAACCGTTTCTGGTGCCATTCGCATTGGCAGGAGACCTCGCCTCTGCGGCAGCTCTGTTCCTGGCGGCTCAATGGATATGGCCCCAACGAGCTGTTGGAGCCGCTGGCGGCCACGGCAACATATTTTTTCAATGTTTATAGATTAGCCGATGTGTTCACATCGACTTTCCTGTGCTTGTGCTTGATTTTCCAGAATAAAATGGGGATTTCTTCCTTTTATTTTTCCCACTAGTTCATACTATTTCATCTATTTCCATCTATTTCCATCTATTTCCATCTATTTCCTGGGTTTAACTCTTCATATGATTTTCCCACTATTTCCTGCTCTTTCCCAAGGTTTTCCCATGTTTTCCACATGAAAAAAACATGAATTTTCGCTAGGAGCCGCTGCTCCGGGTCATTCGAAGTCCAGACTTTGGGGGGCCTGCGACCTTTGTGGCGTTGGAGGCGTGGCAAGTGCCGGTTTTTGGTGCCGTTGGGTGCCATTTCTTGTTTTTTTTTTTCTGGGAATTTCATAGGATTTCCATGGGGATTTCATATTCATTTTCATGGGATTTAATGGCGCTTCATCAAGTTTTTTTAATGTCATGGGATTTAATGGGACTTATATAACCAATAAAACTTGAAAAAATGGTAGTTGTAGTTACATCAAGTTATATCAGATAAATTAGATCGACCTCACTGCGACGTCAAAATTGCCCAACATTTCAGGTTAGTGACATCTTACAATTTAGCTGCATGCATACCATTTTGAATACCATCATCCACGATTAACCATTGCTATCCCATTACAACCCCATTCTGATTGGTATAACCACTCATCCAGCTGTATATAAAGACATGTATATACTCTATATGTGAAATCCACTATACTATAATTATATATACTATAATTATATCTTATTATTTGATATTAATCTACTTCAATATTACCACGTATATTATATTATACTGTATTGTATTATAAATTAATTTATATTGTTATATTAAATTGTAATTTGTTATAGTTTACTATATTACAATATTATGCATATTTGCATATATCAATCTGAAAGCAATTTGATAGCTCAGGTATAAATTTTATACCATGGTCAAAACTTTGGATTGTATACCCAGTCCTTTGAATGGGCCTTTGGGAATAATCCATCCATCCATAAACCCCTGGGATCCCGGGGATCCGCAAGTTTTTTCGAGCCATGGGAGGCAACACAAAATGTCGTTGTAGCCATTTGCGAAGAGCAAAGGAGCCGAAAGGGAAAGACATGGTGACATGGACCATGCTGCATGCTGTGGGTAAAGATGGTAAAGATGATTGGATGCCCCAAAATGAATGATTCGTCGTTCACGATGAAATACGGGCTCTAAAATGTTGGGCCCATGTTGGGCCCATGCCCATGCATCATTTCTGGGGAAGAGTGACGCATGAAGGATTTGACCAGAGAATCAGCTGATCACTTGATAATGCTATAAAATGCAATTTTCACAGAGATGATGCACCAGACTTTTCTCATGTCAAAACATATCAAAACATCTGTCGAGTCTTCACATGTCTTCACTCTCATGGCCTCCAACATCAGCCGTTCGCAAACGTTGCTCATTTATAGATGGTTTACCGTTCTTAAAAGCATGGTGATTTTCCATGGCGAAGTGTTAGTCATAGCCAGATGTGGTCAGCTTTTAGCAACTCCAGGAGCCAGAGCACAGAGGCTTTGAGGCAAGTCGCACTGATGCGTTGGAAGCTGCATCGAAAGCTGGGATATATGGCTTTTGTCCGGAAAAGAGGGAACATATAGAAATTTTCATGGCTAATTTCATCATCATTTTCCCATTTATATTTAATATAACATATAAAACATGGTCATTTGATGGGTATTTTTGTCAACAAGTCGGTTTTTACGGCGTAGAGGATGCAGCCCTGAAGCCAGTGGGCAAAGGTTCGGCTGGTGATAAGATAAAGGGTTATAGTTATAGTACCCCCTGGTAATGACTAAAATAGCTATTGAAAATAGCCATTGAAATAGTTGATTTAGCCATTAAAAATTGTGATTTTCCGTAGTGATGTAAACGTTTACCAGGCCGGGTAATATATCTAACATTTTGTCCTACAAATCCAATGAAAAATCCCAGTAAAGTTTTTATTTTTTGCCTCTCTTGTTTATTTTTATTTATTTTTTTGGATTATCCCGTTTTGAAGCCAACAAGTTCTTCGCATTTTCCCAAGCTTTTAGCCCAGCCCTGGACGCCAGGCATTTAGCAACAACCCTTGTGGACGTTTGCCGTGCAGCCTGCGACTGTGTCTTTGAGGCGCTTGGAGCAGTGGGGAAAACACCAAAGCCAGGCGTTGCCTGATTGTTGCATGTACAGTATATATATATATATAGATACTTAGATAAAACTTAGATATTTATAACACTTATAACTTATATAATTTCATCTCCCTCTTATATATATATATATACACATCTTATGTATATATGATTGATTATCTTTATATGCACATACACATATATACATATATACACATACATACGTAGATTGATGTGTATCTGTATGTATATCAAATACAGATGTGTGTATATATTTGTATACCTTTAGATATCCATAGTTGACTGAAATACGGAGCAGCATTCAGCATGTCCAAGTCCCAGTTCTTGCAGCTTAATATACAATAACGATATACAGAATTTATGTATATGCATAACACAAATACATCTAATATGATACATATATGATATATGTGTGGTATGTATCGTATACAAAACTATATATATACATACATATTATGATATACATCTAACATCGTATCTCTAAATGTGTGCCACGGAAAAATATATCCTTCACTCACCAGGAGACCAATGCGCAGACTGACGAGGCCCAGCTCTTGAGAAGATGTGTCCACTTCATTTGTTTGGGTATCCCTTCTACTTCACCAGAAGGTAATTGAAAAAGAAGGTTTTGGAGTTTTGGTTCCTGATATACTATAGATATACTATAGATATACTATAGATATACTATAGATATACTATAGATATACTATAGATATACTATAGATATACTATAGATATACTATAGATATACTATAGATATACTATAGATATACTATAGATATACTATAGATATAGTATAGATACACGGTATGTATGTGTATAGATATTCTTTGGATTTAAAAAGCACCACATTTGGTGCAAAAGAGCACCAAAGTTTATGGCCGGCCAGGCGACTGCTGCGCAGATGATTGCCCTCATAGGCGGGTCCATTGTATCACGGAATATGATAACACACATATATAACATAACATACCATTCCATACCATTCCATACCATGCCATGCCATGCCATGCTATACCATACCATACCATACATGCATCCATCCATCCATACATACGATATTAAACATACATAGATCATACGAAATCATACGAGATCATACGATCATATACAATATACATGATTATATATATAGATGTATGTATGTACATTGATTGCTGCAATTTAGCAACTCAAAAGAAACAACACATTTCCTGCAGGTCTTTGCTGTTCAGCGGCTCCGTGGCCCCCAACTTGGAGACGAAAGCGGACGAACGCATGGAAACATATGGAAACATATAGTGAAGTTCGATTTGGATCTGGACCAAAGATGTCCAAAGTCATGAAAATGGTGATTTAAGTACCCTCTGGTAAACTAACATAACTATGGAAAATCACCATTTTCAATGGGAAAATCCACTATAAATGGTCATTTTCAATAGCTATATAAATTACCAGAGGGTATATTTAAAGTATGCAAAATGGAAAGAAATGGAATTTCAATCACTAACAATGATGATGAATGGATTGGTTTGGTTGGGACAATCTGAACCAGAAACCCATGGTTTTAACCATCAATGAAAAAGGGGGTTCCGGTTTTGATTTTCCCTTAAACCAATCCAATGATACCAGTGATCGTGATGATGGTATGACCTCATTATGATACAGAGTTTTTTAAATAGTTGTTCTGTATTTATCACCATTTCATTGACAATATTAAGATCCATAGGTTTTATCATGTTTTATTCCCACATTGTCATATATGTTATCTCCAGTTTATCCCAACCTTGATCAGTATGTATCTTGATATATCCCAAGTTTTACCTATCTATCTCATCTCATCTGAATTTTTATCCCAATCTTGACTAATTTGAAAACATGTATTGAGATAAGAGAAGATTAGATTCTTGGGTCTTATCTAGTCTAATCTTTATCTAATCCTGGCCAGTTTGCATGTTCTATCCCCATTTTTCGTCACGTTTGACGCCACTGAGGGACGTGTCCAATGGCGAGGTTGGGACATCCATTTAGCAGTTGTTTCGGTGTTCACCTTCTTATTTACATTGGTCATACACCCCCTAGATTAAGCATGAAGCCTAAAATGGCTATATCCCAGGGTTTTTGATCAATTTCATCATCCCCAAAGCCAATTTTGGAGGCTTCCACGTTAATTTATGTCAATTTTACGGTAGCTTAAACTAAGCTAGATGTGGATGATGTGGAAATACATTATTTTCGCGGGGAAACTCCACATCTAAACGTTTACCCCAGGGTATCTTGTCCCGTTCCTCGTTTCAGGGCCCAGATGCAGTGCTGATCTTCTCACCACAGGACCGTGTCAAGGCCTTTTCCAAGGCTGGGAAGGGATGTGTTGGCATTTTTATGGGATACAATCCGGTGAATGTTTATATCCCAGGAAAAATCAATTCAAAATGGACTCAACCGCACTGCTTTTATTCAAAAAAACAATAGATTTGCATGGAATTTTGAATGGAATTTCATGGGATTTTGAACGGAATTCTAGTGGGATATTTGTGTCTGAAAACGGCGGACGCTCCAAAATTGCCATTTGAATCGGTTGTTTTTCCCTTCCACTGGACATGGTTTTTTCATGTTTGTTTCCCCAACTTTTTTTTCCCTTCCCGACTCGCCAGTCAGGTGCTTCAATTTTGGAGCCACTACCGTGAGTCTCACACCTTGCGTGCCTCTGCGCTGGCCGACTGAAAGCATGGAAATCTCAGATCCACAAAAAAACGCTGAGATTTACCTTTTTCAGGGGTATATTATATTCCCGATTTTTTGAGAAACCTCACAATTATTTCTGACTATTTTCGATGTTTACTAACCGATTTTATTTTTTTTGCTAATAAATATGGTTTATTTTCATTTATTTTCGATGTTAAACGAGCGACCGGTGACCCGCCCGCCCCTGTGCCAGTTTTAAGCAGCAGAGGCCACGCTCCAACGGATGTTGGACTTGACGCTAGTGGATCTCACATCGCCGGTGGGGGCGCCCTACGCCTATGGGGAGGGGTCAAAACCCTTCATATATGATTTTCTCTCTCTCTCTCTATATATATATTAATGTATATATGTATATATATATATATATGTAAAATAACATATGTATATATATATATGATTACATTATATATTATATATGCATAATATATGCATATATGTATATACATGTATACATAAGTACTATAAATATACAGTAGACTCACATGAATTATAATTGACGATGTGGGCCTGGGTCAAAAGCTATGCCGCCAAATTGAGGAATGAACATCAATGGTTTTGATCCAAAGCCTCAACCCAATGAGAAACACGTTTTTTGGGGAGTAATGAGTAACATACCAAATGGTATCCCAAATCAATGTTTAATAGATCCCAAATGGCAAACTCAATATTTATATTTTTGTTTAAATAGATCCCAAATGGTAAACTCGGATCAGGTATTAGGTTTCTCCCTGGCTTTACTCATTTTGTCATAGCCTGGTTCTGCAGTCAGACTGGATTGGCGTGATGATGGCATAACCAACAGCAACGTCACTGGATGACGTTAAAAGCAAATGTTGATAATGTGGGTAAAGCAATAATATAAACCATCCCCCCAAATCATCATTTTTATAGGTGGTATGTTTACCATTCCCAGTCGTGGGTGGTAAAAATGGCATTGTCTTACCCACATGATATATACAAATCCCATTAAAATCATCATTCTTGTTGATTAGATACCATTAAACCACCATTTTTCATGGTTAAAAATCCCATGATTTTCATGGTAAAAAATCCCATGGCATTCCAAACATTGGGGTATGGGATGATCTCATAGTGTTTTGCAGAGCTTGGATGAACCCCTCCGCGCAGCAACCGCATGGTGGATTTTTGGCAGGACGTATAAAGATGATAATCCCTGTGGAAGCAGTGGAAACATAGTACAAGTTGGGCCCTCCCCAGTTTTGTTTGTTGCTTTGCAACCTTTAACAATTATAACAATTAGTTCGATATATCTATAATAAATCCATATAAATCCTAGTTAACAATTAGTTCGATATACCTATAATAAACACCTAGTTACCCTACGAACAACGCTGACAATCTGGGGCAGCAACGATCTTAGTCCCGTAGTCTCCTGTCCCTCGCATCGAGGCTCGCTACGAATTTTTGCGGGTAATCCTAGGCCTGGCCATTTATGGATGGACAAAAAGAATCATTACCGTGATATGACTGTAGCATGATATGATTCTTGCACTGATATGGTTCTTAAACTCTTAATATGACTCTTATGTTGATATGGTTCTTATATTGATATGACTCTGACTCTTTTGTTGATATGAATCTGATATTTATATTTTCCCTATATTGATAGCATTATTATGTTGATATGATTCGTTCATTGATATGTTTCGTTAATATTGACATGTTTCTTATATATTGCTATGATCCTAATATTGATATGATTCTGATATTGACATGATTCTTATTGTGATATGCTTCGTGCATTGATACACGTTTTATATTGATACAGTATGTGTTCTTCATTGATACCATTCTTATATTGTTAATTTCTCATGTATTGGTATGATTCTTGTAGATTGCTCTGATGATCATATTGATATGATTCAAACATTGATATGGCTCTTACATTGACACAATCAGTCAATTGATTTGATTATTCTATATATTATACTGGTATGGTTCTTATATTGATATGACTCTTCTATTGATATGACTCTTATGTTGATAGGATTCGATCATTGATATGTGTGTATAACATTGTATAATCATTGGTGATTAAAATGTATCACATTATAGATAAATGGCATTTTTGTGGTGGATCTCTGAGTGCAGACGTTGCTTTTAGTGATTTGTTTCGGTTTGAAGCCAATTGTACATATGTTTGTTTCTACCAACTTAAGCGTATATTGTTCTTGTTTTGCGTGCGTATTGAATCCATATTAGCTTGAAGTTCTATCACGATTCCTTTAAAGTGGATATTTCAGTTCTGTTCACAATAAAAAGATGGGGTGCTATCCTTATTGTTCGTCATGCTATATATTTTCTTTACATCATGATATATCATGTCACATACATTATAGTTGATACGACGCAAATATACATATACATGATATTCTATGTTATATACAGATGTTTTACAATCATACCTGATATGTATCTGTATATATATGTAGGTTACAGGAATACTATGTAGAAACTATGTCTATGTTTTATATGAATACATTGTACGTATAGATAAGTTTTATGAATTATATATATGCTATTATCTATATATGTATATACATGCTCTATCTCTATGATACATGTTATACATGTTATACGTACATTATATATATACATATCACATACACATGTACATATATATACATACTTATATATCACATACATAGTATATTATTCATGTTATATGTAAAGTATAATATAGTATATTATGTATCATTATATCATATTATATCATATTATATCATATTATATCATATTATATCATATTATATCATATCATATCATATTATATCATATTATATCATATTATATCATATTATATCATATTATATCATATTATATCATATTATATCATATTATATCATATTATATCATATTATATCATATTATATCATATTATATCATAGTATATTATATCATGTTATATATATACATAAAAAGTACCATACCATCTGGTAAATTAACATAGACCCTGAAAATGGCATTTTTTAAATGGAACTAATCGTCCAATCCCTATCTGGCAGGGTCTATGTTAATTTACCAGAGGGTATATTATAGTATATATCTCTCTATATATACATATCACATACATATGCACATATGTATACATATATACATACCTATATATCACATACATAGTATATTATATCATGTTATATAGATACACATATAATGTATATCTATACGTTATTAATATAACAGATCCGTTCATCTCAACGCAGGGATGATGGCCGCAGAAGCGGAACCTGGGATGGCCATGGAACGCGCCTTGCTGCGCCTTGGCCACCGAACGTGTTTGGAGAACATGTGTATGGAGATATAGATATGGTAGTTACGCAGTATATGTAATATATATATATACTATATATATACTATATATATATACTATATATATATATACTATATATATATATATATATTGACATAATGTATACATATATATATATATGTATATAAATATGATATATATATGATATAATATATATATATATATGTATAAAATGTATATATGTAATTATATATAATGTATATATAATGTATATATACATACAAAACACACATTACATGATATTACATGTTGTGTTTACTTTTTTTTGCATCAAGATGGTGAGTTGCAACACGATGGATTATTGCCACAGTGATGTTTTGGACATTGAAAGGTTTGCTCAAGATGGGGGTTGGACATCCAATTGGTACCGTCTGGTGAGTTGGATGATTTAGCTATTGAAAATTGTGATTTCTCAAAATTGTGATTTCCGATGGCCATAACGTTGAGTCCCAGAGGCTAATGATTTTAATGTTGAGTCCCCAAAGTGCAACCTTCGACAGTCAGAAAAGATGATTTGTTTATATTACTATATATATATATACCTATACAATATATACCTATACACATATATATATATACATACCTATATATGTTCACTCCAAGCATGAGTCCTCCGAAGGTATTTGAGATGTTTGCAGAGACTGGCCGTGAACTTAGCACGTCGACCGCGCTCGTGTCACGACCGTGTCAACGCTTGGCTTGGCTTGGCTTGTTGTCCTACGCCAATTTCAAAGCATTGGGCACTGGGCAAGAGAAATTTTAATGAAATTCTAAATGGAACGCAAGTTTCAAGCTATTTCCAGTATTTCCAGCTCTTTCCGGTTTATTTCCAGTCATTTTCATGGTTTTCCATGTGATTTCCAGCATTTTTCCAGTGAAGTTCAGTTCCTTCCAGCGGACTTTCCCGGTAAATCCCAGCGGACTCGTCCAGGCCATGCATTCGACCTCTCGGCGCTGGGCCATGTCAGAGCAGGTCACAGCTATTCCATGAAGCCACCATCCAGTTATTGGGATATCGCCATTTGAAGAAACCCCCCATACATACATACATACATACATACATATAATTATATATATATGATTTGTTTTTATATGTCCAACAAAATGGGATAGAATATATATATATTATATAATTATATGAATGTATATATTCATCGTAACAGTAAATATAGATATAAACATCCGATTCAACTAGCAGATAGCAATGGTCCAATTTTTTTGTTTAGATGGGTTTGTTCAACATGTTGAAATCACGAATTTTGTGACGCCAGGGGCGATTTTTCCAGAATGACATCCCCTTGCTTTTGCTTAGCAGTGGAGCTCAGTGCCAGTGGGTCCGAAAAAATCCAGGCGGACTTGTTGAACATTGCAAGGTGAATTCCACAAGAGGAAACCATTAAGGTAGGTAGATGATGGTTATAATGACGGTAAATGACGGTTGATAATTTTGATGACTCCTCGACGTAGTTCTTCTTTTCTGATTCTTTGTAGATAGTCGAATTCTCTCATCGATGGGTGAATATGAACCATCCATGGACGGAGCATTGATCATGTCGTATCATGGTGTATATTCGTGAAAAAAATCGCTAGTCCCAGGGTCAACACCTGGTTTGTGTTTTTTTTTAAACGGGGATGGTCATGCAGCAGGGACCCGTCGGACCTGTGTAGCCATGAACGCCACATCCCATGGCGACGCCGGTCATGAGGCTTTTGCAAAGTCTTCCCTGGGAGCTTGCCGCTCTTGACCTTGCTACTCCCGGTGCGCCGCTGAGGGGAAGTCATGTTCATACATTCATAAACTTCAAACTGAAGTTGGATGATTTCAAACATAAGGTTGATGAATCAAGTTTATGATCATGATGATATATGATAATCCTATTGCGATTTTTGAACTATGTTTTCCGACCTTTGGATCCCTGAAATTGGTTCCAATTTGGAATTTACTGGACAGAACGGCAGCCAAGTGGTTTCTACCAGTCTCCATCTCGGGAGCTGAGGTTGTGAATCGCATTTGTTGGCTCTGCGTGGATTTTTGGGCCGACAAGGCAGGACTGTGGCCATGACCATCCAGGGGTCCATGACCATCCAGGGGATCAAGAGGGTTCATCCTCAGACATGGCAATTTTCCGAAGACTTCGCCGGCGAGAGGGGACCACACATGGGGCGGTGTGTTTTGGACCAAAAAGAGTATCCAGGTGTCATGGGTCTCAGCGCTGCCACTGCAGCCATGGGAAAATCCAGTTCGAAGTGGAGAGCGCCACTGTCAGATGCAGAAGTTGCTGGTTTGGCCGATGGAATGTCGCTGGCAGGTGCTCCATTGCAACCGCCCAAGTTGCTCCAGATGGGTTGGAAAGAGGGGCAGGTCTTTACCGCCTTAGATGACCCAGATCGTACGGAACTGCCGTGGCAAGGTCCCAGCTTTCTGGAACGGAAGGATCCCAAGCTGCAGCGTGGCAAGACGCAATGGGAAGAGCTGGTGGTCCCCGGTGGGCCTGGTAGATTTGCAGGTGTGGTGACTGGGGTCTTTGATGAGGATGATTGTGCAGAACTCATCGAGTGCATCAACCAGAAAGGCTTCACCCCTGCTTTGTTGAACATTGGTCATGGCCGCCAGATGCTCGATCTAAAGGCCCGTGATGGGCACCGGGCCATTGTGGATAGCCCTGAGCTCAGTGGATATCTTCTGGAGGTCTTGCGTCCTTACCTGCCCGAGACCTTTCAACGTGGCACATTGATCGACCTCAACGAGCGCTGTCGGGTACTGTGCTACACGCCCGGCCAGGAGTTCCCGGCCCACTACGATGGCACCTTCCGGCGGCCCCGGCCGGACCCCCGCGCCGGGGATCGCTCCATGATCACGGTGCAGGTCTATCTTCACGACGTGCCGGAAGGAAGTGGCGGTGGTACCACCTTCATGAAAGACTCAGAGGAGGTGGTTTGCTGTTGTCAGCCCCGGGCGGGAAGTGTGTTAATCTTTTCACAGAACTTGCTTCATGAAGGTTCGCTGCTGAAGAGCGGCTTGAAGTACACCCTGCGAACTGAGGCAATGTACCGAATGTAGGACAGTGGCATCTGGACATGTGTACAGTTTCCAGGTGTAGAAGAAAACTGCTGCGCTCAGAAGCCGAGCAACGTTTAGATCAAGTGTATTCAATTGTAATCTAAATCAGCTAGGATTGTTGGTAGAATCATCACCATCGAGAGCGGTATACTTGTCAAAGTGTTTAGACCTTTTGAGTTCTGGTCACTTTGTGAGTTGTTTTGGCGCCAACCTCACCGCAGCAACGGCCCAGGCAGCAGGTTCCAGCAGCGCTGCTTTGGGAGCTTTGCAGGTTGGGAATGGTTGGGATGCGTCAGGGCAAGAGTTGAAAACCTTCCAAAATGGATGGGTTTCGGACCTAGTATGGTCAGTTTTCATCATGTTCTGGGGTTTAATCGTTTAATCATCATTCTAAGCTGGCAATTCTTGCAAGTTGCCCTGAACCCAGTCAGCTTTTGGATCGTTTTTACACAACAGAAGTTTAGGTGGCGGATTTCCGATGTGGAGACGCAATGGTGAATGCCACCATTTGCCATACTGTTGCAATGAATTTTCCTACGGTATTGGAGGGCATTGTTGGTTGATGTCGGTTGTAGATTCTCTCTGTTTGTTCTGTCTCGACTGCATTCCAATGCGTTCCGGACAGGTTTTTCTTTGATTTACTTTGGGTATTTGTCAAGAACCGGCTGGATTTTTGACAGGAACTGTACAACTGGTAGGTCGGAAGCATTTGGAAAACCCTCACTTTCCACCACTTGGAGCTTCACCCCACGGAGACTGGTGAGTGTAACTAGTAACTAGCGTGTGAACTCACCCATTTGCAAATGGGATAACCCACCGAATGGGGGGACGAATCCATGGGATGATCCAAGCATAGAATCCCAGGTCGATGCGCTACTTTCCGGTCTGGCGCACCCAGCATCCCTGGTGCATCCCAGTGCATCGAAGCTGCAGTGGCTGCAATCATCCATTGAATCAAAAGGGACGACACAGGGTTTTGAACACTGCTCAATGATCTTTTATTTATTATAGTTGGACTATTCAACTGAACGAGCCATTTGAAGTGGGACAGTCTGTCAAAGGTATGGTAGATTGGTAGGTGCTATGATTGTCCTGTCACTATCGGATCGGATAGAACATCGTGACATAGTGACACTTGGGCAGTATGCCAAAGAGTAGAGATGGAGTCAACACTCCTACGGTATACCCTCTGGTAATTTAACATAGCTATGGAAAATCACTATTTTTTATGGGAAAATCCACTATTTCTATGGCCATTTTCAATAGCTATGTTAGTTTACCAGAGGGTACTAGGGTGTTCTATGTGGAGGAAGGTCTTAAACGCCTGGAACATCTTGGATCCGCCGAGGGGTTTACATTCGGAGCCTGGACTATGCAGCCCTATCCACTCAGCGGTTGGGGGAGGTGTTGGACATATTTGGACATTGGACCTTGGGGAACCACAGCAACAGTATGCCTGAGTATGCCCACATCCATCCACATCCTATTTTCTAATGAGGGCTTTATCTCAGATGGCGGGGAAATCCTACAAACTCTTCCTTAATAACTTATATAACTTGGGGGTTTAGTGTATGTTCAGCCAGTGGGAAATCATTTTGGATATGGCTCACAATTTTCACAGATTAAAAAAAGAGATGGGGCTTTGTAGTGAAAATGCATGGCTTAATACTAAAACTGGATGGTTTAGTATTAACAAAATGGAGGGTGTAATATCAACTTTCCTGTTCTGCGCTTGTTGACGTCCTCCAGCCATACCCGCTGGCATCACTTCGCTATTCGAGGTGGCTCCCTTGATCACGTCGGAGGCTGCTCCAGTTACGCCTGAGGAGGCAGGAGCTACGAAACTGCGAGAAAAAACTGCTGGAGTTCAACTCGGCTACATATTGGAAATCTATGGACATCTTAGTTGAAAAAGTATAAATTAAAGTGATAGATATTTTAATGTATATTTTATACTGGCATGTTGATTCCTTTTCCAAATCTTTGGATCCTTTCACCCCCATTTTTGGGCCTTCTTCGGGGGCCTATGGCCCGCCATCCCAAGTTCCTTGGACAGGCGGTTCATTTGGTGGAGCCTTGAACTCAGTGCTCCGTGGTGCCCAAAATTCATTGCCATTTCAGACCATTCAATCTCCCTATAGACCATCCGTTTGTACCTAAAAGAATGGTGTAAAAAACCACCATATTAGTTTATGATAGTTTATATAAGTATACTTTTATCATTTTTAGGGGGTCTTTGAGGGTCTAGGTCAACATATGTCAACATATTTTCAGATTTCGACATTTGTTTTTTAGATTTTCGCTGAGACATGCTGAACTCGTTCTGTTGCTGGGGTTGAGGTTGCTGTTAGAATCCCTCTACGACTTGTTCCAACCATCTTTGGTGTCAGCCTCAGGACTGACGGTATCTGACGCTTGACATGGCATGATGTGCAAAACGCGTATCATTGCGTATCTACTGTATGTTGACATTCCAGTAGCTGTATGATTTGATAGGTATGGCAACCTCATGTCTGTTTGAAATTGATAGATATAGTCATGCGTTATGTTTCTGAATCTATATACAGTAATTGAAAGATATTGAACAAGGGTTCTGGTTTACTTTCTGTTTCGTTGGTTCTGTCTGTGGTACTTCTCATGGAGGGTACCCAAGAACCCCACTTTTTTTTCGTGGGCCCGCCTGCCCTGCGGGTCCGGTGAAACTTAATACCCCACTTATCATTTTTCAACGCTTGCAGACGATATTTTTCTTGAACATGCCTATCATTTTTATATCATTCCCAATCAAAATTAACAACATTGCGGTCGATTTCGCATGTTTTCACATCATGCAATACATGCTTAACAAAAGGTCTCATGTTTGTGGCTTATACAGTACAAGTACTAAGTTTTCATGGTGACAGATCACCATTGTCATCCATTGTCCGTTTCTTCGCAATCCAACCTGGCAGTGTGAGCCACTAAAGATACCATCTGGTTTAATTGGGATTATCATAAGAACATTGGGATTATCATTTTACCGTATTTTACCTACCAATCAATTTCAATTAAACCTGGAAAGAAATCATGACTTCACAGAAATATGGAGTACCCATCAATGTTCAAAACCAAGTCCTCAGCACTCAATGGGTTTGAGGATCCTAGAAAAACGGGTTCGCTTCCCTGCATCTGTGCAGCTCAGGTTCAAGCTGTTTGGTTTTCCTTCGATGGAGACTGGCGTCGACCGCCTTTATTGGAACAGGTCGGGTGCCGACAGAGTCTTCTCGATTAATATGATTCATCCCCTCCCTCTAATAGTAAACATTATTAAACATTATTAAGCACCCCGCAACAACCAAAGTTTACTAAGTTTACTAGGTGATTTGCACTTATTCCTAGACCCTAATTCCTAGACCCTCCAAGTATTCTTAAAAATTGTGCTTTACCATGTAATTTTAGTACTTTTACCATTTGTTTGGGGTCTTTGGAGGGTCTAGGTTGAGACATAAGTAGAGGGTGTTTGATGGTCCGGGATGGTAGTATGGATGATTATTGTCTGGAGATGTGGTTGGGCTTCGAACTTCGAAGCGATGGTTCCACATGTTCCATCTTCAATGGACATGTAGCAGCGTTTCTGCTCGGCAGATCTACTGTACATGCATCTAGTTTGCAAACTTCCAGGTGGCCGGTAAAGCCGTGGAGCTGGTGACCAAAAGGCAGATGGAACTGGTGAGAAGATGCGCGCTGGTAGTTCTGGATACTTAGCGAATGTTATAGACATAGAATGACATAGAAATGTCAGAAATGTGAATGAGCACCCAATTCATTTTGGCCTTTTTGACAGCTTTTGACCCATCCCGAGATGACAAAGAAACCACAAAAAATTGTCCGCCTATATCCGAGGGTCAAGCCCACTACAGATTGTTACAACTAGAAAAATGTGGGTTTTCAAGTGTTATCAACTAAACTTATGCTCTGGTTATTTAACATAGCCATGGAAGCCATGGCCCATTTGTAGATGATTTTCCCAGCTAGAAACCTCCATTTATGGTTGGGATTTTCCATGGCTATGTTAGTCATAACCAGATGATAACTAAAACTAAACCCCATATTTTTTAAATCACCAAGGTTAGGAAAACTTGAAACATGGGGCTCTTCATGGCTGTTCTGGCCAGGCCACCCAGCAGTGAACGGCCGCTGCCGGCCCATTTGATGCAACTCTGTTCTGCGGTTGGGGCGACCCAGATACTGGGGACTTTGATGGGGATTAAAATGACCATTTCTTGCAATATATTATATTATATTATATATATGTATATTATACCTAGGTTACTATTATTATCATTAGGCTTTCCGTTATTATTCTTTGATTGTAGACATTTTTTAGAATTTAAGTTTTTTTTTTTTCAGTTTGTTACCTGCAGAGAGATTCTTATGAGCAACAATTTCGGGGATTTAGAATCAGGTACTTTTTTGAAAAAAGTCGGGAAGCCATATATATATATATACTGATACTGTATATATAGAACATCTATATAACTATCGTAAAATATCTACAATGTTTGAAAGTAACTTTGGGATTCTACTCGTATGACCACCTAGGGCCCACACAATTTCAGGATTGTACGACCAGTCATATCAAGGATGCTATAGACTTTTTTTTACTTGAGAGACCAGTTGTGTCCGATTCAAGAGCTTGCTGCGGTTGATACCTGTCAGCATGTGGGACTTGTCCGGCTGAACAGTGTCATACCAGAAATATCCGCGGCCAAAGCAGATTAAGAGTTCTTGGAACCATATATGAGGACCTCACAATACCACTGACAAATTTACTATCAATCCATGATAGTGGCTGGACAACGTCCATTGGTCAAAACGGATGTCAGTGAAGAGTGAAGATCCATTGGTTCCTAGTGCTATTTGAACCACTTCATTCACGACCCTTATGAAGTTATTGAAGTTTTTGGTTCATCAATCCATGATGCAGACTCAACTTCCAATGAAACTTGAAAACCAGTTGGATCCATTACTATACCAGTTGTCAATGGGAATTCCAGGATCCTAAAATGGAGGTACTGTACCATATAAAGCCATATTTTGGGGGTATATTCCCTTACATAGGCCTGAAACATAGGCCTTATATATGGTAGGTACATGTAGGTACCTCCAATTTAGGATCCTGAAATTCCCATTGAAGTTGGTTACCTTTCTGATCATTTCACTGGTGCTTGTTGCAGGTTTTGACCCGCATCGTCAGTGCCTTCGTGGACGTCAGTGCTGAAGGCACTGGCAGCTGACTGCAGCTGTGGAAAAAGACACGGTGAATGATATGGCATTACCGCATGGGAAGACAGCTATACTATTCTACTCCTTCACCATCCCATTTAAAAATGGGCATGGTTATTTTTTTGGGCATGGTTAAGAAATGATGTTCCATGATAGGAAATGAGATTGGTATTCATTTCATTCGGATTGGCTTCAACTTTGGGGCACCAAAGACTGTTTCCGACAGGTGGAAAGTCGGCTGCTGATGAGTTGGAACGACTACAGAAACAGCCGGAAAGCCCTGCAGAGTCAAAGGATGACATGACATGCCATGACATGACCAAGAGTTTGGTGCCCTCAAGTGTGTTTAATCATGAAATATCATGAAGGGTTGGGTCAAAGTTAGCATGTCAAAGTTGAAATTGAGATGGGATTCCAACCTGTGATACTGAAGTGTTCGTACCTGAGGATCAGTTTAACAGAAGTCTCAGCATACATAATATATATATATACACAAATCTCATATATGATATCGTCATTTGATGATTACCAAAATTATTCTCTCTCTATATATATAGTTATATAATAGTCTATAGTTTTGATTATATATCGAAATGACATCTTATATATATATGCATAGATAATGTATACATAATATAGTAATATATATATAAATAATAAAATTGTTATATACATATACATATACATATATACATATGTATAGCCAAGGGATCACACATGCTGAGGTGGCAGCTGCGTTCAGATCTTCGCGAGCTGATGACGAAGATTGAGGAAAGCCCAAAGAAGGCCCGCCAGGAGATCATTGAATTATGACAGGATAGAGGAAATGCAGAGGATTCCGCGGGATAGGGAGACATCATGCAAATGAACTCAAATGAGGTGGAATTGGTGGGATGATTATTATGGATTTTGATGATGATGATGATGATGACGATGATGGTCATGGTCATGGTCATGGTCATGGTCATGATGATGACGATCAAAGACGACGATAAAGATGGTGGTGATGACGATGATGGTGATGGTGGTGGTGATGATCATTATGATTCTGATGATAGAATGGCTGTACATAAGCGTAGATGCAGGGCACAATTGACATAATTTTTGTCTAAATGTTTACATCAGAAGATATCCATATCTGAACAATATCTATAGTTGTTAACACACATATATTTACATATATATGTATATACATATACATACATATATATCTATGTATATATATACATACATATATATGTATGTATATATATACATATATATATATATACAAATTTACATACACATATACACATATACACATATACACATATACACATATACACATATACACATATACACATATACACATATACACATATACACATATATACATACATATATACATACATACCATACCATCACATCACATCACATCACATCACATAACATAACATAACATACATAACATACATACATACATACAGTACAGTACAGTACAGTACAGTACAGTACAGTACAATACAATACAATACAATACATAACATACCATACCATACCATACCATACCATACATAACATACCATACATACCATACCATACATAACATACCATACATAACATACCATACATACCATACCATACCTACCATACATACCATACATACCATACCATACATACCATACCATACATACCATACATACCATACCATACCTACCATACCTACCATACCTACCATACATACCATACCATACCTACCATACATACCATACATACCATACATACCATACATACCATACATACCATACATACCATACATACCATACATACCGTACATGCCATACATGCCATACATGCCATACATGCCATACATGCCATACATGCCATACCATACCATACCATACCGTACCATACCGTACATACCGTACATACCGTACATACCTTAGATACGTACATGACATACGTACATACGTACATACCGTACGTACGTACGTACATATGATATCTGCAAGGAGTACATGACTATATGCAGACACCTTGCCAGGCGCGTGGCGCCTTTGAGAAATCTTCCTTGTTGGAGGTGGTACCATTACCCCCAGGCTGTGGTCCGAAAGTGGGGACTTCTGGAGTCTATGTATGTATACATAATAATGTATATATATATATAAATATTTACATATATTACATATATTATGTATATTTACATACATATATATATAATATACATGAAACATTCATTAAACAAATATATAACCATCATATAACCATTATATAAAATCATCATATAAAACCACCATATAACCATCATATAACCATACCCATGGGCCATGATATACCCTCCGGTAATGAAACATGGTAATGGAAAGCCCTCCATTTATAGATTTCCCATTGAAACCTCCATTTAGTTCGGGGATTTCCCATTGCTACGTTTGAGTAGCGAAGTGTATGTGCGCCGAAACATAGCTTGTTTTCCCATGAAAGGGGAAATTTGTCATGGTGAGATGACCATACCCCAGATACCATGTTGGTGTTGTTTCTGAGTTCCGGGATGACTTGTGTGCTGAAGTTCATTCTTGATGATGTCAATGTCTGTTTGAAATACGGGTGACATTTTCTTGTTACCGTTGTGTCCTTTGGCTTGCGGACTTTAAGGGCCGTAGATGTGCTCAGATATCATCGGACTTGGGTTGTGCCAGAGGGCTCGTTTGATTTGGGCGAAGTGTCCAGTTGATTCTGTGCTCTCCTCTTTTTAGTACTTCAGATGATCCATTCATTTAGATTGTCTATAACATCCAAATCGCCTGGAGCTTGGTAGCATATTTGTTTTGTTTGTGTCCACTTTTGTCCTGTGGCTTTCACACTAATAGTTTCCTGGTTGGTCCTAGTTTCCACGTTGGCTTATGCCGCATGTCCGTGGTCTGTCCACGGTCATGTGGTTCTTACAAAACATGTTTTTAGCATACAAGAAAAATATCAATTGCTCAGTTTACTGCGGGCATGAATCTGAATCTGGTGTGCCCAATCTTGAAATGCCCATTTGGGTATCGAATCAATCTCGCATGCTTTTGGTGGACATCTGGGTTTGAGTCCATGCTGGTATTAACCACGCGGATTCCCAATTGAACGTTGGCATATGCAATGTTGTACAATCATGTAAACTGAAGTGACATACAAATCTAGGTCGACCTTAGGTGTAGAGTGTAGAGCTAGAAATCTCGGTAGTGGAAGTATGGGGTGCATATATACATGTATATATATAGTACAACATATTTAATACAATATATTATAATGTAGTATTTAATATGTATATATATATAAAATATAATATATAGTATATTGGATACAATATATGATATATAATATTATATAGTATATATTATGTAATATTTGATACATTATATATGATATATGATCTATGATATATAGTATCTAATATATAATATTTAATACATATATATAATATAACATATCAAATACCATACATACATATATATATATATACACACATAATATCTATTATGTAATATCCAATATATGATATCTAATATCCAATATATGATATCTAATATCCAATATCTAATATATTTAATATATGATATCTAATATATAATGTCTAATACATACTATATATAATATCTACTGTCTAATATCTAATCTCGAATATATAACATATAATATAATATAGATATAGGACATGATATAAGTAATATAATATGCAATATCTAATATACAACATACAATATATAGCATACGTTTTTATATTATATATTATCTAATATCTAATATCCAATGTCATGGAGAGATACACACTCGCAAGTGAAGAATGGTTTTGCGCTCAAGTGGGGATACAGACAGAGACCATGCAAGTAGGAAGCGGGTAACGCTCAAAACACCTAAAGATAGACCATCAGTCAAAGAACGTTTGTGATAGCGCAGGAAACTGCTGTCGCTCGAGACACTGTACGCCAGAAATTGGTGAAACGCCTAAAAGCAAGTACCTGGATGGATTGAATGTATATATATATATATTTCGAATTCCCCAATTTGGGCTAAAAGCCGCAGATTCTTGTCTTCAGGTTCCTCCTGTGAAGCCAGCGAAGAGTGGGAGTGGAACTCAGACTCTGCCACAGTGCCGTATGGGTTCTTGGGTGGGTGAGAGTCCATTCATGTCCATTCAAAGCCTCTGATGTCGTCCGCCCTAGATGTTTGGGTGCCCCATGGCCTGGGTATTCCAGGGCTATGCAAAAAATTGAACAGCCGCGAGGTCTTCAAACTGATTTGGCTCTTCCGCACAGTTCACTTCCTGGCATGGGACCCTATCCGGGGCCTATCCGGGGCTGAGTTTTTGGGCCTCATCATGGGTTTCATCCCCGATGTTACATCCGGATGCCTTATGGACTTAGCGATTCCAACAGCGCAAAAATTTGGTAGCACTTGTTTGAAAATATCTCCCCCCTTCCATGACTTTGTTTGAAAATCATGTACCTACCAAACAAAACATTGGTTTGAAGATGTCTAAAACATCGTTTTCCAAACTATATTATGTCCATTTGCCAACAATAGTGACAGAAGTTTTGTACCAGTGGTTGACAATTCGTGTGGATCTATATAGTGGTTTTTCCGTCTTCGTTTTGAGGCCTCACGCAACCAAAACTTCAATATATTACATTGTATTACATGTTGAAAATCATGTACCCAAAAGTTTTCCAGTGGTTTGAGTATGTCATTTCACGTCATTTTTCATCATTTCCCAGGTTTCCCATACATTTTCCATATGAAATGGCCAGTTTCAAATTGGACGGCAAGGTGCCCTACAGCGCTGTGGGCGAGTTCTTCGGTCAGCCCAAGGAGGCGCATCGGGCATTGGATCGCATGGATTTTTTGTCAAGTTATTGAATAAGTAATTGGAAAATGGCTGAAGAAATTGAATCTGTAGTTCTGGGTAAATTATAACGGCCTAACTGCGACCTCACTGGAATCATGGTTAATAAGGGGAATCATCCCAAAATGGCCTTAATTCAGGTTAGTGAAATATTATGATTTACCCAGATAGTTCTCCTTAGGTTGCTAAAGTTGCTGGATATCGATTACAAACCATTGATGACCTTTTTTTAATATCCACTCTAGATGCGGTAGCGGCCAGCTGACGGCGCCGCGCCAGGACAGTGAAAAGGCCGTGACGACTTTTGTCCGCGGGCTCGATATCACGAGCTTTGCTGAGCTCCAACAGAATGGGTGGGTTTTAAAAGGGTTACCCTCTGTTAAACTAACAGTTTGCTATTGAAAATGGCCCAGTCGAAATAGTTGATTTACCCATAACAAATGGTGATTTTCCATAGTTTTTTGTATGTTTCCCAGAGGGTATCAAGATTTTGAATCTGCAGCTAAACGTTGAGCCAAACGATGTGAAGACCCAGCCATTCATGATCTTAGGAACCCATTAAAATTGACCCTGTTATCTAGATGTAGATGCATGATGATGTATGTAGATCATTAGATTATCATATGCAAATATAATCACATATATGATATATGTATATCATATTTACATATTCTATATGGATATATGATCATATACATGCACACACACACACACATCATACATGTAATTCATACACTTTCACTACTCTTTTCTGGGCTGTGTTCGCTTCACATTGAACCAGCGCTGAGTCTGAGAGCTTTGATTGGGGTGCAGCAGACATCGAAAAGGCATTGCGGAGTTTTCTGGAGGCAGCACCCAATACCGGGTTTCCGGTGGTTTTGGAGCTGAATTTTTAGGGGAAAGAACCATGGAAAAACACAACTTTGATGCTTCAGGAAATAACTTTTCCTATTAAAGTGGCCATAAATCGGAGATCAATCATGATAAATCCACCATTTTCAGACACACAAAGGGATGGGGTGGTGGAAATGATGGCAACGGGGTGTCCGAGGGCAAAGGACTAACGACACACTATGGCAGGGTTTCTGGTGATGTGTTTTATGGGGGGAAGGGATTAAATCATGTCTTTCTATGTACCAATATGTGTGTCAATATAAATCAATATAAATCACATCGAATCCATAGTCCATATTAATCCATATCATATGTTTGCCTGTTTTGTTGGTGCTGAAGTACATCTCCATGTTTGTTGACAGTGGGTGCAGTGCTGCTCCGTGGCGAGCCGCGCTGCGATTCTCCGGCGGCGAACGGCTAGGCCTTTTTGCTTCCGAAGGAAGCACAGCAAATCGACCGCATCCTCCGCGTCTTCGCCTGGAGCCAAGTGGCAAAGAATCTGGCAGTGTGTCAAAACCTTGTACCCCTGTAGTTCACATCAAAATAGCTGGTAAATTGATGTTCATTCCCCTAAAAATGGTAATAGGTATTGATCCATACCCATCTGGACATCCAGAAAGGATTGGTGATTGGTGGATGATTGGTGGATGATGGGATGAATTTAAAATAACTTAAACATCATCAGAATCTAAACCATGAGCACTTTTGAGCAGATGTTGAAGCACCAAAACGGTACGGACATGATGGTTGGGTGTGGTTTTTAGAGGGTGGCTTGTGAACCTAGCTGGGAACACTAATATCACGAGATCAAGCCACTATTGAAGTATCCTTCGGAAACCAAACATGGACATGGGCCATGCCGGTGTTCCTTTACATTATCTTGTTTTTGAGGTCGGGCGCAACCAACCAAGACATGAATAGTTTCAGGATGTCTCAATATGGTGTCTCTCGGAGTGACTACGTGCTTGGTCTCCCGTCATAAAGGCTTCTCATATTCAACATGGTCCAAGGTTGGTCAGTAAGGGTACTCCCAAAGGACATCACACATGGTTGCTACAGTGTGACAGCAATATCTAGTTTTGGTACCGCAACAGCTAAAGCAATAATTAATAAGAGCAACCACTAACAACATTGAACACAGCCAGTCGGATCGCCACAATAACTGAAACATGGGTCATTCATGGCGTTTTTTTCCATATGGCTTACATAATCTTCATGGCTACATACTAAAATACACCAAATATTGGGTGAATATCTTTTCACAGATCTGGGCCAATCTTTTTGATCCGTGCGACCTGCTGAATTGAGGCCCATGCCTACTACCACAAACACGTTGAGCATTGCAGAAGTTCTGGGAAGGAGGCAGTCCACTGGTGCAGTATCACCTCTGGTAGCATGACTAAGGTGCAGCAAGACTTCAGGATTCAGCTTAGATTCCCGACATTCCGGTTTTGAAAATTCCGGATCCCTAAGGTTTTGAAAGAGCAGAAGAGAAATGACATGACATGACATGACATGACATGATCATTTTTTCATTCATAGAACAATTCATTCCCCAAACGACCTGCATGGATCCGACCAGTGGCCGTCGCCAGGGAGCTGGATATTTGAAACATCCAGATGCTGCCTACACATTTGCATTCAGCCACTTGTCCTTTAAAAAAAACGCCCAGGGTGTGAGTCTGCTCGCACATGAAACGGGAGTTGATCTATTTCCCCACCTGCCAGGTGAGGGTTGTTAGATTTTATGTCAGTTGCCTGCTCCTCCTCTCCTCTCCTCTCCTCTCCTCATCTCCTCTCCTCCTCCTCGTCGTCCTCCTCGTCGTCCTCCTCGTCGTCCTCCTCGTCCAACTGCGACCCGCGATCCACAGTGTTCTCTGTCGGCCCTCAACCACGACCATCCACGCCCAGTGTGCCCTGCCGGACCTCAACCACGACCATCCACGCCCAGTGTTCCCTGCCGGACCTCAACCGCGAGTATCCGGGCCCAGTGTTCCCTGCCGGACCTGAACCACGACCATCCACGCCCAGTGTTCTCTGCCGGACCTCAACCGCGAGGATACATGCCAAGTGTTCCCTGCCGGACCTCAACCGCGAGTATCCACGCCAAATGTTCCCTGCCGGACCTCATGTAGGAAGATATGGGACAAAGAATGTGCAGAAGAAAGTTAGAAAGAATGTCAGAAGATATGCCAGATAGAATGCCAGATAGAATGCCAGAGATATGTCAGAATATATGCCAGAACATATGCCAGAAGATATGCCAGATAGAATGCCAGATAGAATGCCAGCAGATATGTCAGAATATATGCCAGAAGATATGCCAGATAGAATGCCGGATAGAATGCCAGAAGATATGTGAGATAGAATGCCAGAAGATATGCCAGATAGAATGCATCAGATTTGCCAGATAGAATGCCAGAAGATATGTCAGATAGAATGCCAGAAGATATGCCAGATAGAATGCCAGAAGATTTGCCAGATAGAATGCCAGAAGATATGACAGAAGATATGCCAGATAGAATGCCAAATAGAATGTCAGAAGATATGTCAGATAGAATGCCAGAAGATTTGCCAGTAAGAAAATGTATAAATGTCATGGTGGGGATCACACGAAGTAAAGTAATTGATATTTTTTGATAGCCATTTTGAGAATATCTGGATGATATCTTAAGTATTTTTGATAGCTATAAACTGCAGGATGCCACTGCCCCACTGCCACTCCGTGCTGACGACTGACCCTGGCTGAAGACTCGGTTCAAGAGCTCGGTGCGACGGTCATCGACGGTCGCCGGGTGCCCCCCCGGGAGTCTCTGCTGCGCAAGGGACCGGGGCGGTGCGGTGCATCATGGCTGAGGTGGTCGAGTCCTGGGAAGATCTGTGCCCCAAGAAGAAGGGCCGCAAAGCCAAGAAACACCAGGAGAACTGGGAGCCAAGTACGGTGGGACTTAGGTTGTGATATGTTTTAGCCATAAATGGATGAAGCGTGTGTATATTAAAGTAGCGCTGCTCCTGACACGCGCTCCCCCTGCCATTGGGGTCGGCGGATATAGTAGTTAGATTTGTCGATCTCTCAATCTTAAATTTATTGATTTTATTGTTGTTTGGGTATACTTATAACAGTCTTATAAGATCTTATAAGTACCCTCTGGTTATTTAACAGTTCGCCATGGAAAATCACCATTTTTAAGTTCGGGAAACCATCTATTTCTATGGACTATGGCTTCCATGGCTATTTCTTATGGCTGTTGAGGAGAAAGAGAAGCCTCCCGTGGTGCACCAAGCCTCCGCCGTGCGCATCCGCAAGAAGAAGGACACGGCACCCGACGATCCAACGCCTGCGATGGACGATCCAACGCCCAGCCCGGTGGTGATGCCAGCGCCGCGCTCCGAGGCGCCACAGGCGCCGGTGCCACAACAGACCACCTGGCAGCCCAATCCCAATGCGACCCCCTGGGAGATGTGGCAACATCCGGTGAATTCCTATGGGAATTCCTATGGGAACATTGGGAACTATGATGCCTTTTCATACCAGGCATACACACCCTATCAGTACCAATCATTTCCATACTACCAGGCCTATGCGCCACCGGCAGAACCGGCACCAGCGGCACCGGTTTCCAAGTGGGTACCACCTTCGGATGTGAATGATGTGACGGATGTGAAGATCTCCCCAACAACGGCGACTCCGGAACCTGAGAAATCGGACTCCGAGAAGGGCAAGGGCTGTGGCTGCGAGGATTGGGAAGAGCTCTATGATTCAGAGCCAGGCAGTACGGAAGTCCATTCCGCCGCCTCCTCAATCCATTCATCCCCCGCAGGACCCATGCCACAAGTCAAGCCATGCGTGGCACCGCCATGGTTGTTGTGTACCAGCACACGGCGTCGTGCGCAGCAGAAGCAGACCTGAGATGACCAGATGATTAGAGGGCGAAAGAATCGGCATGCAACAGACCTTCGAAGGGGTGAAAGTTGAATAGTGTTAGCAAAATAATAATACACCATCCATGGCCATCCATATTTTGATGGTTTATACCACACATTTGTGGTAAAAATATGTAAACATAGCTTCTCAGACACTAATTTGGCTCAAAACAGCAATTTCTGTACACTTTACACATGTGCATTGGTTGCCAGATGTTTTCTGCGCAATTCTATGAGAAAACATCCTCCTGGGAATTTAGCCTAAAGAGTTCAGGACATGATGTCTTTAAAAAACTGTATTTTTTAAGGGACATACCTGGCCGGCCAAAAAAAACAGTTTCATTTTTTAAGATATATACTGTTTTTAACGGTCTCCTATTCTTTAAGAGGTCTTCCTAGGAAGATTCTAGGAACTTGTTTTTTGGATTTTTTTTGGTATGTTCATCAATGTTTTTGGGATTGTGTGTCAAATGAAAACCAGCTTGCCTGCCGCTTGAACAGATGCTCACAAGCAGAAGACGTGAAGGTGAGATGGAGGATGAAAACGTGATGAGTGAATGCATGTAAATGATCCCCCTTGGAATTTCCACTTTAAAAATGCAACAACCCGGGTTGTCGCAAAAAACGTTTTTTTTTTTTTTAAATGCAAAAACAGATGATTTTTCCACATGGCTAACCCGGAGTCCCCATTTTTTGCAAAGGTTTCCTAGGTCATGATTTTTTAGAGAGAGCGTTTTGAGGAGCAATAGACAAGCTCTTTGAATTTTTGCGAGTTGCTAAAACTGCTGTTGTGCGCCGGCCATCGTTTGTATCGCAGATGAGCCAAACAAGTTTCAACATTGACAACACATTTCAACTGATTTTTCAACAAGGACATTCTTTAGGGACGCCGGACTATTGCACATTTATGAGCGTTTGAAAACAGAGCGTTTGAAAATCATATGGTGTTATCCCTCTTGGAATTTTCCCTGGCTAAAACATAAGTCAACCCGGGTTATCAGTTCCCCCTTGATTCTTTAGAGATTTAATTTGAAACCCTAAGTTGAGTTTGTCAATGTTGAAAGTGCTGGCCAAAACATGGCTCAATAAACGCAACCAAACTGAGACTAGATATGATAAAAGCAGCAAATTGCATATATTGATTCATACAAATAAATATGTTTATCGTTTTGCAGGGTATAGCTCTAAAGAATCAGACACCAGCTCGAACCCAGTCCAGTTCTCATATCCAGACGTCCCCGGAAATCCCCAAGATTCCCAGGCATAACACCAATTGTCTCTAGAAGATCCATCGAAACCCAGTGTGTCCGGAGGTAGGACCTTATTTTTTAATGGCACCCTCCCAAAAAATACCCCAAACTGTGAAAAACTGCCAGGTTTTGCAGGGTCGACACGCCCTGAGCCTCCAAAGAATCAAAACACCAGCTCAGAAAAAAACAGTGTTTTGGCAGGACCTGATTCTTTAAGGATACCCTTCCCTGTGTCGGGAGGCAGGACCTGATTCTTTTTGTGGCACCCTCCCCAAAATATCCCAAGTTGTAGGGTCGACAGGCCTGAGCCTCTAAAGAATCAAAACACCAGCTCGAACCCAGTCCAGGTCTCATATCCAGACGTCCCCAGGAAATCCCCAAGATCCCCAGGCATAACACCAATTGTCTCTAGAAGATCCATCGAAACCCACTGTGTCCGGAGGTAGGACCTTATTTTTTAATGGCACCCTCCCAAAAAATACCCTAAACTGTGAAAAACTGCCGGGTTTTGCAGGGCCGACACGCCCTGAGCCTCTAAAGAATCAAAACACCAGTTTAAAAAAAATAGTGTTTTGGCAGGACCTGATTCTTTAAGGACACCCTTCCCTGTGTCGGAAGGCAGGACCTGATTCTTTAGTGGCACCCCCCTCAAAATATCCCAAGTTGTAGGGTCGACAGGCCTGAGCCTCTAAAGAATCAAAACGCCAGCTCGAACCCAGTCCAAGTCTCATATCCAGACGCCCCCAGGAAATCCCCAAGATCCCCAGGCATAACACCAATTGTCTCTAGAAGATCCATCGAAACCCACTGTGTCCGGAGGTAGGACCTTATTTTTTAATGGCACCCTCCCAAAAAATACCCCAAACTGTGAAAAATTGCCAGGTTTTGCAGGGTCGACACGCCCTGAGCCTCTAAAGAATCAAAAGAACAGCTCGAAAAAAACAGTGTTTTGGCAGGACCTGATTCTTTAAGGACACCCTTCCCTGTGTCGGGAGGCAGGACCTGATTCTTTTTTGTGGCACCCTCCCCAAAATATCCCAAGTTGTAGGGTCGACAGCCTGAGCCTCTAAAGACTCAAAACACCAGCTCGAACCCAGCCCACGTCTCATATCCAGACGTCCCCAGGAAATCCCCAAGACCCCCAGGCATAACACTAGTTGTCTTTAGAAGATCCATCAAAACTCATTGTGTCCGGAGGCAGGATTTCATTCTTTAATGGCACCCTCCACCAAAGAACCGGACACCCGGGTCAAAGACTGAAAACAAAGGGGGATATGTTGTTTACAATCAATTTTGATCAAACCAGAAAAATGAAACAAGAGGAGGCAGCCAAAGACAACGCTTTGGCAGAAGCTTCTGCCATGACAAAAACAGAAGCCGCTAATCTGGCATGGGCAAAAGAAGGGCAAATTTCATCTCCGGTGTGCAAAGGAATCATTTGGGTACGTTTGGTGTTTTTTATGCTTGTTGATGTCCACATGGCTAACACGGACGCCCAATATTTTAGAGGTTTACTTTTGTATTTGTTTTTTGTGTATTTTTTGTATTTGTTGTAGTTGGTTGCCTGGGCCATGATTTCTTAGATGGTCTTAGGCCCCTTGCATCCTAGGTAGGCATTCTTTAGATGTGCCATTTCAGTAGTGCAAGGTGGACCTCCGTTGTTTGTCTAAAGAATGCTGGAGTCCATGTGAGCAGGATAATTCCAAGGAGAATTGTAAATGCAAGAATTTGTGTTAAAACACCTTCCAGAGTTGAAGAATGTTAAAAATGTGCTTTCAAAATTCACCTAAAAATGCCTAATGAATTATAATAATCCTAATATGGACACAAATAAATAAGTCTATATGTTCTCATATGATTGCATGCGCATCTTATTGATGATGCTTGACTGCGCCGTCGTCCATTCGACTGCAACTTGGGTATCCAATTCTTTAAAGGGGCACCCCTTCGTGTGCAACTTGGGTCTCCAACCCTTTAAAGGGACATACCTTGGCTACTGTGTGCAATCTTGGTTCATTGGGGTTAGATTCTTTAAGGCTGAAATTTGCCGTGGTTCGCATTCTTTAAGAGGCTACCAGTGGTCCCTTAAAGATTCAGGGGTCAGGGTCGGAGCCCGAATTGCAAGGGGGATGAGAAAACTATGGAAAGCTAGGGTCATTCATCAATTGTTGTTTATAGTTTCATGGGACTATCAGGCCTTCGACTCAAGACTCTAGTTTATTGGTGCCGCCCAGCGGAAGCATCAGGAACTCCAAGAAAAGGATGTTGAATAGAGTCTATGATTTTACCTAAATCATTCCATTTGGAACCATTTGGGCAAAATTCAGTCTTGTGATTGAAAACACATGAGGTATTGAAGTTACTGCTGTTAATGAGTCAATTTCTTAATGCAATCTTCAAAAGTGAGCCGAATTGAGTCTCATGTTGACGGACAAGTTCCTTCAATTTCTGCTGCTGAAATTCTTTCGGAGGTCTGCGGGATTTGCTGTTGACCCATGGCATGGGCATTCGTGCTGTCCGATGCTGTCTGCGCTGAAGGACTTGCCGAAGGGCAACGCAGCCGTCCAAAGGTTCCTATCGAATTTCAATTGGCAACTCCCAGCCAACCTGAGTTCATGGTATGCAAATGTATAACGCTGTGACAATCCGTTTGTCGATTTTCATGGTTGTTCCAAATTTCTCGGCAGATGATGATACCATTTGATGTTTTGCTCAAAAATCTTGACGCTGAAGGCACAGAGAAAAGCCACACTCCCGCCGGGTTTCTGACGGCGGGCAGCTTGCGAATCGGTTTAAGGTCTCAACAGTGACCACGACAGACGCCTGCAGGGCATGCCAGAGGGAAGTGACTGACAGATGAAGTTCTGGCTTCCTCAAATGACCTCAGTCCTATAAGTCTGGGAACCGACTAAGTATGAGATCGGGTGAAACAGCTTACCAGATTCAGCTTACCGTTACGTTGTTGTGAAAAAAGCCTTGATATCCTTTGATCATTATAATGACACACCTTCTGCAGTGACTAACTCCCAAACGGCATAATTGTATATGTCCAGCCCTGCATTGGGCATTGGTGCACGTGCGCGACCGCTCACGCGCGCCCCCTTGAAGCCTTGGCACAGTTTCAATACATTTGAAGTTGCAACTGGGGCCAAGTCCACCAAGGCCCAGTTGTTTATTGTATAAAAACGCTATATATTTACTAACATTGTCTCGTGATGTCTAGTGTGCATCTTGATTAGATACTTTCAGTGAGCTTTTGATATAAGATGATGGGCCTTGGATCCTTCTGATCCTTCAGTGTTTCTGTGAAAATTCAGCCATGGTCACCATTTGAGCGGGCGCGATCCCCGCAAAAACTCGGCGTCCGGCAACCCTGTTCATAGCTGATTCATTCGAGACCACGGGGAAGCCATCTTCAGAAATGGGCAAATTGGTTTCAAAGCAAGGTGAAGGATGTCCCAAGTTGGTCATCTTTGGTCATCTTTGGTGCTTTGTGACCATCTGCAGATACTAAACATGACAATATACCCATATATACCCGTAGCAACCCGGAGATGATGCCCATGAAACTGCAGATGGGTACCCTCGGTGGTCAGTTTCCGCTCAGGAATTCAGCTTGAGGCTTTCCTCTCTTGGCTTCGCAGAAATCTGCAGAGTTGATAAATGAATTATGTATATTTATGTCTCTTCTGGATGGTTATGAAGATGTTATAGCATGTTATGAATGTCTTTGGCCAAGAGAGCTGTACAGATGAAGCTGTGATACTTTGCGACTTTGCGAAAATGGACTTCGTCTCAAGACACCAAGTGCTCTGCACTTGGCCGAACCCATGCACTGTACCCATCAGAGAATTACCCTCCGGGTAGTCAAATGTGACAATGGTTTTCCATTGGTTTTCCATATTTTCCCAGCTATAAAATGCTATAAACCTCCATTTAGTTTGGGAATTTCCAAGCCGCCAGGTTAGATGACCAGAGGGTACTCCACATCAATGATTTTGGTTCAGCAACCCGTGACTTCATCATTCGTTTGTCTCAACGCCAAGGTGTGATACTGTTGAACTCGGCCAAAGTCTCAGTTCGATTGTGCGAAAAACATAGGGGATCCCCAAAACTATGGGTTTCAATCCTATCATGATCTAATTTGGAGGATTTGGGGGGACCCCTATTTTAGGAACCATACTTCCAAAAAAAACAAATAAAACCGTGAAGATCTGTGGATGTTTCTTGGTAATCCCATTGAAGACTACCAATCCTGGAACAGAACGGCGTTTTGTACGAAAGAGATCCGGAACAAGTGAAATCAAGTGAACAAGCGTCGCTGCCTTGATCACAGGACCAGCACAACCCGAAGTTGAAGAAGAGGATGAGTGTTAAGGACTGACTGAGTCCGACAACTTTCGTTCCTGCCCCGCAGAGGCCCATCCAAGGCCCAGCTCTTTGCTGGGTCATGTTGGGTCATGTGTCCATGGTTTCAGGTTGATGCTCTAGGGCCAAAAAGGTGCCCATGCCATATTCTTGGTTACATACTGTATATTCTATATATATATATTATAGACTGTATGAGATATACTTGATTGGATATCAATCTATATATAATAAGATTATAATAGATTATACACATATCCCAACAAAAACATCCCGATGATATACGAATTTTGATGCCTCCATGTCCTGCAGCGCCATCTTGGCCCGGTCTTGGATTGGCGGAACGGGAACGCCGCCGGCCACGCCGGCCACGCGACTCCCATGGCATGGCCACAGGCCACATAGCAGCCGTAGCGTCCTTGGCCCGACGCTCCAAATGGCAAGAGGCTTGAAACACTGGGAGAGTTTTCATGGAGATTTGATGGGGATTTGATGGGGATATGAAAAACATTGAAAAACATTGAAAAATACCATGGTCAAGGGGTTGGTTAAGGAAAAAATGTGAAACTGGAAATCATTCGAATGTGTTTCTTATGCCCCAAATATAGGGCTTTCCAGTAAGGCTTTCCAGTTTCAATTTTCCGTTCAACCATTTTTGGGACTTGTGGTTTTCGCCTTAAGTAACCAGGAAGACGATTGGAACACCCCAAGAATTGGCTGAGATCATGAGATGGTATCCGGGTGAACTTACCAAAATCCCCTCCTTTTCGCATCTTCACAAGGGCCGTGCCTTTGTGAGGCCTTGCTACTCTTAGAAGCCGCAGAGCGGCGCAACGGCATGTACCTTGATCATTCCACAGAGCTCGTACTGGTCAGTCGCGATAATAGAGCCATTATGAGCCATCAATATATGTGGCATCACGAAATTCAGGAATTGGGGCCATAAAAAAAGGGCCCATGCCCATATTGAATCACGAGACAAAGCCAGATATCATAACGTTGGTAAAATATCCATAGCTTCTATATGCCAGAGAATGTCTCCACAAGATGCTTGGTTTGATAATCCAATATCTTGATAAACTGTATTCTGTAATTGCTTTTAATTACTGAGGTATATCATGGTATATCCATTTTAATACCCCAACAATGTGAGGCCTCCAAGACAAGTTGACACATAATTGCACTAGCTTGGACTTCTGGTGCATATATCACTCCAGTCGAATGGTTCCCCACCTGCCAGGTGAGGGTTGTTAGATTTTATCTAAGTTGCCTGCTCCTCCTCCTCCTCTCCTCCTCCTCTCGTCGTCCTCCTCCTCTCGTTGTCCTCCCCCTCTCGTTGTCCTCCTCGTCTCGTTGTCCTCCTCGTCCTCCTGCTCAACTGCGACCCGCGATCCACAGTGTTCTCTGCCGGACCTCAACCACGACCATCCACGCCCAGTGTTCCCTGCCGGACCTCAACCACGACCATCCACGCCCATTGTTCCCTGCCGGACCTCAACCACGACCATCCGCGCCCAGTGTTCCCTGCCGGACCTCATGTCGGAAGATATGGGACAAAGAATGTGCAGAAGAAAGTTAGAAGAATGTCAGAAAGAATGTCAGAAGATATGCCAGAAGATATGCCAGATAGAATGCAATAGAATGCCAGATAGAATGCCAAAGATAAGAATATATGCCAGAAGATATGCCAGATAGCCCAGATAGATATGCCAGAAGATATGCCAGAAGATATGCCAGATATATGCCAAATAGAATGCCAGATAGAATGCCAAGATATGTCAGATATATGCCAGAAGATATGCAGATAGAATGCCAGATAGATTTACCAGATAGAATGCCAGCCAAAATATGCCATATAGAATGCAGAAGATATGCCAGATATGCCAGAAGATATGCCAGATAGAATGCCAGATAATATGCCAGAAGATATGCCAGATAGAATGATAGAATGCCAGAAGATTTGCCAGATAGAATGCCAGAAAATATGCCAGAAGATATGCCAGATAGATATGCCAGAAGATATGCCAGAAGATATGCCAGAAGATATGCCAGAAGATATGCAGAATAGAATATATGCCAGAAGATATGTCAGATAGAATGCCAGAAGATATGTCAGAATATATGCCAGAAGATATGCCAGATAGAATGCCAGAAGATTTGCCAGATAGAATGCCAGAAGATATGCCAGATCATATGCCAGAAGATATGCCGATAGAATGCCAAATAGAATGTCAGAAGATATGTCAGATAGAATGCCAGAAGATTTGCCAGCAAGAAAATGTATAAATGTCATGGTGGGGATCACACGAAGTAAAGTAATTTTATTTATTACGCATCTGAAAACCTGCTTAATCCTTTGGAGGTTGTAGGTTCGGCTCTATTGGGCTATTTAGATGGATACATTGGTATACCTGCCGGTAATTTATCATTGCTGTATGAAAATTCCCAACTTTCAATAGGACCTTACAAACTACGGGAAGATCATCGAAGTAAATGGCGGATTTTCCATTACTTCTGAGGTGACATTTCTGAGGGTTCTCTCTGGCAATTTCACAATAGTTTCACGCAAAATCACGATTTTAAGTGGTAAATCTTGGCAAGTCAGTAAATGGGCCATCATGGGCCCATCATGGGCCATCTATACCACTTCGCTATGTAAGAAATGACTCTTTCGGGTAACCGCTAGAGCCGGGCGGAGGCATTTGCACAGCACCACCATGGCCCTGGGTTTGTGGCGCCACGCGCCCCGGCACTGGCAGAAAGCCGTGCAGCTGCTACAACGCTGCAGGGATTCACGGGTGGCACTGGAGCCATGCCTGGGATTTGTGGATGTGAAGAAGCACCCCCAAAATATGGTGCTTTGAATGGTTTGACTATGTTTGACTCATCCCATGATGGATCCATGGTGCTGGGATATATGCTAACATGACGCAGCATGACTGGGGTTTTTGTTGATGGGATCCATGGAGCACCATATATAGCAGCACAGTTAGGATCCGTCATGGGCATATTCATGGTGATATGAATTTGTCTCTTCCGGAATTGATCCTCAATTCCAGCAATTCTGAGCATGTCCAGCGTGTTTTTGGGTGGCAAAATGATGCTCTGATGGCCCTGCCAAGCCGGAAAACTACTCTGCCGGACTTCGGGGAATTTTTTTTAGCTTTCAATGTGCATCCAGGTGATCCTGAACTACGCTGGTCCATACATATCCAGTTATCAAATGAATATCCATAGGATAATTTAGATAAAATATGTGTCTATAATAGATGTATATCATTGTATATTATATATAATAGATTCAGAGTTGAATGATCAACATCTATTTTGAGTCTATATTAATATTTGTGGATATTGTGATATTTATAAAGTTACTATACCTGGAGATGTTTCATCATTGTTTTGAAATAAGGTCAGTTGATACGCCATAGATACATGCTTTAGTTTCTCTTCTTTCCTTCACTTGTACATATTCATAGAACAGTATATCCAAGCATGTAACATCATAGACACGCATTGTAAAAGCCACATACACATATCCTTTGCTATCTATATAATAATTCCGAACTAATCCACATGAATATACATAAATCACCATAAACATCATAAACATCACAAACATCAGATGTTTTTTGCCATGGAGTACTTCAAAAGCACGGCATTTCTCCTGGGAAGGACGTGGTGTGCTTCAGCAGCCTGGCGCGAAGTCTGGAAGAAAGCGCCTTGTGGCAGAAGAGCTTGCGGCTCCTGCAGGACGCTACAAATCGCATGAACAAGGTAAAGAATGATTATTGGGAGAGTTACCCTCTGGTAATTTAACATAGCTATGGAAAATCACCATTATTAATGGGAAAATCCACTATAAATGGCAATTTTCAATAGCTATGTTAAATTACCAGAGGGTATTGGGGAAATCAATGATTATAGGGATGATTATTAGATGGTTACAAGGTGTTATAACTTATGGTTATGTGTGGTTGTACTATCCAATGTAATGTGGGTAAAACAATGCCATTTGCACCATCCCCCAGTCATCAGCATTTTTAGTGGTATAAACCATTGCCAAATGGGTTTATCATTGTTGTACCCATATTATTGGGATGGCTATTGGGATGACTGTTGGGATGATTCGTAGGATGATTACTGGGGACATCAATGATTTTTGCTCGGAGACTACAGAGTCATACAACGGAATTGCCACGGAATCTCAATGTTTCAATGATTATGAGGATTATTAGAATGATATCCGAATGATTCTTATAATCATCTAATAATCCTCATAATCATTGAGAATCACTGGGGAAATATTGATAGTTGAAAAATCATGATTCTTATCCCAATGATCATTGGGAACGGGAATCTCACTAGTGATAGGGGATATGACAAAAAAGTGGGATGATTCTGATTCAGGATGATGGGGTGTCACTTGGTTTATCGTGGGGGATCCACCCCCCAGGATATTAACCAAAACGGGAAATGTAATTGTTCAGGGAGAAGATGATGAGTGATGATGATATTTAGGGCTGCAGGATTGGGCTTAGTAATTGATGTGACCATGGTAATTTACCTCATGAGTTGGGAATCTAGTGTGGGTTTCTCAAAATTAGAACCCCATTCCACCCACCGGTTGAGAAAATCATTTTGTCAACATTGCAATAACAATTTGGGTGGGTTCTAGCCCATTTTCAAACACGACCATACAGGTCATTTGGTTTATTTATTTATTTTTTTGCGATTTGTTCTGTTTTGTTTGACATTTAGTTGGCTTTTTTATTTGCTACAACTCATAGATCAGAAATGGGTACCAGGTACCGTAAGGCCGCCAAATGGAGCTGAGTGGTTTCACGCTGGCACAGTGTAGTTTCCATCTCAAGAGTTTGCTAGTATCGTCTACGTTGGCATGTGAATAAGAATCCATGTTTAGGGTTCCCTAGTAGTGACCCCTATCTAGATGATTGTGTTCGAAACAGCAAACATGGGCATGTGGATACTAATGAATGCCATAGACAGGGGGATATGGCCAACACTTTAGACATGATTTGACCGATAGAAATCTACCCAGCGGTGTTTTTCAACCAGCATTGAAAGAGCCCTGCCATCACTTCGTTAATGATCATTTGCGGTGTTGGTGGTTGCATCATGTTGTATCCTCATGAAGATCACGCAAACTATCATATGATCATTGGCCAATCAGTTTTGTGAGCAATTCGCCTGTGACAGACATGGCAAAGAAAGGACATGTCCCAGTTATTTTTGGACAGTGGACACAATCTGCCAGTGAAAGTGTGGAACATCGCCATTTTTTATGGGTAAATCAACTATAAGTGGCCATTTTCAATAGCAAACTGTTTGCTTACCAGAGGGTATCATTAGTTACAATTACAAGTGTATGGGTATACCCCATTCTCAGTCACACCCTATTCTATCCTATTCTTGGTTCAAAACAACATTAAGATCCCAGCAAAACTTCCAATAATAAGCACCAAATCTAACTTCTTGATGTCATGAAGAGTCATGACCGGATTTGTTTAGCACTTTTACAGGAACTCCCAAGATTTGGGTACAAACCATGGTAGTTTCTTGTAGATCTTTCCTATCGGAACCACTCCAATTATTTGTAGATTGACAAGAATGGCCACAAACCATAGTAGTTTTTTTTTTTTGGGGGGGGTTTTATGTATATATATATATATAGATGATTTTCCTAACCAAAGCATGTATCTACTGTTTTCCGAAGCATTCATTTGATGTCAGGACATGGACACCCAAAGCATCCAGCCCAACGCTGTGACGCTCACGGCGGTGTTTCGAGCCCTGGGCCGCAGCGGCCAAGCGACAACGGCGCGAGAGCTGGCTGAGAGAATGGAGAGGTACGGTACGCTGCCAGAGAAGTGGGAAATACCCAACCTGGTTATGACTAACATAGCCATGGTATAGATGGCCCTAATCGAAATAGATGGTTTACCATGGTTTACCTATTAATAGCATGGTGATTTTCCATGGCGAAGTGTTAAATAACCAGATGGTAGATGAAAATAGGGGACTTTAATGGGACTGTTAATGGGAATTTCATGGGATATTAACGGGATGTAATGGGATATTAATGGGACTTGAATGGGATTTAGCAGGATATGTCTAATGACTTGGATGTTTTATGATGATTTCGAGTACCAGTTTTTGAAGCCCCCGTACCTCCATATGGATCAAAACTACCCTCTGGTAATCAAAGAGAGGAATATTCTCCCATTTAGATGATTATCCTCTGGTAATTTAACATAGCTATTATGGCCATTTATAGTGAGTTTTCCCATTGAAAATGGTGATTTTCCATAGTTATGTTAGTTTGCCAGAGGGTATCCCATTTCATTGAAGCCTCCATTATGATGGTTCACATTTGGGTCGCCTGGGAATACTCACATTTGGTCCCCTGAGCTGCTGCTTAGTCCTGGAAGTCCTACCTGCCACATGGTTTCTGGCTGGGATGGGGTGCGGTGGATGCTGGTGGATGTAGCAAAAAAAACATGTTTTTTTCGGAGATTTTCCTTGCTACATCCAGCATCATCCTTGCCATCATCTTACCCTCTGGTAATTTGTTACATAGCTATGGAAAATCACCATTTTTAATGGGAGAATCCACTATTTCTATGGCCATTTTCAATAGCTACGTTAAATTACCAGAGGGTAACTCGAAAATTTCATGTTTTCCTTGCCATCGACCATCAAAAATCATCGACGATGACCCATGGATTTTTTTTTTTACGTCAACTCCTTGGACCGTCGAAAGTCGACGAACGGAACGTGATAGCACAATGCCCTGCCAGCCTCCCTGGTTGGTGGTGACTGGAACATTGGTTTAGTATGGGGTAATGATGGTTAATGATGGTTAATAATGGTTAATAATCACTGGTTGGTGGTTTGGAACATGACTTTTATGACTTTCCATATACTGGGAATGATATATAATCCCAACTGACGAACTCCATCATTTTTCAGAGGGGTGGCTCAACCACCAACCAGATCCCCTGCCCCTAACAACGCATTCCCCTTCGTGATTCTTTCTTCTGGACTCTGAGGATCCATAGCTGCGCATGTAGGTGATCATGGTCTCTATATCTCTATGATAGCTTTCATCCCCATGTTGCTCAACATTGCTCAGCATCTGTGCTTGATGAATTGTATCCAAGGCTTTCTCGCTTCCATCCCCTTCGCTCTGAATCGTAATTATTTATTTCTACTGCTCACACCATCATTCAATTCCATCTTCTATTTGTTCAAACACATCACCATCTTCTCTTTGCTCATACATCCGCATGTTTTCACGATATCACATGTACGACTGATGGATTGATGATTGAACATCTTATATCATGATTCATATCATACCCACTTCTGATGAATTGATGGTTGAAAACCTCCTATCATGATTTACATCACAACTATGACATACTATGACTGATGGATTCTTTCTTGTCACGCCACATATCATGTTTTTTCATGATCCATACTTAAATATTAATATCATATCATATCTAATATCATATCTAATATCATATCTAATATCATATCTAATATCATATCATATCTAATATCATATCATATCTAATATCATATCATATCATATCATATCATATCATATCATATCATCAACGATATTTCGATCATATATTATCAAAGCTTATATGATCATAGCTTATCATAGCTTATACCATGGATCACTGCAGCCCGGCATCTAGGAGGCGCTTGGAACTGGATGCCTTGGCCATGGTGGCCCTGAGCTTCGCGCAGGAACAAGGCTCCCAGTGGCACAGGGCGCTGGCGGCGCTGGCGGCGTCACCGGGGCCACCGGGGCCACCGGGGCCACCTGGCGTCCGGGGTGGGTGGATGATGACTGGATGTGGTGGTGTTTTGTTTTTTGTAACGTTGGTTAACCAAAAAAATGTCATGTCATAGTCATAGACCTTTGGAATTCCTTTGGAATCTTTTGGAATCGGATCTCGAAGTCTCTGCATATACCCTCTGGTTATGACTAACATAGCCATGGTATAGATGGCCCATAGAAATAGATGGTTTACCTAAAAATGGGTGGATCTTTCCATGGCGAACTGTTAGTCATAACCAGATGGGCATAACTCATGGATTATCAGTGGATAATGATTTTCAATGGATTTTATAACTATGGATGAATTATGGATGTAATCGGATGATGCATGATGATTACACACTATGGAGTATGGAGTATCATTGTTAAACATAAATATTATGATTACTCTGCATAATAATTATTATTATTCGTGATTTAATGGGACTTGAATGGGGATTGAATGGAATATACAACTGACTATAATCATTTTTTTTTAAAAAAATCTTTTCATATCATGGGGATAGTCTAGTCATCAATCCATTTTTATAGAAGCTAATGTATATGCTTTATTCCCAGGTAATGAATCCCATCCATGTGGGATGACTATATACTACATACCATCTAAATTGAGCATGGCACATGGCAGAGTGGGATTAATTATGACTAGGTTTTTCTATGCATAATGAACAGAGAACATGATTCATGTATCCATATCATGAGGTTTATGTCGATGGTCGACATAAGATACCTTCTGGTGAACTAACATAGCAATGGAAAATCACCATTCTTAATGGGAAAATCCACTATAAATAGCCATTTTCCATTGCTATGTTAGTTAGTTCACCAGAGGGTACCAATAATTAACCAGCCATTTGTGGATCCACTACTTAGAATAAGCCACGTTTGATACCATCTCCAAGCCTTACATCTCCAAGCCGAGCTTGAGCATTGAAAAATCCGCCTGAGCAATCTCCAAGTCTCCTTTTTGGGCGTAGAAACCCGAAAGTTTGGCACAGCCCAAGTTGAAATGCTGATTACCCTCTGGTAATTTAACATAGCTATGGAAAGATCCACCATTTTTCATGGGAAAATCCACTATAAATGGCCATTTTCACTAGCTATTTTGACATAACCAGAGGGTACATTTTTTGAATGCCAAAACCACGATGAAGCAACGAAGCATGTGATTTTCAGTTTTTTTTCCCATTTTTAGATCATTTTTTTGTCGGATCCGTCTCAAGACCCGAAATTTTTATGAGAAAAAGCCGGCTTTTATTGTAGGTGAAATTATCTCATGACATGAATGTCTTTCTAAATCTCACTACTTACTGTAATATACACAAATGGTATCCCCTATCTGATTAGCATATATATTGATATCCTGTGTGTCTATCTATATATAATCCTAGAATATGCAATGTTCAATATTGCTCCCATTTTAGTGAGGATTTCAAAAATACCATATTGTATCTGCTTCACGATGACTCTCTCTCATATATATATATGAGGTACGGTCAAAACTCTGGTATACTAGTTGCGTAAGGAGAGTTCTCTGGTGTCTGGAAAATGCACAAAACACTGTGTAACGATAGGCCCCCCCAAAAGCGATACCTATAATTGTGCATAATGTCCACATCTGAAGTTGTTTTGCACAAACTTACGTACATGCAAGCGGCTAAATTAGCGATACCCCTAGCAATACCTTAGCGATACCCATTTGTTCAAAAAGGAGCCCCAGACCAGACCACAAATAGATCCTTTCCTTTTTCCTTTCCTCTTCTTCTCCTCCTCCTTTCCTTTTCTTTTCTTCCCAATTCTTTTCCTTTTCTCTTCCCAATCCTTTTCCATTCCTGTTACCAATCCTTTTCCTTTCCTCTTCCTTTCCTTTTCCTTTCCTCTTCCTTTTCTTTTCTTCTTCCCAATCATTTTCCTTTCCCTTTCCCTTTTCCTTTTCCCTTTCCTTTTCCTTTCCTCTTCCGTTCCTCTTCCTTGCCTCTTTTTGCAAAACCATGCATAGCGATAGGGCCCCACCAAAAGAGGTACTATTTGCAAAGAGGTAGTATTTGTTGGGAACCTTTTGCAAAAACAAAGTAGGTACACTATTACTTTCAAAAAAGATGAGCACATACTCAGGTCAGAAAGCACAACATTTCTTGAAGGAAGTACATAATCTGTTTTAAATTACAGCGTTCCTTTCCATGCTTGAAACAAGGCAACTTCATTCATAAACTGCAATTTTCCTTCCAGACAAAGTATGACTTCGTTCAAGAAACAGTACCCCTACAAAGTATAGAGCATTCCTCTGAACATGCAGTGATTGTTTTTTTCTGAAGAAGTAAAGTCTTCCTTTCAAACTAATATTAAGCCTTCCTTCAATCATACAGTATTTCTTTCAAAACACCAGATTCTAACATTTTGGATATGTCTATGTTTTTGATGCAACAGAGTAAGAATAATATCTTGATCAGCGATTTTTTAAATTTACAATGAATAAATCTTCATTATAGATTCCATATACTTTAATATACCAGTGAATTGACCATAAACATATCTTTAATAAACCTTTACTAAACCTTTGGCATACCTTCAATATCTCCTGTTAAATACCATCTAAAAAAACTTTAACATACCATTCAATATACCTGTAGCATTCCATTGGATAACGATGAAGCTACTTTTAATATATAATTTAATTGGCCTTGAAAATACCTTTAGTATACTTTAAACATACCTTCAATGCATAAAACATAACAATACTATTTAATCTGCATTAGATATACCATTTTATTGGCCATGGATACCTTTAGGATACCTTTCTACCACTAGCATACCTTTTATTTTCCATTTAATTTGTCTTTAATAAACCTTTAATGTACCATCTATACCTAGCTTACCATTGAAGAACCGTTAATATTCCATTTGATATACCATTAATTAATACTATTAAAACTGTCGTTTACTACACCTTTAGTATACCTTGAAGGTATATACCTTTCATATACCATTCAATTGACCTTGAAAATACCACTGTCTCTCAAATACCTTTGACTTACCATTTAGTTTGCCTTTAATAAACCTTAAACATACAATCTATACTTAGTTTACCATGTTAGAATCATTAATATTCCATTTCATATACCATTACTATATGATTTAATATGGTTTTAGCATACCATTTTATATACCATGAATCTACCTCTAATATACCATTTGTTTGCTTTGAAAATACCTTTAATATACCTTTAGTATACCATCTAATCCACCTCTAATATACCATTTAATATACCTGTAGTATACCTGTAATATTCCAGTCTGGCCATGAATCTTATAATATATTAATATACATTGCGCCCGCTGTGCGGGTAAGACATTTCCACCCGCAGACGCAGACGAATTCCGAAGACGAATTACGAAGACGAATTCCCCGAAGACGAATTGCCCCCCGGAAGACGAATTCCCACCCGAAGACGGATTCCGAAGACGAATTCCCCGAAGACGAATTGCCCCCCGAAGACGAATTCCCCCCCGAAGACGAATTGCGAAGACGAATTCCCCGAAGACGAATTGCTCCCCGAGGACGAATTCCCCCCCGAAGACGAACTGCGAAGACGAATTCCCCGAAGACGAATTGCCCCCCGAAGACGAATTCCCCCCCCGAAGACGAATTCCGAAGACGAATTCCCCGAAGACGAATTCCCCCCCGAAGACGAATTCCCCCCCGAAGACGAATTGCGAAGACGAATTCCACGAAGACGAATTGCCCCCCGAAGACGAATTCCCCCCGAAGACGAATTGCGAAGACGAATTTCCCGAAGACGAATTCCCCCCGAAGACGAATTCCGAAGACGAACTCCCCGAAGACGAAATTGCCCCCCGAAGACGACTTTTTCACCAACGACTTGGGAGAAAAGCATGCATACACTCAAAGCCTACATGCATGTCATATATGCATCTAGTTTTTATTTTGGCAAACCGTAGGGACATTTTTTTGTCCATGGTGGGTTTTCACCGTATAACGGACGTCTTTGTTTGGTTCACTTGCATATTTTCCCTACAAGTCCTAGGGCCTGTCATGTTAGGAACTGGGCCCCCAGTTTCAGGAACTGGCGGAACCATGGTCACGGTTTCAAGGGTTGGTTTATGGACCCCAACACCGATCATGATGACTATAACGAAGGAGGTAACATGAGGTAACGAAATGAACGACTTGGAAAAAAGGAAGAGATAAACAAACCGCATGTAAGACTTGAAAAAAGGAAGGAAATAGCGACATGAACGCATTGACATGAAAGGAAGAGGTAAATGAACAGGATGGAAGCGTTGAAACGAGGGGGGGAAGTAGCGAACGGAAGGGAAGAGTTAAACCGATTTAAAGCGGAAGGAACGACGTATAGGGAACAGAAGGGAAGAGTTGAAACGAAAGAAGCAGCGAACGGGATTACAAAGAGTTGAAACGAAAGGAAGGAAGCAACGAATGGAAGGGAAGAGTTGCAACAAAAAGACGGACACAATGAAAAGGACGAGTTGACAGGAAAGGAAGAGCAGGAAGAACAGGACAGAAGATTTGAGCGAAACGACGGACTTCGCGAAATGAACGCCTTTAAATGAGAGAAAGAGGTGAACGAATAAGATGAAACAATGGGGAGGAAGTAACGAACGGAGCAGAAGTTAAAACGAAAGGAGCGACGTAGGGAACAGAAGGGAAGACAAAACGAAAGGGAAGAGTAACAAACGAAATGCTCTGGATGCTATAGCCTCTGGGCTTGCTCCTTGAGATTTTGAAAATTCTTTTGATGCTACGCTCTTGGCCTTCACCTGAGGCGTTTCAGCACGCCCTTGACGCTACGCTCTGGAGACAGTCGCCTCTTGAATGCTATGCTAATTTTCTCTTGGAAGTTCGAACAAGCCCTTGGTGCTACGCTCTTGGCTTAATCTTGGGTTTTCCGACACGCTTTTGCTGCTACGCTCTGAGCATCTCTTAGCTTTCTCCTGGGCCAGTCCGGCAAGCTCTTGATGCTACGCTCTTAGCTGTCTATTGGAAGTTCCAACACGCTCTTGGTGTGTTTTATCTTCCAACACTTTCTCTTTGCCTTGTCCTGGGACGTGCCAGCACGCTCTTGACGCTACGCCCTTGGCTTCTCTTGAAGCATGGCGCGCTATTTTTGCTTCTTTTTGTGACGCATTGAATTAAAACACGCTCTTGATGCTACGTTCTTGGCTCCGGCTCTGACACTCTCTTGATGCTACGCGCTGAACCTCGTCTTGGAACAGTCCAAGATGCTGTTGACGCTACGGTCCACCACAATCGTGATGATACGCTCTTATAATTTTTCTTGGAACTTCCAACGCGCTCTTGTTGGTGCTACGCTCCGCCTCTTGACGCTGCGGTCTGGAGAAAGTCACGCTCTTCCTGCTACGCTCTTAGCTTTGTTCTGGAACACGCCAGGACGCTCTAGTTGCTACGCTCTTTTGTTCTTCGCTTGATGCTACGCTCTGACCTCCAACACGTTCTGGATGCTAGACTCTTAGGTTTTTCTTGGTCCTTCAACACGCTCTACTGGTATTGCTTCGCTTAGGTTTCTCTTGGAACTTCCAACACGCTCTTGGTGCTACGCTCTTGACTTCCTCTTGAAACTGCCAGCGTTCTCTTGATGCTAGCCTCCTGTGCTATGCTTTTAGCCTTGGAACTTCCAGCAGGCTCTTGATGTTACGCACTCAACTCCCGCATGTTCTCAATGCTACACGCTCAATACTTTTTCATTGAACTTCCTGAGCTTTCTCCTGGAACACTCCGGCGCTCTCTTCGTTTGGGTTTGGTAATAAGATAAGAAGGTTCTACTACTTCAACTTAATGATTGATCCTTGCCTCAAGGATCTTCAACTGAGGTTGCAAAAGCACGCCACACGATCTTGATAATTACCTCTACGCTTTATATTTCGACATAACCTAGCCTTGGTGGTCAGGCCAAATCCCTATCTGCCCTCCGGCTCCTCTTCCTCTCTACATTCCTCTATTTATCTTCCCACATACAAAGAATACAGTACGCCTGCGCCCTTGCTCGTCATGCCTAGCCTGTGAACAGGCAATGTGTCGTCAGGCAATAATATACACACAATGCGTCGTCAGGAAGGTAATGCGTTGTCAGGGGGCAATGCGTCGTCAGGGAATGCGTCGTCACAATGCGTGGTCAGGGGGCAATGCGTCGTCAGGGAATGTGTCGTCAGAATGCGTCGTCAGGGGGTAATGCGTCGTCAGGGGGCAATGCGTCGTCAGGGAATGTGTCGTCAGAATGCGTCGTCAGGGGGTAATGCGGCGTCAGGGGGCAATGCGTCGTCAGGGAATGTGTCGTCACAATGCGTCGTCAGGGGGCAATGCGTCGTCAGGGAATGTGTCGTCACAATGCGTCGTCAGCGGGTAATGCGTCGTCAGGGGGCAATGCGTCGTCAGGGAATGTGTCGTCACAATGCGTCGTCAGGGGGTAATGCGTCGTCAGGGAATGTGTTGTCACAATGCGTCGTCAGGGGTAATGCGTCGTCAGGGGGCAATGCGTCGTCAGGGAATGTGTCGTCAGAATGCGTCGTCAGGGGGTAATGCGTCGTCGTCGTCAGGGGGCAATGCGTCGTCAGGGAATGTGTCGTCACAATGCGTCGTCAGGGGGTAATGCGTCGTCAGGGGGCAATGCGTCGTCAGGGAATGTGTCGTCACAATGCGTCGTCAGGGGGTAATGCGTCGTCAGGGGGCAATGCGTCGTCAGGGAATGTGTCGTCACAAAGCGTCGTCAGGGGGGCCGGGGGCATCGTCAAATGTGTCGTCACAATGCGTCGTCAGCGTCAGCGCGAAATGTCTTACCCAAGCTGCGGGTGCCCTGTTAATATATATATATCTTTAGTATATCTTTAAAATACCTTGTGTTTTCATTAAAAATGTCGCTTACTACACCTTTAATATTCCAAGTGCATGCAGTATCTGAGGGCATAGCGCTATGTTGGCCCGCTAGCATAGAGGGCCAGGTACTTAGAGCAATTTGTCACCAAAAGCGTTTGCAAACGTTTGCAAACGAGACTGCTCAGGATTCAAGATTCAAGATTCAAGATCCATGGGCTAGGATCAGGAGAGTTTCTGGATTCAAGAAGTTTTGTTTGAATCTGAATCTTGAATCTTGAATCAATCCTGATCCAGTCTAAGTACTTGGGCCCCTGGACTCGTTTGCAAACGTTTGCAAACGCTTCTGGTGACAAAATTGCTCTAAGTACCTGGGTTCAACAGTAAGACAGCAATTAATACACACATGTGTATATATATATATATATAAATATGGTACCCTCCACTGGAACTCAAACTGAACAGGGTAATTTGTCCCAAAAGCGTTGCGACCTCAAAAACGCCGGTTTTTTTGGGTACCATATATATATATATACATGTGCATATATATATATGTATATATATACATACATATATATATGTATAATATACATATATATATATACATATATATATATACATGTGCATATATATATACATATATATATATGTATAATATATATACATATATATATACATATATATACATATATATATATATAATATACATATATATATACATACATATATATATGTATAATATATACACATATATATATACATCTATATACATATATATAATATACATATATATACAAATATATATATATGTATAATATACACATATATATATATATACATATATACATATATATATATATAATATACATATATACACATATATATACATATATATATACACATGTGCATATATATATACATACATATATATATGTATAATATACATATATACATATATACATATATACATATATATACATATATATCATATACATATATATATACATAAATATATACACATATATACATATGTATAATATACACATATATATATACATATATATATACATATATATAATATACACATATATATATATACATACATATATATATATTTTTAATATACAGGTATATATATATACACATATATACATATATATAATATACATATATACATATATATAATATACATATATACATATATATACATGTGCATATATATATATATATACATACATATATATATGTATAATACACACATATATATACATATATATACAAATATATATTATACATATATATATATATATACATACATACATATAGAGATGTATAATATACACATATATATATATACATATATACATATATACATATATATACATATATATACATACATATATATATATATATGTATAATATACACATATATATATACATATATATATATACATATATATATAATAAACATATATATATATACATACATATGTATATATATGTATAATATACATATATATATACATATATATAATATACATATATATATACATATATATACATATATATACATATATACACATATATATAATATACATATATATACATATATATATATACATACACATATAATATACATATGTACATATATCATGTTCCTTTCAGCAAACCGTGGTAGATCTCCCCCTCCAGGCAGAGCTCCCATGCGCCGCCTGCCCTGGGAGTGGCCCTGGCAGCCTGCGAAAAGGCCGCGCTGTGGAGGGAGGCACTGCAGCTGGTGGACAGCTGGAGTAAACTCGGATGCTGGTGACATCGACTTGTAGATTTCATATATGGGTATGGATCAATACCTATGAAAATACCATTTTTAGTGGGATGAACATCCATTTTAACCCAGCTATTTTGATGTGAACAAAAAAGGGGTACTATTGGTTTTGACACACTGCCATATAAATGCATATGGGAGGGTAGCATTTAAGTATCAGATGATGATTATTGGAGGAGTACCCCCTAATTAATAAACCATGTTTTATTAATCCGGGGCTCACATTTTGTTGAATAGAAAAACAGATAGATGTATAAATATGATATATAGATGGAATAGATATATAGATGGACTAGATAGATAGATGGATGGATGGATGGATGGATAGATGGATGGATAGATAGACAGACAGACTGATAGATACACAGACACATACAGATAGATATTTGATGTTGTTCTAATGCATGATGTTGTTAGATAGTGTCATTAACTAAAGATGATTGTCATTATTTTTGTTCTTATATCCATGGTTAGTTGCACAGATGTATGGTATCTAGAACTGATGCAAAATCCATGGGGGGTTCTTCGTTTTTAACCTTGGAATTGTTGCAGGTTGATAATAACTACTTTGGATAATTCAAAAATTAGTTTGACACTGGATGGCAATGGTGGGTTTACTCCCTCGTTTTCTGGTGATGGTTTGCTCAAAAATGGTGATCCAGCCATAGAAAAGAAGATTTCATCCCATGAACTGAACAATTTTTTTTTTTCATGACTAAAGATCAACGATCAAACACGGGCCCGAAATAACAAGCCCAAAATAGGGAAGCTGCGCAGACGCCTCTCCACCACTGGACTTTTGGGAGCTGGGGCTTGTTTAGAAGACACCTTACAAGTGGTATTTTACCAAAAAATAGATAGACACGCGTCGAAATTGGGGAAATTGTGGAATATTCCAGCATTATATATATCTTTTATATAATATATAGTATATATCTTATATAAAATATATAGTATATTATGTTATATATTATATATATCTTATATATCTTATATATATAGTATATTATATTATATTATATTATATTTTATATTATATTATATACTATATTATATTATATTTTATATTATATTATATACTATATTATATTATATTATAATATATATATATATATCTTATATATCTTATATATTATATATATATTATATTATATATTATATATATAATATCATATATATATATATATTATATATTATATATATCATATATATTATATATATATATATTATATATTATATATATATACTATATATATTATATATGTTATATATATTATGTATATAATATATATTATATATTATATATATATATTATATTATCTATATTATATATATTATTTATATTAAATATTTTATATATATTATATATTATATTTGTTATATGTAAAATATATTTTATATAATATAATATAAGATAATATAATATATACAATATAACATATATAATATGTGTCTTATAAAATGTGTATATATATAAAATGATATATATATATAATGATATATCTATGATATATTATATGTATTATATATTATAATATATATATATACACTATAGTATAAATGGCAATGGGGTAGAATGGGGATCAATCCATGCCCAATCCTCTGCGGCATCATGATCAACGCTGGCATAGGGAGTATGACTCAGTATGACAGTATGATTCAGAATTGGAGTAGCAATATGTGGTAACTGGATGTAACTGGTACATGTTTCAGGCCGATTTTGAGCAGATTTTCGCCATGTTCGTTTTGGGTTCCAAGGATTGAATGGGATGATGGTCAACAGCCTTCTCAGCACCTTCTCCAAAACCTTAAAGTGGAAGCTCTCCCTGCTGCTGAGTGGCGCTTGGGATGACCCACTCGATGCAGTGGGCTTGGCCGCCCTCTTCTCTGCATGTGAAGAAGGACGAGGTGACCGTTTTAAGGGTCGCTTTTGGTCATTATCTGGAGATGGATGTTGGTTCGTAGCCACGGATGTGTCTGAAATGTTGGTGATATGTGATATATGGTCTGGTGTTTTCTCCTGTACCCCCAAATGGCAATTTAAGTACTTAGGAAAATGATGGTGATGTTTTTTTGGTAACATATTTTCAGACAAACCCGTGTATGTATTGATTGCAGTCAACAGTATCAACAAGAATGGTGATCGTGTAACTCTATCGTGGATGGCAAACCCAGCTGGCGAATATTTTGGGGATAGGTCCTAGGTTGAAACCATCAAACACGAAACCAAGCGATTTTGCCGGGTACAGATTTCAATCTTCACAACATGGTGCAGAGTAGAGGCGAGCAAAATGATGTGAGGCATGTTTTTTGAGAACGCCGCTGTTGACCATGACCATGGTGGTTTTAATTCACAACTGTGGATGATGTGCCATTCGAAAGAACCCTTTTGCTCTCGTGTGTTACCCTTTGGTAATGAAACGTAGCGGAAAGTTGCTAATTTGTAGATGATTTACCGATTATTTCTATGAATTTTGATGACAAACTGTTAGAGGGTATTGATACTTTTTGGTGCTGTGCAGTCATAGCCTAGCCAGTTTGCTGCAGGCGCTACCCCCTTGTCACCGAGCATGTTCAATGGAGATTTCAGGAGGCCGACGTTGATGGTTACCCTCTGGAAATTTAAGATAGCTATTGAAAATCACCATGCTATTAATGGGTAAAGCTATTTCTATGGCCATTTCCAATAGTTATGTTAGTTTGCCAGAGGGTGTTTATACGTGTATATATATATATACACTGTATATGTACAGTAGATATGATATATTTGTATGAATCATTAAAATCAAGAACATGAATTATAGATTACACAAAAATGAATCAACATATGTTATGATCATAATCATAATCATTATTATAATCTAAATCATGTAGATTATATACATATTATATATCACAAATGAATCAATATTATCCCAATCATTATTATCATTATTGTTGGATCATTATTGTTGGATCATAATCATTATTATCATATCCCAACATCCCAGGGATGATTCAGGCCGACGTTGCCCAGAGGCGCACGGTTCCCTCAGTCCGCTTCTGGGGAACTGAAGTGACAAAGCTGGAAGAACTGCAGAGCAGGTGGGGACAAAAACATAGGAAAAAATGGGAATATTATAGTAAGTGATAGTAAATGATAGTAAATGATAGTAAATGACAGTAAATGATAGTAAATGATAGTAAATGATAGTAAATGATAGTAAATGATAGTAAATGATAGTAAATGACAGTAAATGATACTAAATGATAGTAAATGATAGTAAATGATTGTAAATGATAGTAAATGAGAGTAAATGATAGTAAATGACAGTAAATGATAGTAAATGAGAGTAAATGAGAGTAAATGATAGTAAATGATAGTAAATGATAGTAAATGATAGTAAATGATAGTAAATGAGAGTAAATGAGAGTAAATGAGAGTAAATGATAGTAAATGATAGTAAATGATAGTAAATGATAGTAAATGACAGTAAATGATAGTAAATGATAGTAAATGATAGTAAATGATAGTAAATGATAGTAAATGATAGTAAATGATAGTCACTGCCCGTCCTTCTCTTCCCTGCTCGTCCCTCTCGTCCCTGCTCGTCCCTGCTCGTCCCTGCTCGTCCCTGCTCGTCCATGCTCGTCCCTGCTCGTCCCTGCTCGTCCTGCCCGTACCTGCCTCCTCCCTCTCGTACCCTGCTCGTCCCTGCTCGTCCCTGCTCGTCCCTGCTCGTACCTGCCGTCCCTGCTAGTCCCTGCTCGTCCCTGCTCGTCCCTTCCCGTCCCGCTCGTCCCTGTTCTCTCTCCCTGGGCTCGTCTTGCTTTGCTCCTGGCTCCCTCTCGTCCCGGCTGTCCCCTGGATTATTCCCCACCTGCCAGGTGAGGCTTGTTAGATTTTATCAGAGCTGTTCTTCTCCTCCTCGCTAGCTGTCCTCCACTGCCTCCTCCTCCTCCGCCTTCTCCTCGTCCTCCTCCTCCTTCTCCTCCTCCTCCGCCTCCTCCTCCAGTTTCTCCTCCACCACCTCTGCCTCCACTTCCATGTCCACTTCCGCCTTGCCAACTCTTCGCCAAGCTCTTTGCCAACTTCCCAGCTCAGTGTGCACCGCTGGACCTCAACCTGCGAGCTGCCCAGCTCAGTGTGCACTGTTGGACCTCAACCTGGGAGCTGCCCAGCTCACTGTGCACCGCTGGACCTCAACCTGGGAGGTGCCCAGCTCAGTGTGCACCGCTCGACCTCAACCGGGGACCTGCCCAGCTCAGTGTGCACCGCTGGACCTCAACCGGTGGACCTCAACCGGGGACCTGCCCAGCTCAGTGTGCACCGCTGGACCTCAACCTGGGACCTGCCCAGCTCAGTGTGCACGCTGGACCTCAACGGCCAGATAGAATGCCAGAAGATATGCCAGATGGAATGTCAGATAGAATGCCAGAAGATATGCCAGATAGAATGCCAGAAGATATGCCAGGTAGAATTCCATGTAGAATGCCAGAAGGTATGCCAGATAAAATGTCAGATAGAATGCCAGAAGATATGCCAGATAAAGTGCCAGAATGTTTGCCAGATAGAATGCCAGAAGATTTGCCAGATAATATGCCAGATAGAATGCCGGAAGATATTCCAGAACATATGCCAGAAGATTTGCCAGGTAGAATGCCAGAAGATATGCCAGATAGAATGCCAGATAGAATGCCAGAAAGTATGCCAGATAAAGTGCCAGAATGTTTGCCAGATAGAATGCCAGAGATTTGCCAAATAATATGCCAGAAGATATGCCAGATAGAATGCCAGAAGATATGCCAGAAGATATGCCAGGTAGAATGCCAGAAGGTATGCCAGATAGAATGCCAGAAGGTATGCCAGATAGAATGCCAGATAAAATGTCAGATAGAATGCCAGAAGATTTGCCAGTAACAAAATGTATAAATGTCATGGTGGGGATCACACGAAGTAAAGTAATTATATATAATTATATATTATAGTAAATAATTGCAAATGGATTCATAATGGTTTGATATGGGGTTTCCATAAATGAGGGTACCCCAAAATAGATGGTTTATAATGGACAATTTTATTAAAGTGGATGATTTTGGGGTACCCCTATTTTAGGAAACCTCCATATAGGATAATACATAGTGGGAAAAATGATGGATAATTATGGAAGAACTATAGTAAACTATGGGACGATATGGGACTATCCCGTTAAAAAAATCCCCATCAAATTGGCCCATGAATCTGGTAAACCCAATCAGATCCATCCCCAAGTTCGAGCTTGATGAAATCGGGTATACGGTATATCCTCTAGAGATGGGATGATGTTTTTTCCGACTCCCAGTGGGTTTTCATGGGATGGTTTACATGGGTAAACTAGCACATGATCATGGGATCCCTTTTTTAAGTCACAATTCACAATATCATGTTTGGGTGTCTCAAAAAGGGAAAAAACCTTGTTTGTTTGACCCTAATTTCAGCTGCAGAGCCATGAAACATATGCATGTTCATGGATGAATTTGTTGGGGGTTATACTAACTGGGTTTCATTGGTTATATCGGATATATCTTGAGAATCCATGGCCGGAGTTCTTATTTACCAACCAGTATCATGGGATGCGATACGTATTACTTTTCACGGCTCCAACACACTAAGTATGTCCTTCAGCTAATTCGGCCTGTACCATGAACCTAGGTATAAACTGAGTCATTGGGCTTTGTTGTGATATGGTTTTGCTATCATCATCCCATCCCCCATATTAAAAACCCAACAGAAACCGTGGTTTTTTGTAGGGGATTGGAACTTATATGTGAGATAGTTTGAGATTACACAATTGGGGAGGTGTAACGAAAAAATACAGGAGGATGGGATTACAGACTGGTCTTCAAAGATCCTAATGATGAAATCCGCAGCGGCTTTGCAATGCAAAAACATAAGTCATTTTCAGTGTCAACCATATATTAACACGAATTGAAAAGTAGTCGTTTCAACAATTTTGATGATGTTTCATGATGTTTCACCAAAAAGTAGCCGCCGTCCAAAAAGTATACGATTTTGCTAGTGGATTTTTGCAAAGTGTACTAACTACTTTCAAATTGCGCTCGAGTTGTGCAAAATTGCGCTCGAGTTGCGTTATGATTTTCTGTCCGTTTTTGCTTGGTGCCAGACCCGGTCGTTAGAGGGATGGGGGGGGGGTTGTTGTTAATTGGAGGGGGGGTGTTGTTAGTCCAGGCGGGAGGGTTGTTGTCTAATTGGGGGGGTTTGTTGTTAATTGGGGGGGGGCGGGGGGGTTGTTGTTGATTTGGGGGTTGTCTTAATTGGGGCGGGGTGTATCTGGGGTGGTTGTTAATTGGGTGGGGGTTGTTCTTAATTGGGGGGTTGGTTTAACTAGGGCTAGTGGGAGGGGTTGTTCTTAATTTGGGGGGCGGGGAGGTTGCTGTTAATTCGGGGGGGTTCTTATTGGGCAGGGGTGTTCTTAATTGGAGGGGGTGTGTTGTGCGGCTGATCTGTCACAGCCTCTCTGTGTAAAAGTTTCTGTGTGTAGGGGGTATTCTTTAAAGGAGGGGGGACGGGTCTTGTTGACAGGGGATGACAGGGGCTTGGTTGCTTTGAAGTTTTTGCTACCTCTCAATTTGGGAAACATGAGAGGTGTTACATCGCTTGGTTCGTATCTTGCCAACAAACAACACGAGCACATGGAGCCAGGAAACAACCAAGATTGAAGCAGGTTGAAACACCATGAATGTTGTTTAAACTGCTGCTTGCACTGGAATTTACCAAGTGTCCTAAATTGCCTTTGCAATGTGCAGGGTTGTTTTTGCGTTGGGTCAGGCTAAATTCTGTGTCTTTGCTAGTACTATCAGGATTTTGGCACATTTCCCCGGGGAATTGGCTAGTTTCACTGTTTTCTGCTCTATGTTATTCAATCGCAGGAAAGAATATGTGAAACTAGCTCCTGGCTTTGTGGCTTCTGAACGCACCTGTTCTTATCAATTTTCCTGGCTGCAAACGGTTAAAAAAAACATTCACATAGGCATCTTCGATTTCTGGCTTGAATGTGATTTTCCCAAATGTGGAACCGCAGCCGCGAGCAGACAAGACCAGCCGCCAAAACCGCTCTCTCTCTGCCTGAACAATGCCCGGCCCATCCCAGATGGAGTGCCTGCGCTTGAAGGTGGTCTGTGGTACGGTGGCTGAAGTCCGCCAAAGCCTTCGGAACAAAGGGTTCAGCGCTGCGCGAATCTCGCAGTTGCTGAGTGAGTGCAGCCAGAACCCGCCACGGAGCGCAGCTCAGCGCCAACGGCAGACGGCCGAGGACCAAAAAAAAAGCAATCTGTCTGCCTCGAAAGAAATATTTAAATAGCACGAATGATGCACCATCAACTATATATATATATATCCTGATTCTATCATAGATTGCTTGAGCAGGTAGGTTGATCACCGATGAACCGATACATTTCCTCGAACAACGACTTGAGAACAGAATTTATCAGGTCTAAAAATAACAACATCCAATATTCATAAATAGACATGATAACGATCGGCCACTCAGGATTGAGACGTCGCTTAGTTCAGAAAGATCAATGGATGCAATAGAATGGAAAACATCCGAAAAAAAAAGAAAAAGGTTACGCACCTACAGTAATTAGATATACTGTTTATGTAAATATCAACACACACACATATATATATAGTATATATATATATAGTATATATATATATATTTATTTATTTATTTATATTTATGTGTGTGTATGTTTCTACGATCTAGCTATGCCTATCTGTATAATTCTGGACCCCTTAAATTGGACCCGCCCTGATCTGATTCACATCGAAGGAGATCGTGGATGGCACCAACTACGAACTCCTGAGGGTGCGGCGGTTGAAGCGGAAAGTCCGCAGAGCCGCCCGCAGGCACCTGCCTTATTAAACACCTTTCTTTCACTGAAATTTCACACGCGCTCTCAGGCGCCTAGGCCTATTTTTTGGAAACCCCAGGGATTTGATGTCAGTCGTTTTCTGTTTCTATTCGCCCTCCAGGTTTGGAAGCTGAAACGATTTGACTTCACCTGTTTTTCTTCCAAGGATTCACCGTGAACATTTTTTGAAAGGATGAATCGAATCAGGGAGCCAGGGGGGTTTGTTCTTCAGAGGGGAGGTGCCTAAGTTTGCAGACGGTTTTCACCCATGAAACTTTCTTTTGGCCTTGATGTGAGACTATACTTGGGCATTTACGACATGGGAAAATACGATGGCCAAGCCTGTCCGGCCATCGTATTTTCCCACCTTGTTTTCGGCCCCAGCCATCGCGGTGGCATTTGAAGGCTATCTAAAGCACAGGAAAAGGCGAAAGAAAGTCCTCAAACAATGTTGTCGAAGAACGGGGGGCGGGGGGGTTGTTGTCAATTGGGAGGGGGGAGGGTTGTTAATGGGGATTGGTTGTTGTAATGGGGGTGGGGGGGTCGTTGTTAATCCGGGGGGGGGTTGTTGTCAATTGTGGCGGGGTGTTGTTTAATTGGGGAGGGGTTGTTTTGGTTCAATTGGGGGGGGGGGGGGGTTGTGGTTCAATTGGGGCAGGTGGGTGGGTGGCAGAAAAAGTTCCCATACATTGATTTCGAACAGACAATGCGCCTGTAGACACATTTACTAGCACATCAAACCGTTTTTTCATACGCGTTTTCATGAAAACTAGCACGAAACCGTCAGGGGGGTACCTTTTTCTAGTACGAATGGACGTTTGGGCATAAATCATGTTTAGTCATGATTAATCTACTGCCATGACCTGAAAACAACAAAAAACTGACGAAAGGGATCCTGGATTCGCCCAAAGATGCTGAAACAGAGGTGTTTCTTTACACGAAATGTTTGCAGATTGAATCCCTGAAAAGCATTCGCTTGGTTTTTTCTGGCAATCGTCGACTTAGTCATCGAAGATTCGAATTGTAAATGTTGAAAATGGGAAAACATGGAAAACCCAGCCTGTTGCAAAGAGCATTGACCCTACCATTTTGCAATGTCCATGGCTAGGGTTCAGCCTGTTGCCTCGACGGCCTCAGCTTGCAGGGGCCACCTTCCAGCTCAGGCAGCATTAGCGCGGCTGCCTGGTAGGAGTTGACTAGTAGCCATTGCTGGTGATGTTTGGGGTTGGTTTATAATTATCATTATCATTATTCCCTAATCATATTCCAAGCATCATTTTTGTATATTTTATGCTCACGATTATTGGTATCTATTATTCTATTATTATTATTATTATTAGATTGAACGCGCAATGGCGGAAATTTTCACATCAGCCACTCAGCCACTCAGCCACTCTGGCAGAGTGGCTGACGCAGCCACTCATCCACTCAGCCACTCTGAGTGACTGAGTGGCTGAGTGGCTGCTCCAGCCACTCTGGCAGAGTGACTGAGTGGCTGAGTGGCTGCTCCAGCCACTCTAGCAGAGTGACTGAGTGGCTGAGTGGCTGGGAGCAGCCACTCTGGCAGAGTGGCTGAGTGGCTGCTCCAGCCACTCTGGCAGAGTGACTGAGTGGCTGAGTGGCTGCGTCAGCCACTCTGGCAGAGTGGCTGAGTGGCTGAGTGGCTGGCTGCTCCAGCCACTCTGGCGGAGTGGCTGAGTGGCTGCTCCAGCCACTCTGGCAGAGTGGCTGAGTGGCTGCGTCAGCCACTCTGGCAGAGTGGCTGAGTGGCTGCTCCAGCCACTCTGGCAGAGTGGCTGAGTGGCTGCATCAGCCACTCTGGCACAGCGGCTGAGTGGCTGAGTGGCTGCGGCAGAGTCATCAATCAATGAAATGGACGGATAAAGTTTTAAACATTTCAGTATCCAAGCAGGAGTATATATATATGACATTGACAGCAACTTGATTTACAAACATAACCGTGTAAACTTCAACTGCCATAGCTACATAACTTCAACGGATTGATTAAGAACAGCCACATATACACTTTGAACCATAACCTGAAATCACTTAAAAAGAAAGATAGTGGTGATGAACTCTACAAGTTCAGGATTGGAAACGACTATTACAACGACTATTTGGTGAGCAAAGAATGGCTATGGTGTGCTGTAACCAGAGCAACAGATTTCAATACTGTATATTTTTTCAATAATGATAAAGCCGACGAAGATATGTTTAAGAATTTGGTAGTTAACTATTTTAAAAACAAGGTTGACGGTCACTAAGGACAAGACAGAAAAGGAGGAAGATAAATAGTTGATGAATACATTGATGAACATGTTTGAAGGTGTTCAAGGGTTGTTGTGCAAAGTGTGGAGTTAACTTTACTCTTGATACCAGAGGTGGCAAATTACAAGTAACTTTACTGTGCAGAGAGGTGATAATGGACTGTGCCATTCTATTGACAACAGCGAGGCTTATTGTTGCCACTGCACTTCTTCTTCACATTAGTTTTTTTTCAAAATGACAAATTTAATAAAATATTGGTATGAGTAAGCAAAAAATCATAGGAAACCTATATTTTTATAAAGCAGGGTTTGGTTCCAAAAACACTACTTTGAAGGATGCAAGAGAGAAAGACAAATCTATTACTATGAAAGATGTTGAAGATTTTTTCAAAAAGAGTGTAGAGATAAAAATGAACCCGAGAGGCTATAACAGCTTTGTTGTTCCACATAACAATCATAGATACCAAGTTGATATATTCTTTATTTCCAAAAAAGATTTAAAGGTAAAACAAAGATACAGAGCTGGATTAGTCTGTATTGATTGTTTGAGTAAGTATGCTGTCGTAGTCCCAGTAAGAAGGAAAGAGACAGGCAGTGTTATTCAAGGAACAAAGAAAGCGATAGAGAAGATGGCAAAGAAACCTGAAATCATATACACCGACGACGAGAAAGCTATAGCAAGTGGTGAATTCCAAGCATATGTAGAAAGCGAAGGCCGAATTGTATAGGACAAGAGGCCACCCTGCTTTTGCCGAGCGTTTTATAAAACTTTTAAAGACAAATTATGCAAAAGAGTTGAGAACGATGAACAGAATAAAAAAACGAATATACAATGGATAGACTACATAGATGAAATTGTGTTAACTGGTCAAACACCGTATAAAGCCAGAGATACAGACAATGAATTCAAGTCAAGATTAAACATTGCAATGAAAGCAAAGAAACAGAGGCTCTATCCTGAACTATCTGTGGGAGACAAAGTAAAAATCAAAAGGAAGAATGCAACAACGGAGAAGGAGAGAACCTCACACTTTTTGAAAGGTGAGTATACCGCAGAGTCCATTGATGAAAAATTGAATCAAACATATTATACATTAGAAGGATACAATAGACCACTATTGAGGCATGAATTGCTGAACAGAAAAATTAGCATTTATAGGAAATCTACTTAATTATATCTATATCTATATATATATATATTAGCGAAATGTCATTCAGTGATACAAGTAGTGAACGTGAAATCAACCAAGAAGAATACATCAAACAAAAATATTAAGCTGTAAATGTAGTGAATATGCAACAATAAGATGAATTATCAAAAATAATTTTACTGATGGTATTGGTAATAAAATTTGTGAATATGTAGCCTGTAAAAGTTGCTCAAATATAATGAGTCATTTTGATTCAATTGAAATTGATATTAGCCCTTGTGACGATGATGATATTGATGAGCAAATTCAAATATACGTTTATAATACTTTAGTGAATGAATTTCCAGATGATAAAATGAATTTAATATTAAATGAAAAAGAAATGAGACATTATCAAGATTATGGACAAGGATTGAAAAAAATGTTTTAACAATTCATATCCTACTGTTGCATTCTGCATGTTAGAAATGAATATTAATGATGCTGATTGTATGGATGATAACTTTAATCATTTTTATGATATAACGAAATACACTTGAAATTAAATGGATAATACCTTATAATAGTATGGAGAGTAGAAAGTGCACAAAGTGTAAGAAAAACAAACATGGTGACGAGTTCAATGGAATGAATAGAATGTGTATTGAATGCTTGGACAAACAAAAGGAGAGTAACAAAGTATATAATCAAAAGGAAGTATTCTGCGACATTTGCCAACGGCATGTGAAACAATGCAGGTTGTCCAAACATCTTAAAACCGACAGGCATTCCAACAAGGAAAAACTCAAAAAGGAAGAAGAGAAAAAACAAACATATATGGAGGAATACTTAAAAGATGATGAAACCAGAATTGCAAAATTGAAACAAATCTGGAAAACCATTACACCAAAAAGCTTTAAACGACTTTAACCCCATAATTTTTCATATCATAATATATGAACATTTATGATACGAACACAGGAATGTTAGACGTGGATTATTTAGATTTATGATATTATGTTATAATGATATATTATGATGAAACATTATGATGAAATTTTATGATATGAATTTATGTGATGATGGATGATGATGAAATGATGTGGGATGATGATGTATGAAATTATGTGGTTTTATTTTGTGTTGATACTGTGATGAAATGATATGAACTGTTGTGAAAATGAACAGTGGTAAACGATGAAATGATGGAGGTGGATGATATGACCTTAGGTGTGTTTGTGTCTAGCTATATATTTATATATAATTTCTTTAATAACATACATATATGAAAACATTGGAACTAAAACCAAATGTCTCATTCCTTTCGCCATGATGATTCGCAGAGACCCACAGAGCGAACCCCTTTAACACAAATGACTAATGACTTCTTTCTCACAACCCTTTAACACAGATGCTTGCCTGTTTGCCTAAGATTCCATTCAACCCATAAGAATATATGCCCCAGTGCCTGGATGAAGCCCTAAATTAGCATAAAACCTCACTTGAGATACTACCAAGACCTAAGAAAAATTAGGTCTGGGTAATATTGCTTACACTCCAATGGCGCTCCAGCCACTCAGCCACTCAGTCACTCAGAGTGGCTAGACCAGCCACTCAGCCACTCTGCCGCAGCCGCTCTGGTAAGAGTGGCTGAGTGGCTGAGTGGATGCGGCAGAGTGGCTGGAGCAGCCACTCAGCCACTCAGGCCCCCTCTGATGAGAGTGGTGAGTGGCGCTCCAGCCACTCAGCCACTCAGTCACTCAGAGTGGCTAGACCAGCCACTCAGCCACTCTGCCGCAGCCGCTCTGGTAAGAGTGGCTGGACCAGCCACTCAGCCACTCAGTCACTCAGAGTGGCTGAGTGGCTGAGTGGCTGCGTCAGCCGCTCTGCCAGAGTGGCTGAGTGGCTGAGTGGCTGGTCCAGCCGCTCTGCCAGAGTGGCTGAGTGGCTGAGTGGCTGGTCCCAGCCTCTCTGGCAGAGTGGCTGAGTGGCTGAGTGGCTGCTTCGATTTCGCGAGCCGTGTTGCACATCCACTCATATATTTAATACTTAGTATGACTATGATTATTGTTATTATGCTTGTTGTCATTATGATTGTTGGGTTTACTAGAGTAATTCAACAGTTGATGAGCGATGGTCCTATGAAATCGCAGCCATGTTCTTTGGGGTTCCAGGTGTTCCAGGATCTTAATGGTGTTTAATCGGGTTTATAATGAGATACCTGGGACAACAAACCAACTTGATAATTTGGGTCTGTCTGAAAATGGGATACCCCAAAAATTCATAAAATTTGATGGTTTATTATGTTCATGTCCCGAGTTTTTGATGGCCATTGGCAGTACCATTTTCAGCCACAGCCTGCCACTCCACGCCAAGGCCTTTCGTCGAGGTGTAGTGTCTCCACTGGTGGACAGACTGACAAGGTGCCATGGGAAATTGGGGTGATTTGGGGTGCCCCCCCCATTGAAGAAACCTCCCAAAAAACCTTGCCATATTTTGGGAAAATCATCGGTTTGTTGCTTTGAAATCTTTGAAAGTGGCCAACTTTGATTTCCGGAAACTGGACTCCCACAGAAACCGATTCGCACACTTGTATTCGTTTGAAGATCGGACTTTTGAAGCCTAGTGTCAGGACTTGTGGTGGCCATGTGCAAAGATAATGACTTCCTGATCTCTCGTGGTGTTTTGACATTCAGATATGGGTTTGTCTGCAAACAGGGTACCCGTAAATCATCGTATCTACTGCTTGATCGTGATTTTCACCAGTAGATTGGCCACAAATTGGTGGTAAATCTTCCAATTTTCAGAGACACACTCATGTAATCCCGTATATATATAATATTGTTTAATATGTTTGCGAAACAATCATGAATATGCCATGAATATCCATTGATGTATCCGATTGATATCCCACCACGAATATCCCACCAATGTCCTCACATTCTGAGATACTATTCTCAATTCAGAATACACCATATTCTTGCTATAAATGCCCGAAGATATTCTGCTCAAATCCCGAATCCCCAACAAATCCCGCAAAAAGGCTGATATTGTTTAGATCCACTTGAATAGTTGAGATACTATGCCTTGGGCAAAGCTAGGGTAAGTTGCCCGTATCGGGGGATGGTCATCACTCGATTCACTCATGTAGGATTTATATGGATTTATAATACCCTTTGTAAGCCATCATTTCCATATATAATGCTGGGATGGATGAATCATACCCCATATACTATGTTTTGACCGTAGCACATGTATACATGTATGTATATATATATACATATTCCTATGCCCCTATGTCAAGATATGTCAAAATATGTCGAATATTACGTCGAATATCATTATTTTTGCTGGTTAATGCAGATATTCTGTTGAAATGATCCACTTCATGACCGCAGTGTGAACCCCGGCAGTTATGAATTTAGTTTACAAACCGACCAAACTGTAGATCTATACAGTCTAATGTTAACCCAAGATTAATAAACCCCAAACGGCTGTTTAATTGGAAGAGTACCATTCGGTGGCCATTTATCACTATTTGAGGGAACCACCACCATAGATCCAGTCGTTGTCCCACCAAGCTACCCGTTGTTTGGGTTGCTGCAGGTCGCAGAAGGGCGTTGCAGAGCCGATTGAGGCCGCTCTTGGACGGTGCACAAAACGCTAGTAACCATGGGCAGAGGAGCAACGACCAAATTCAATATACATATATAATAATATAATAATAATATATATATATATATATGTATATCCATGGGATATATCTCTATGTTGATATATATATATCATGACTCTATATTATACATGTATACAGTATATATTATGTATACTGTATAATTTATATGTATATATGTATATGGTGATCTAGACCTAAGTATCTCACACGGTCGAGTGACTCATTTATGAGTCACCCACGATCTTTCTTGACATTAGGGAGTCCTAACTGAGCCGATGGCGCTAGAACCCATCTCCATAGCCATATACCACTAGGAAAAAAACAAGGTCCCTCCAAATTCTACACAATTCCTGGTTGCTGGTTTCGACGAAGTTTCAGTTTCAGCCCTAGTTGGGACGATCCAACCGATGAGTTTGGCATTTCTCCAGCACTTGCCACTACTTCACCAGACACTTTCCTGGTGATTTTCCAGACCAGTTTTCTTGTTTGCCCAGTAAATCAGCAACCCCAAAAAGCCAGAAAAGTGAAAACCCTGAGATGGTAATTAGTAAATGTAACATTTTAAGTTTTTGGTATGCATTACTATATGTACAGATATAATTACATATATAATTATATATACATGTAATCATAATCATCATCATCATCATCATCACCATCATCATCACCATCATCATGTCATTTTTGTTGCCTAATCACCATTGTTGGATCCCCCAGTTATTCCTGTGTGGAAACTCGACGTCGCCAGGAAGTTCTGGACCTGGGCTTGAGCTTCACGCGGGAGGCGCTCAACGAGTTCGGTGCTGGACGAGGCATCGGGCTACCTGTTTCAGGGGGCAATTATTTCTGGTCCAAACATGGGGGATATAGCCAATGTATCAATGGATTGGTTTAAGGGAAAATCTACAGGAAACCATCGATTTTCCCATTAAATATGGGGTTTTCCTGTAAATGTTCCCTTAAACCAATCCATTGAATGTAATCAAATTTTGGTGAACATAGATTTTCTCGAGATTTTAGGCGTATGTATGTCATACTTGGAGAAAATCACATTGGGATGGGTGAAAACCTATGAGTTCTCTAGTATAAATTGGGGGGTGATGATCCATTTCTGCCATGCCATGTCAGCATCAGAAAATGGGAGGCTTGAACCAGCAAATGACTGGCATTTGACGATCTATGCAGTGGGCTTTATCCAGCAATGCATGGCGCCATTAAACCCAACTAGCAAGAACTGGGGAATTGAATTGGATCAACAAAAAGATGGGATTTCATCAAGAGCAGATCAATTTCAGCGCTTGTCACTCGACAGATCAGCCAGCATAATTCCTTAATTTTCTTGGTTAGTTACTGCATTTCTTTGAAGTCCAGACTTTTTGTGGATATAGATCCATGATAACTTTGGACGGCATTGTTTGAAACTCTGATTAGCGATAGAGGAATGGAAATGGAGAAAGCAACGCTAAGTCTAGGGTTGGTTGATGATTGGGATGATTAGCCTGTCCTTATTTTCTAGTTGGGGATAGTTGGGGGATTCACAATGAAACTTAACATCCCAAGCTGGGATTTAGTCTATTCTACGGGAATCCCACAAAATATGAATGCCCGCGCTTACTGAGTCAATCCCCAGATTAAATGATGACTTGCGGTAACTTTTTGTTGTTTTTGCCGTAATCATATATAATCATATATAAGCATATATATATACAGTAATCACATATTTTTTTCCCCACAACCAACTGGATGATTTTGTTGGCCCACCGGGACTTGGTGTGGCTCCGAGGATCGCTCCTTGCTTCCTCAGACGCCGAGCATTGGAGCGGCCCTGTGCGCCTGCGGAGCTATCAGCCACTACCGACGAGGCTGCGCTAGCTGGGTACGCCCAGAATGGATGTATATGTTAAAATATAATATAACTATGGTAATTCGAGACATCAGTTGGAATAGAGCCTAGCAAGGTGCCCTTATAAAATATGGCGATATGACCACGTTGCCATGGGTACTCTTTGCTCCACGTTGCAAAGTCTCCAGGTCTGAGGGTTTCACAAAAATCCACGTTGCCAGAGGCCTCTTCGGCTGTCACTGCCTGTGGAGGCACATGTCTTGCTCTCACGAGAAGATATGAAGCTCGCCAGCCTTTAAAGCTGCAGGACAGTTGGAAGTGCGATGAATTTTATCCGAAGGAATTTCCCAGAGTCCATCTCAACTAGCCATGGACATTCCTTTGTTTGGATTTACCCTCTGGTAAACTAACATAACTATGGAAAATCACCATTTTCAATGGGTAAATCCACTATAATTGGCCATTTTCAATAGCTATGTTAAATTACCAGAGAGTATTTCATTTCATCTCCAGCTTTTCTCCTTTTGGGTCATCCACTTCTTGGATTCAAGTGGGGATGCCCGATGCCAATGAGCAGTGGCTGCTAAAGCCCGGTGGTTTCTAAGGGGTTACAGTAGACTATCCAAATCTATGCAATATATTGCTGATGATCACAATCCCTTATTGATATGGGTGGTTATATTTATAATATGTATATATATATATATTTATAATATGTATATATATATATTTATAATATGTATATATATATTTATAATATGTATATATATATTTATAATATGTATATATATAGTATATATATACACCTCTCATCATATCCTTATTGAATCCCATTGTATCTCATTAACCCACCAACCAGTACGGGAGTAGTGTGTGTTTGGGTTTTGCAGCCACTGCTCCAATGAGGTATGGACGGAGATTTCTGCTGCAAGATGTAATTCGCCTGCCTTGAGGGCCGGGATCAAAGTGAGACGCAGCGCAGCTTGCAGGGCCGAGATCAAACTTGTTGTGACCCAAAGATGCTTCGATTTGGCCAAGAGAGTGGTGGAAACCAGCCTATGATTTACCTTGTATAATTATAAATATATATAAATATGATGTATGATATGTGTATATATATATGGCCATTAGCCCCCCAAATTGAACCACATTGTAGACATTTGTAGACGCTAGAACACTAGTTGGTGATGTGAATTGGATGGCCCGGGTACCTTTAGACGCTTTGGACGAACTGACCCGGCATTGGTCCAGGAAGGCAAGGGATGGCTTGAATATGACCTCACAGCAAAACATAGGCAGCGTGTGATATTTTCAGGGCAAATCCATGGCAGCCGACTCTCAGAGTTACCCGTCTCTTTTTCTGGGACTTGGGCACATGATGTTTTCGTGTTGTTTTTAATCATCCCCATGCACAGTCACAGTCACACATGTTTGCACAGTCACAGTCACACATTTTTACATGACTACCATGGCAAATGATGTAATGTGGTAAACCTAATTTCATAAATTCATAAACCGTCCATAGAATCACCATTAATGGCTGGGATTGGGATGGTTTCAACCATCCCCAAATGGTCATTGTTTATGGCAATTTGGGTGAATCCCACATGCCATTTGCCTGATGGATCAGCAAAACATGCACCAAGCGCCGTAGGACTTCATCAGCAATAACCGCGGCATCAATGAGGGTGAAGATATTCCCCAAGAGGTCCGAGCATCTCTGGGGACTCAAAAAAGGCAGTTCTCTGAGTTCTGTGGTTCCCGCGAAAAGTGTTTCGTGATTTTCTACAAAGCACAGAGTTTCCCAGAGTATTCTAAAATGATGGAGTCTTTTGCCCAAGAAACATGTTCATATTTTTTATTTCAAGACACAAATATATATATAATATAATATATATATATATAATATAATATAATATATATATATAATATAATATAATATATATATATATAATATAATATATATTTAATATATATAATATATATAATATATATATATGGGGGGGGTTCCTATATACGCCAAATCATCCAAGTCAGAGCATTGTAGTATTGAAACACGCATGGTGACCCCGTGGTAGCTCTCCATTGGCACCTCCGTGGTTCCCGATGGCAGGTCCAGGTGCAGGTCTTCGAGAGCATCCGACAGGATGAGATCAAAACTCCCAGCGGCCCGGCGGGATGTCGACCATGATTTTTTTTTGGGCTACAAACATGATGATATATTGGGTATATATACTGTATATTACTGTATATTATATATATATATTATATTATATTATATATATGTATTCACATCATGTTACACATATATATATATACATACACTAATCATATTCTTTGTTGCAGGGTGTCTAAGAATGGCAATGGCAATGTTTGTCTTTTTGAAGCCCAAATCAAGTGAACACCTGGGGTTAAGATTTGAATTATTCCCACATCATTTTATGGTTATCCTGATCCAGCTTTACAACAAATGTAAATAGTAAAGAATAGTAATATGTATATTCAAGGCATATATACGTACATACATATTGTATAGTATAGTAAACATGATTTGGTGATATCTGTAAGTGAACTCCCGGCTATTCGATGGATTTTCAGCACAATTGATGGTCAAGAGTAGTGGTGTGTGTGTATATATATATACATACACATCCAGTTCTCAGCGGTTGTAAATCTAATAGTTAGATGATGCACATCCTATGGCCAGATGCTGGGGAAACCTTAAACATCTAGCAACGATAGATTTGAAAAATCTAGAAACCTCCTGCAGATTAGATCTATCCAATCCTCTGGATAGGTGAAAAATCTAATTCTCTGGAAAAAAGGGCTGAAATATCCCAGAGCGGTACAGAAGAAAGATCATCTTCCATATTCATGTGGGTTTGTTTGAACATTTATGCGGAACCATCCAAATTTGAAGGTTTTTGATTAGTTTCCCTGTAAACATTGCCAGGCAGGGGTATATGATGGTATACCACATTTTCAGACAAACCCAACTATGATATAAAATTGGTCAGTTTAATCAAGCAGCCCATTATAATTCCACTATAAACACCGTTCATATTCCATTCATATTTTATTCATATCCCATTAGAACTGTTATACATATCCCAATATCTATCATACGTTATCGGTTATATATCCCATTCAATCCCCTTAATATACCATGAATATATGATATAATCATCATTCATATATATATATATATGTACACATTACATGCGCAACTTTATCGGCTGATTTGTTGAGATAGCCCCTGTTGAGCATATCAAAGTTGTCCTCATCCTCAGGTTCCGGAAGCTTCATCGAAGGAATTTCTCGCACCCGATGGGAGGAGCGATTTCTTTGGTTGACGGGATTGGCATGGGGCTTTCATGATGAGTTTGTTGCTGGACCTTGGGAAACCCTAGGGAAACCGAGGGAAAATGATCATTTCTATCTATATGGGTCTGAAATGGTGGATTTGCCAAAAAATATGGCCACTTAAATAGGGAAAATTATGAGAATCTGGGGTACGCACGCTTTTGGGGCGGCTTTTGGAGCGGATGCATGTTCGGAAACTCACTCCGGACTGTCCCAGTTGTTTGAAACATAGCCCGACAAGAGATACATACAGTATATATATAATTATATATATATAACGCTGGATACATATATATATAGATATAGCTATGTATATTAATAAGCATATTTCGTCATATGTCTCTGTATAAAGCATTGTATGGCAAACAATCTATGCTAAGGTGCTGGTCGTGAATGAAAGGCCCTTCTCCCTAATCTTAAACAGGGCCCTCAGAATAAAACCACATATTTAAGACCATGAAAATGGGATGTTTCATATTGGATGGGATGTTTCATATGGTCTTCTATCCTGACATAAATGGAACTCGCCTGACATAAGCACTACTGAGTCCAAGATGGACAGCCACTACAAGGCCCTTCTCGAAGGGTCCACCAAGATCCAACATCTCAGGGGGTTATTTGGAGTATGATTACAATCATCTTGTTGGTGTGTCTGCAAATTGGCGATACTCCACGAAAAATGATGATGACCATGGGATGTATGATGCTTTCATTTGATGCTTGGTGCCATATCCAACCATCTCCACATATCATGTCAACTTGGTTGTGTGTATCCCATGGGATCCTCTTCTATACCTCAGAAGACCCCCTATGACTCATTTTACCTCTGGATAAATTGTGGATTCTCACTATGGTTGGTAAAATGGGTCAGTTGACTTTCAGGGTAGGGTACAGTTGGAACTTTCTTATGGTGATCATCCAGATCATCCAATGAAATTGTGGGTATGACCCAGATAACATTGTACTTGAAGTGATTTGATTTCTGGCTGTGCTTTTCCATTACTCTCCGGTAATCAAACGTGGCTGGCTGGGAAATCCCCAAATAAACAGAGATGTGTAGCTGCGAAAACCATCGAAGGAAATGATGGATTTTCCAGCAAGCCAAGTTTGATTACCAGGATTACCAGAAGG